CCCAGTTCTATATAAAATGCAAATCGCCTTCCTTATATCGAATATTATACCCTAAATATGTAGGTTTCCTGCTTCGTAACTTGTTTACTACGATTACGTTCATAAAATTAATCGGTAAATTTCATCGGAACGCATACTTTGATCTAATAAAATCGATAATTGTAATGCATTAGAGGACATTAATAAGCATAATAACGTAGTTTATTAGGGCACGCCAGCAATTTGTTCACGTTATTATAAATTGGTCTAGCACCTAGACTAAGTACATGATTTGCAGCCTATTAACAAACAGTTTCTACTACCGGTTTAAGTTGTATTGTATCGTGTATAAAATATCACTATAATTTTGGATATTTAGGACAAAGATAATATACCATGCGCATTTTAATCCCATAAAAACAATAGTTAAACTTCAAATACTCGTAAAGAGAATCGAAATTCGACATACTCTTTCCCTTTGTTTATAACAATGGCAAGATATAATCGTTACTTGAAATTAATTAAGAATAGATCCCTTATGAGCCAATTTCCGCGTTTTGTAAACAGAAGTGTTTTTTTAATATTGTGGTAGAAGTTTTAAAAGATTTTTATTTTATTAATGCATATAGTTAATATGAAGCAAATTTATGAATATAAAATTATTTCAAAATTATTGAACAAAGTAAAATTCAAACTCAGTACAATAATATTAATTTTACGACACAACAAAATTCACAGTACTGTACAATTACTACAACATCCAAAAAATTATGGTCCAACATTCTATTTCTGATTCTTAGATCTATAGACAAGTATCAGCCGTTTTGACCCGAAACAAATATTGCATAGCCGGGAATCGAACTTACATTGCGAGCTTCACCATGAAGGCAGAATACGTTGCATACTTAGCAATTCCCATCGACAATACCTTCAAATCGTGTCAAGGTTCAAAGACTGTTTAATATGATTATTAATACAATTTCAACCTGGTACATCGCCTACAACTACTGTCGAAATGCATTCCAATCTTAGTCATTGTAATCTTCAAACTTCCGGCCTACAAATACACTGTTTATACAGCTTCATAAATTTATAAATATCGACTCGCTTAAAAAGGTATTAAAAACAACTGCGTAAGATATTTTATACATGTAATTATTTTTAAATTAAAATACATGTCTAATGTCAATAAAGCTTTGCATTGAACGCCATGCGTTTTCTAATGTGCATTCATGTGAAAAAGTAATTTGTAATATTGATTACCAAACTTCGTGCAATCAAATTTCGAACATAACCACAAAACTACGTGTCATGGCCCGTTTTCACCGGCCCTCAAAAAATGACCTTCTGTAATGAGTACATTTTGAAAATACTATAGTTTGCATAGATCATAAACATTATTACTAGCTATAGAAGATATTTTGAAGTAAGCTCACCCGTTCTTGAAAACATAAAAGTACTTCCGCCCACTAGTTCCCTTATTGCAACGTTGTGCACCAGTTCACTGAATGATAATTCCAAGCCATTGCAAAACCTTTAGCAATCTAACTGCATATGACACGCCTGCAAATTATAAGGTATTGTCTCAACCCCTGAGAGACCTAATTGTTAGTTATTTGCAACTTGAATTCCTTTATGACAGTAGAAATTGAAAGTTTAAGTGAACTAAGGCCTTCACTTAAATGCCGAGTTTTCAAGGCATTTTAAAGGGAATTGGATCACCTTTATACACATCGCAATATTTCATTGTGTATATAACAGTTATTAAACCATGGTATCTAAAATTATATCTCATAACGAGCGTTGCATAACTGGGCGCAACGTAAATGTAATCATTAAAATTTCTCATATATTTTAATAGAATTCATGTACAAATAAAATAATCGAAATATTGACAGGAAATTAGAGAGACCGAAGTGGAAAGACGTTTTGGCGATGTAACTTTCACGTATACTTATTTTATTTGGACCCTTATTGATAAATATTTTATTAGATTTCAATTCATAAATTTTAGAGAAAAATTTAATAAGGAATTGTCAATTGCCAGACTTGTAGATATATTACAATATAGAATTGTGTTCGTGTGAATTAAATAAACCAGATGTTAACCAATCCGCGCGCTTAGTGTATACTTTTTATAAGTTCGATCATACAATACTTGGATAAAAAGTGGCAACGTTTCAAGGCAGATCTGAGGAAACGTTTCTGAAAAAGTGCTCTAATTTAATGTATAAAACTATTTCAGTTTTATAATTAAAAGAAGAAATTATGAAATAATATTATGCTAAAAGTTCTTTGATGTAAAAATACTAAATTTTTCATGAAATTGTATAAATCATATCAAAAAAATAGGTATATACAGTACTTCACAAATATTTGTATGTATTTCGAGTGAAGCCTTATTTCAGGTAATGTACAATAACGTAAAACTACCAATGTGTTGAACAATCAGCTATTTATTTTCTCCAATACTATTATCAATTCGTCTTACATTAGCGAGATATTTGCTCTGAATTACAACATGCATTTCGAAACAGTGAGTTAGTTTCAATATATTTTTTTAACGATTAGCATCAATTATTCACGGCATCTTGAAGGTTCCAATATATGTATGGTACTAATAAGTACGCCACAACAATAACCGACCACAATATTTATTTTTCCATAATGAAGGCTTTCATTACCCAATTTTTTACTGATTTTAAAATTGACTGTAAGTGTGACCATCTTTGAATACGTGATCCATAGACAATGTTAGAAAGACTATACAATCTTTTATACTGATTATTTTGATTGGTTTCAAAGATAATGTTGTACAAATAGCCGCTTAAATGAGTTAGTACTTAGATTGTATCGCTGAGATTATTCAAACAAATCAATCAGGTCGGGTTGTGACAGGTGTCGAGTTCGTTCCTACGATGCGTTCCTACGCAAATAGGTGCGTGTATAAAGATAATAAAACATTATCAAACGAGGTGAAGATATTTTCGGAACAACTGTGACAATTATTATAGGTTAACTAGTATTTTTAATTACCAAAGTTCAATTTGTTTATTTCTTAGTAGAATTTTTTTTTTATATAACTTAGTATGCTATTTAAGATGAGGTAGGAGGCAAATTATTCGTCGACATTATTTTGACAGATTATCTTACGTTAATTTTACAAAAAGTTTAGTTTAAACAATAGTTTCGCCGGGGATTGCATTCTATACCAGCGGAGTAATATGCTTGCATTATGCTACTAACTAAACAATAAAGTTACCTAATGTGGTGTAGTAAATTTAAATTAATTTATACAGCATTTAAATCTCGAGTGATTTCACTTTCCCGCTGGTTCTATTTTGTCAATCAGTGGGTTGCGTGCGCCACGCCTTTATAATTATTGTTATTTAGGTGTATGGGCTTTCGAATCTATTTAACTAGTTACTAGTTCCTGCTCGTAAGTCGTATTTTATACAAGTGACGTAATATTCTCTCTGAGTTCTTGTTAATACGCCCTTTATAGACCTTTCAAGTTACGAAAATATTTAACGGGGCATGAGATGCATTAGCCTTCGGGAATCGAATCCAAGATCTCCAGGTATGCGCTGTGCATTACTAAGTGCTTACTTAGTACTTTATTTGTTACTTCCTATCACAAAAGAAAGTACTAAGTTCTATTACGATATAAATTTACCGAAATAAAATCACTAAAATATTAGGTTTAAAGCATTTCATTCCAATATTTACTTGAGTTTATGAATACGATATGGTTTACTAAATATTACCCGAAGTTTATTAGTAATATTGCACCACGGCCACTTTTTCATTATAAATTCACACGAAAATTACAAGTGATGAAACAAAATGTAACAAAACAGTTCACCGGTCGTTAATTTGTGTAACTATGTGAAAAAACTTGATTAACACGCTTGGACTGATTTAATTTGAATGCTATATATGTCTAATTATTTGTGATAATTATACATTTATCAGAAAGAAACGTGCTGCGTTGACATAATATTTTTGTATTATTCAATTATTGTTGTTTTCAAAAATCTCATTTTTGGATAAAGATTTGATTAGATTGGATTACTCAACATAAAATTGCCACACCTATTTTGAATGTGATAATTAATTCTATTACTCATACATATTGTAGACTTGTTATGGTAGACCTTCACAAACTCTGTCCAAACTTCTTTTGCTTGCTGTACTCAGTCGGTCTCATAAATCCTAAGGAAGTCTCTGTATTATTTCTTCCATTTTCTTTTCCACTTTACAAAATCATAGCAAGCTAAAACTAATAAAGGAAATAGAAGTTGGTCGTTAATTACAATCTATTTACCTAGTTAAATGTTAGGGAGTGGTTTACGATAAAATTATTATAATTCACGCGGTCACTTAATTATGTTATTAAAGGTCTTATCTAAATAGATTCCAGCTGTTTATATGGTACGGTTTGTATATATTATTTGCGTATTAATTACGGTATAATTCAAGTTTGATATGCGGTAGATAATTGCGTAAGTTAATTTTTTCATGCTTTACACCTTAAATATAATAACGTGAAAATATTAAAGTAGAATTCCCGAAGAGCAAATATACATATAGAATTAATTCATTTATTTATAAGTTCTAAAACAACATGCATATTTAAAAAAATACCAGAAAATATGACGTTACAAATTTTACACACACATATAAATTAAACTGGAATATAGCAATTACAAACCAGCAAGGAAAAAAATACAGGCATTACATTCATGTATTTATATTTTTATCAAATATTTATCATATTCTAACTTGTTCACAGATTATCTTCGCCGCGGCGTTATGCCTGGCCCAAGCTTCTTACTACGCAGGTGCTCCCGCACCTATCCAGCTTAGCCCTGATGGCAAAAACGTCTTGGACACACCAGAGGTCGCACACGCAAAAGCAGCCCATTTAGCAGCACACGCGCAGGCTTCATCATCTCACGGCGCTTGGGCACCCAGTGCATACGCTGCTGGACCCTCTGCATACGCCGCTGCTCCTGCTTATGGTGCTGGAGCTCACTACGGTGCACCTGGTGCTGGTAAGGATACAGTTCTTAGTATTACAATATTTTACATTTTCAAAAACTTTAACACCAGCGTGCAATTTTAATTTAAAAAAGGAAATGCTTAGAACGAAAACATAACCCAAAAACAATACTACTATTAAAAGTTATCTTACTTATTTAAAGTTTTATATATGTACTATTTTATTTTATTTATTTTATATGTACTATCTATAACTTTACAGAACAATCTTCTGAAACTTGAAAGCATTCATTAATAACCATAATAATATTCTTTTCAGGTCTCTACAAATACGGTCCCGCCCCCCCTCGCTCACGACGGCCGTGTGATCGACACCCCCGAGGTAGCCCACCTTAAGGCAGCTCACATTGCCGCCCTCAACAGCGCTCACGCTAATGTCGCCCACGCTCCCGCTGCCTACGCCAGCGCTCCCGCTGCCTACGCCGGCGCTGGCGCAGGCTATGGAGCCGGATACGGTGCAGGTTACGGAGCTGGCTACGGAGCTGGTTACGGCAAATGGAACGGTCCTCTTGCACAGATTCAACTTACCCACGACGGCCAATACGTCGTTGACACGCCCGAAGTACAACACGCGCGTTCCGCCCACTTCCACCAATTTGCCGCCGCCGCCCAAGCCGCGGCTTCCTCTCCCGAAGAACCCTGGGGTGCGCACGGCGCTCAGGGACACGGCTGGCATTAAACCCTACCTCCGACCCGGCTGACTGACTGCCTGATTTTTATACAAAATGTAAATAAAACCCGAAAAAAAAATGTGTTGTATATAAGTGTATAGCAATGCGACTTTTAATGAGCGCAATGAAACGAATAAATGGACAATGTTATTTCTTTGTTTTCTTTGCAAAAATTATCCATTATAAGCAAATCAACCTTTTTACATTCTTTTACCTAAATCACTAACTAATCTATCTTTTCGCAACAGCGTGAGAGACGAGGGGGTGCTTTAGTTAAATTTACGTTACTGTGCTAATTTTTCAAACATAGCCCAATAAATTTAATCACCATAGACATTCAGCCAGTCGACAAATTTCCAATCAACATTCTGTGAAACAGGTGTTTTAGGTATTTCAATAGTTTTCAGACATTCTACGATAATTGGTATTGCATAAAATATATTTTGTTTCACTAATATGACGTAAATAATGTTTTCCTTACATATGTAATCCGTATTGGTACACTTCAAGTAATTTCATGGTAATTAGTAACAGAGTCACGAGCTGGCTTTTATCAATCAGTAATTATAGCGACCTGAAATATACCAGGTACAGTTAAACGACTCCAAATTTAACTTGTTATTATTAGCTGAAAGACATTATGAACATACGCTTTATTTTATTTTGACGTTCTGTGGTATAAGAAAATTAATTTAAAAAATTAAATGATTCTATATTTAATATTCACTGTTAGTTCTCAAATCAATTGCGTAAAACGGACGAGAAGAACTGGCAATAATTCTACGTTACGCTTTGAAACTTTTAACTTCTATCGCGTGCACATAAGTACACACACGTTTTTTTACAAAGAAATATAATCTAAAAAACATTATTTTAATGCTATTTTAAAAACATTAATTAGATTCGGCAATTTAGTGTAAACGTTTATATCGACTATAACCGGAACGAGGAACAGCGTCATATCTTTCGAAAGTATAAAATACGACCATAATTTCTTTCTACTTATTTAATTCTACTATTTACAAAATGCCGGTATAATCAAACCGAATGTTAATAAGTACTTATACTTGAACATTAACTAAAATAACAGACAATTATTTTCGCTATATCGCATCCATACAAGACATAGCATTAAAATAATTTTAGCGGAAAATCATAACTTGACCTTATATTAAAAATAAATATAGATATTACTTGGATACAAACATCAGCCGAGTATCGTCTGGTACAGTGTTTTTTAAATATTTTAGATATCCATAGATAATTTTCTGAATCCTCAAGACCTATCTGTTTTTAACTATGTACTACCCTATTTTAATGTAGTACTAAAGTAAGTTTTGTTGCCCCGTACTATGCAACATCTTAAATACATATAATATATTCTTAATATCATACAATATATAATTTTATACGCATTTAGTGTACTGTATAGTCCCGTAATGAATATATGGTATATAATAGTTTTAATTCTTATTAGAGCAGTGTCGGCCTAGAGGCTTAGCGCATCCTCATCCCCGTGATCGTGTATTTGAACCTGTGAACCAATGGAATTTTCTTTCTATGTATGCATTTAGTAGTTGCTTCTACTGTGAAGTATCGTGAGGAAACCGTCATGTCTCAAATCCAAAAATAGCTGACATTTGTCAGACAGAAGGCTGAAAACCTGGTCTTTAAAATAAAAATTATCAAAGAAACGAATGCCATTTGAGGCCCAGAGACCCACTTAGCGTTATTGTTTTTTATAAACTTGCTTGAATAAACCCATGTAATTTCTAGGGAAGATTAAAAGGGGAAGGAGTTCCACTCCTTCGCTGTTTTAACAAGAAACGACGTAATCTAAAATAATGTAATTTGATTAATATATATTTTTTTGTCTTGTAAAGTTGCTTGACAGATGCATAAAACTATAATTGCTATAAGAAAATGATTTTTTGTGGGTGTTGCAAATTTTTGCTTTTTATATGTTTATAAATACAACAATAACGGCATAAGATTATTTATTTATACAGACATAGTCACACATCTTGCAATATACATAACTGTATTATATTAAAATCAATGGACTCGCACAGTTAATAAATAATAGGTCTTTAGAATATACGTGAAGAGCTTATAAGGCAAATATTTGACATTGTGTTTGTAGTAATAGATGCGACTTCACATAGTTAGTATGTGTAAAATTATGAAGTTTATTTTCCATATATGACTATAAATGAATTGTATTGAACATCATATAAGAGTGTCTATTCTATAGTAGAATAAAAAGGAATACCTACTTTTATTAGAATATTTGAGTAAGATGATCAGAAACCCAGATGTAAGTACTTCATCACTTCCAAAACTATAATTTGAATAATTAAGAAAATCATTTATGCTGTAAAAATCATTTATCCAACGAAAATCATGTGTTAAATTATTTTCCATAAACGCTTGGGGAAATCAACGGCTTTTTTACCCGATGTCCAAGCTACACACATGTTAAATCACACATTTTTTAATCACTTCACTCATCATTTTAAAGCACTTTCTATTTAAAAATATTTTTTTTAATTAAATAAATTTACCGTGTTTTAGTCCTGTCCGTGCCCTCTGCGGGAATATGGACCATCCATGGCATCAGTTTGCGGAAGTCAATTTATGCTATTCATGAGTATTTTGGAGTCGTATGTAAACGGTCGATGTGATCTTGTTGATCCTTGTAATCGTGTGCGCAGTAAAACCAATCCAGATGACAGTTATGACTTTGTGGTAATAGGTGGCGGTACAGCTGGGTCTGTTGTAGCTGCACGCCTCTCAGAAAACACGCAATGGAAGGTGAGCCAATTGATATTTAAAAACAAACACGGTCAATGCATCTTATTAACGTTAGGAATGTGATTAATCAGTTAGCACACACACAATAACACAATTTATGATAGTCCTGAATTCCGGCGAAGACTAATAAGAATATTTAAATATCTAGCTAGCGACTTTGTAAATGTAGGAAATGGTAGTAATCAATTTCAGGTTCTTTTAATCGAAGCAGGGGGTGATGAACCAACTGCATCGTCATTGCCTGCTTGGTTTGCTGCCTATTGGGGACGCACAGAAACAGACTGGAACTATTACACAGAAAAACAAACTAAGGCTTGTCTTTCACAAAATGGGAAGTGCTACTGGCCCAGAGGAAAAATGTTAGGTAAGGGGGGAAATTAGATTTTTTGTTTTTGAACCTGCCAGAGAGCTCACGAGTGCGTCGCCTTTTAAGAATTGGTACGCTCGTTTCGTGAATTAGTGGAATTGATTCGGAAATACTTCAGTGGATTGTGAATTGTTCCACATAGTGGTGGAGTGCGGCAAAAACTGCCATAAACAACGTTAAGTTGTGGATCGATAGTCGAGGTGATACGGGTGGAATTTCGTATTCTGTGTCTACGTCTGATGATGAAACTCAGATGCAGGCACTAATCCGAACAAATCCTCTGAACACTCTCCGTGGTAAATGCGGTCGAAGATGCAGAGTGACTCCAAATCTCTACGCAAAAATCGTCTATTTTTTTGTATTCTTCGTATGAACATACTCTCATTGGAATAAATTGTTCAATAAAAGTAACGTCGGACCCTAAAAAACGGTCTTCCCTATCTCAAACATCATTCGCAGGTGGCACATCAGTGATAAATGGCATGATGTATATGAGAGGCCATCAAGCAGATTATGACGGCTGGGCAGCGAATGGTGCGACTGGATGGTCGTGGGAAGAAGTCTTCCCATACTATCTTAAGAGTGAAGACAACAAGGAGATTGGAAGTGTTGCTTCCGCCAACTATCATGGATTTGGTGGACCATTGCCGATTCAAAGGGTAACCAAGTCAAACCACACATTTATGTATCTTAATGATCGTAATGGAACAAAATCAAATCAAATTAGACAGAGTTTAAATAAATTGTTCAGGAAGTATATTTTTATGTGCGGAAATGTATTTCTTCGAAATACTTATGAAATTTATATTTGATTTGATATGATAGTTATTAGAACCAAACGCAATATTGAAATTTTTGAACAAGACAGATTAATTAAATAAAACATAGAGTAAAATTTTAGAGTAGGCCTGTTATGATGTACTTATTTATATCTAAATTAAATAACTTAAGTAAGCAATAAATCAATATCTTATGCGACAGTGGTATAGTCCCATTTCCTTTCAAAGGTTGGCGTCATCATGGCTACTTTAATGTTGGATGCGCTTTGGCCGTAACATTTCCGGAGATTCTTTATCTAAGACGTGTGTCTGCAGCCAGGTCTACCTGCCGCTTTGCCTTAAATGATTAGTTGAAGGACATCGTATTTTTTTACGTAAGACGTGTCCGAAATGTTAATGAATATATACATTATACAATTTATGTTTTTTTTTATCTTTTACCAGTTTCGTTACACGCCACAATTCGCAAAGGATATTGTGGAAGCAGCAAGTGAACTAGGATATCCGCCTACAAGCGATTTGAATGGGGGAACTGTAACTGGTTTTACCATCGCACAAGGTTTTAATAAGTAAGGTATTTGGCAATATATATTGGCAGTATTTGTTAATTTTGTGTCGTAATTAAAATACATCTAACAGTTGAAATTACTTTACAAAATATTTTGAGATCCAGTAATAAAAGTAAAGCAAACATACCTTATATAAATAGATCACTTAAAGGTATTAAATAGATTACGGTAGGACACAAGACAAATGAATACCTACAAAACGGGAGTTTATATTTGATAGTATTTTGTGTTAATTCCTTTTATTATTATTAAATCTAGAATTAAAAATAAACGCATAAACATGCAGTAATGAAGATAATTCATTCAATGTATAAGATTTTAACGGATTAAACAGTACTTATCCGGAGAGGATATATTCGGTAGTGGGCTGATCGGTTTTAGAGAAAGCATTGTTAATGCCTATGTCGAACCTAATTCGCTGTTTTGATGATAATTTCTTTTTTTTAATGTTTTTTTTTTGCTTAATTTTTTTTTTGTTTTCCTATTGTATACCCTTTTTATCTTGTTTATATTTTAATTGTATTTTTTCATAGTTTGTTTTTGTAACAATTATGTTTACTTAAATTTTCACACATTTTAGATATTAGAGTTTGTAACATATGCCGTAGTACTATGTATGATGTGGTAAACTTTAATAAATAAATAAAATAAACTAATCTGTGAATTTCAAATCTGATTGATTCAGGAACATATGATTTCAGTCAAGGATCACGATATAGTACATCACGCGCCTATATACGTCCGGCTTCCAAAAGGTCGAATTTACATGTAATGCTTAATAGTTTAGTGTCAAGGGTCATTGTGGACAAAAACAGAGTGACTGCAGTAGAGTATATAGTTAATGGGGTAACGAAATCTGTTCGAGTTAATAAAGAGGTTAGTTAGCTTAACTGATATTCAAAAGCCTTATCATAGATCTGTAAGAACATTATGTCTCATTACAATTATGATAATTCTCAAGGCGAGATAGACTTTAAAATTAATGACATTACACTTATTTTATTTCGTAACAGCTAACATATACTATAAGACTACAGATATAGCCAAAGATGGAATACATAATATAGGTATACAAAAAGGTTCAAACATTTACGAAATTAAAAAGTCAATAAAAAATAAAAAATATATTCTATACCTATTACATAAATACAAATTTTTGATATTCTGCATGATCAGACCCAACAATCAACCACGATAATCCACGTAGGTAGAACAGTAACAATAATATTCCTATTGCAGGCAATAATATCTGGTGGCACATTGAACTCTCCCAAAATCCTTCTACTATCTGGAATTGGACCAGCAGACACCCTGAAGAAGTTCAATATTCCCGTATTAAAGGATTTACCTGGAGTAGGCCAAAATCTGCAAAACCATGTCGGTACCTCTTATGACTTCACATTAACTAAAGAGGCTGATACTCCTGAGCTCACCTGGGCTTCTGCTATGGAATATATTAAAGAGAGGAAAGGACCTCTATCAGCAACTGGTCTTTCACAGGTAGTGCTTAATTATTTTAAGATTTCTTTACTAAGTATACCGCTTACAAAACCTCTATGACAGACGTAACCCACTAATGGCAATCAAACTTCAATAGAAATGGACACGGACTTGTACTTGTATAATTTTCATCATTATTATTTTCCGATAGCGCGTTACGTATTTCGTAAAGCATATGTTTTAGACCTTTTTGCTAACGATCTTATATACTAGAATTAATCGCTGAATCGGCGGTGTTTGCAAGTCTTATTAAGAATTATAACCTTGTCAGAGTCTCCAAGTAAAACTCGATGCTGCGATATTGTAGTGTCTAATATAGTGGTGTAATATACAATTTGCAATTTTAGGTATTTTTAAACGAAATAGATTATAATGATAAGATGTTTACTATATTACGGTAACATATAAACGTCTTGCTTTTCGCCTACGCTTAAATGCAAGCAATACTTCCATAAGAAGTTTTGTCGCTATTTACGAAGGACGTATTTAATACGAACAAACATTCTGATTGAAAATATTACAATAAGTACGTAAATTAAAAGTTTTAGTAAAGTTATTTAAATAAAACTTCTTTAAAGGATCTAAACATAGGTTTTAAAGCTTTTCAAGCTACTGATATTAATAGTACGTCAAGTTCATAGTGAAAACGCAACAGTCATTTTTGAAAAAATCGAGTGACGTATTGAATATAACAACTTCCACAAGAGATGACATCGGTCCCAGCGGCCATCCTGCTCCGACTAGCCCATACATATCATGAGGATATTTGCGGAATAGTCACCTGGGCCCAGCGGGAGACGCCAAGCCCACCAGACCTAGTTTAAGTAAATAAAGTCCCTTTTTAGGAAAGGGGAGATTTTGCACTCCCCTGTTGCTTAGTTTCTCGACTCATCTGCCTGATCGCATGCCTGATAGGTTATTTGAGGTCCTATGTAAAAAAAATATAATTAGATATAACTTCGCGACAATAGATGGCATTAATTTGACAACAATGATATCACAATCATTATCAAATACTTATAACTCGATTTATTATTCATAAACGTACATTAAAAGTAGATAGTGTGTGTGAAATATAACGACCTTCCTTTTATGTCGCTTTAAGAATAAAAAAATGTCATCTTAATGTTGGTTGTGTGAACTTAAGTTAAAATATGTAAAGTTTTATTCAGGCTGTCGGTATAATAAACTCCCCTCTTGTGAGAAATACACTTCAACCCGATATACAATATTTCTTCTATGGATATACGGCTGCTTGTGGATTTGGAGGTAACAATGGGAAAATTAAAGCGAGAAGACATTTTAAGTAAGATTTTGTTATACATTTTGTAGAGCAATAATGTTTAAACGCAATATTGCTTTGATTCTAACTTCCAGATCGTGTTGATATTTTTTTGTTTAGGTTACGAATCAATTTTGTGGACATAGAGAAATTTGATCTGGAGACCTCTTAACCTTATTTTACCTGTACTTAATTATGAAAGGACATTTATTAGAATTCGGTGCATTTTTTTACATTGGGAATCAAACTCAGAAATTGGGCCTTTTATTTATTCAACGCATAGTTTATAATAACTACTTAAGCCAAAGAGTTGATCTACAGTTAAAATAAGGATAGAACCTAAGGCAAATAAGTTAAGAGTCTTTTTAAACCTTTCTATAGGGGTTAAAACTTTGAGTCTAAAGTCTTTCTTACGAACAATAGTTTACGTAAAAACAATGTTTTTCTATCCTTATATTCAAGATAATTTTTCAGAATATCTCCAATTGCTCTTCAGCCCCAAAGCAGTGGTTACTTGACTTTAAAATCTGCAAATCCATCCGATCCTCCAATCATGCAGCCAAACTATTTCTCTGATGTTCACGAGCTCAATGTTTTAGTGGAAGCTTCAAAAATTGCATATCGACTGGCTAATACAACGGTAAATACTGATATTTTATATGAAATTAGTGCAATGTAATTTTTCAATTATTTTTAATTTGAATTATTCTATGGAATAAAACCTTTCAATCAAGTTGGCGGCTAACGCAGGGATTGCAATTATTCGTTATTTTGGATTTACACTCCCTCTTAAAGGGTGATACAATATTTTTTTTAAACTTAACGCCTTTTCAAATGCTAACCTGATGGTATTAAAGCGATAAACCGCATTTATAAAAATGTGTAAAGGTTTTATTCCTAATTATTTGCAATAGAACTTTAACTAGTTCCACTTGCTCGTAACTTATATGTATATACTAATCAGTTCTTTAACTTCGGAGAACAAACCAGGACAATAAGAGCTATTACTTCTTTTATATTTTCTCTGAATTAAGGACAAAGTGCTAAAACAATATTTTCGAGAAAAGGCATTTTCATTTTCTACTTTTTTTTTTTTAAAGGACAATTCACACCAATTGACCTAGTCCCATGCTAAGCTGGTGAAGCTTGTGTTATGGGTACTAGGCAACGGATATACATACATATTATAGATAGATAGACATATACATATTTAAACACCCAAGACCTAAGCACAACACCAAATGCTCATCACATCGATGTTCGTCTCAGCCGGGGATCGAACCCGGGACCCATGGATTCGCAGTCAGGGGTACTAACCACTAGACCAATGAGTCGTCACTTAAGTCTAGCTTTCCAATATGATTTTACTATTCACAGCGTCTACGTAGAAAGTATGGTATTGTACCAACTAAGGGTTATGCATCCGAATGCGGTGATAGTCAGAAGCCAACAGAAGAGTTCTTCAAATGCGTAGCACAGCGGTATACCGAGCCAGAAAACCATCAAATTGGCACCTGTAAGATGGGAGCTAGTGAGGATTCTACTGCGGTGGTTGATCCACAGCTAAAAGTCTACGGAATCAAAGGTGACTAATTAGAATGCGATATAATACTTGAAATATCTTGTGTAAAGCATCACCGATAAGGGTAATGTATTTCGCGAGACGTGTGATGTGAAGTTTGGAGATAGAAAAAGTCCCTGGACACTATGGCAGGGGATTAGAAATTAGAATAGGTATTATTAAAAAAATATATATATAGAAACTATTAAGGAACCAACTACACATAAAACATTGTATAAATGACATTACAACTAAACAACAATTTTTCAAAATTAATAACAAGTTCGAGATTATCAAATTATTTACATCACAGCTATTATAAGACATATAATATCATTTATTTTGTATATACGGTACTATATCTAATCTGTTTATATTACTTTTATAATCTATCTTTTTAGGTTTACGTGTGATAGATGCGTCTGTTATGCCTAGTCTACCAACTAGCAATACTCAGGCACCAGTTATAATGATAGCAGAAAGAGGCGCCGAATTCATTAGAAATACGTATTCATAAAAATTTAATATCGAATATATTGGTTTTGTTATACAAATTTGAAATAATAATAAACAAAATAAATGACAAATGCTATAAAATCTAGTTGCATGTATTGTAAAATAAAATAAAAATAATTTCAAAGGAAATCCTCTGAAGAGGAAAGCCCGTGAAAATCAATAGTAGAAAGTGATCTTGGAAAAACCTCATAAGTGCAAATATCGAAAGTGGGTTATGCGCACACGGCTGAGCCCGCATAACTCATTGTCAACCGATGACATGACAATGACAACTTTGATATTAAAACATTTAAAAACTCGGTTAATTGATTTAATTGTCTTGCTGTAATGTTAAATTAGTAACTGCAAATTTCCCTTCATACAAACCACTATTATTATAGTTTTACATTATATTCTACGAGATGGCGTTAATACCTAAAAATATTATAATATTATAAATTACGTGTCACGTTGTTTGTCGCGCTTGGCTCCAAAACTACCGAACCGATATCAATCAAATTGCACACGGTGTGTGGTTTGATCCAACTGGCGTGTATGGTAAAGATTGATCCAACTTAAATCTAAATTTATACCCGCAATATTATTTTATTGCAAAATATTTGTTTATTATTTGATAGTCACAATTCTAACAGATGGCGCTGTGTAGAAAGTACCAACGTTTCACATAAGCTACAATTTAATGGCATAACCACCAAAAAGAATGGTGGTCCCCATGACTTTCTCCTGAATAGTTTGCTACTATGTAATTTAACAAAACCTTAGCCACAGCAACGCTTGGCCGTCTGCTAGTATTATATAGATCTGACTAAGGTAGAATTTCTTTTGTTTAAACAAAATTTAAAATTTACTTTACCAAGACAATTATGCAAATTTTACAATTAATAAGTCAAATTAAATGGCTAAATACGTATAAAAAGCAAATTAGAATACATCGCGACAACGTTTTCTAGTTTTTAATTCAATAACTATAATGTTGATAATTAATTGAATGAAATACAAATGTATTGTATTTTTAAAAATAAAGGAAAATTTAATCGATATTTTTGAAGGACAAAGGGCAGTTTTGTCTTTCAGTGATATTTTTCATCACATTTTCCTGCTAATAAACCTAAGTTGATAAATATTTCACTGTAGGTTATAGTAATCATTATTTCCGTTACAACTTTTTGTAAAAATTATATCAATTTAATACTATATATATATAATCCTCTATCCACTATTAACAGTAACATAAAACACATTTAATTCATTAATGTTGTTTTGTAGATAGATAGATATAGATTGCTATAGATCCCCCTGGATCTGCCCTTGTATATCACTGATCCATGAGGCTTTGAAAGAAAAAAGGAAATCTTTATGTATAAGAATAGGTTGTATGATCAATCAACAATATCAATGAATTAAGCCAGTATAACAATAAGATAATTTCCACAAAGTAATTACTCACCGGTCAGAGTCGTGATGTGTTTTATCAATCGCATAAGTTTCCTCATGATGCCACTCAAAATTGATGACTAGCACTGGTATTCCCGGGTTTTAAGGCTTTTTTAATCAAGTTAAATATACTCTTACATACTGTTTATATAGTAATTGTCCGTTAATCTCAATTTGGGAAGTCATCGTCTGTTTAATTGAAGTTTATTTTGTAGGTCAGGATTTTGTTAGGCAAACATCCCATTACCTCAGGAATGAAACTTAAACCATATGAACTTGTTTTAGTCTTAATGAACTGGACCAGTTAATAAAGAACCCTTATTTACAAAACAATATTATACACAATATTGACTTCCAATATTTAAAAATCAATACTTCCTTTTCTGTAAAATGTTTTAAGTTCGCGGAAATATAATGGTTACTTATTGTATTGATTTTTATATTAGCTGTTACTCGTGACTCCATTTTATTTGGCATTTCGGCCTTAGAATTAGGTACTATACCATAGGCAAAAGGCAGGTTTTTCCTTAAAACAAAAAAGCGATTGACAGGGCCTTTGAAACGAACAGAATGTATTATAATTATCATTCGTACCAGATCGTTACTAATCTTATGAATCATTCTTCGGTCAAGGGTTAAACCACAGGATCACGATAAAACTACTCTTCCCAAGGCATAACTTCTAACAAGAAGATCTTGAGTTAAGGTTAAGTACTAAAATTACAAAACATTTAGTAACAGATACATATTTTATAAATTGAACCGGTAATATATCTGTATTACAATATTATATTGACATTTATAATCTTCAATCTTTTTAGTTTGTAAAAGCACTTAAAACGCGGTAATAAGCTACCCTAAGAACCTTTCACAATCAATCTCATTGATACATTAACTTTGATAATCAGTTGGCAAATGTTTTACGCTTTCCGGAATTGAAATATTAAAGGCACCTTTATAAAATAAACATTTTTTTTAATTTATAAAGATCCTTTGATAATGTGGTTCTAATAATTACCGTGACTAAAAATAAGATTTAATTAATAGGTTTGTCCTTGATTTGGTATCTCGATTTGGATATATTTTGTAAGAACCATTGTTTCGAGTATTATATACCCACTAGAGATAAACATTAATAAAATTATAAGCAAACTCATTACGTTGCATGAATAGATGTTTGTGGTCCATAACAAAGAAACATATAAAAGTTCATAAAATAAAATATTAGAAATATTAGAAGCCAGTCAATAATAATAAATAAATCAGTGGCGCTACAACCCCATTGGGTCTTGGCCTCAGATTTCTGAATCTGTTTCATGATCATTTTTAAATCTAATAGGCAAGTAGGTTATCAGCCTCCAGTGCCTGACACATGCCGTCGACTTTTTGGGTCTAAGACATGTCGGTTTCCTCACGATGTTTTCCTTCACCGTTCGAGCAAATGTTAAATGCGCACATAGAATGTCCATTGGTGCACAGCCGGGGATCGAACCTACGACCTCAGGTATGAAAGTCCCACGCTGAAGCCACTAGGCCAACACTGCTCGAAGCCAGTCAATACTCAATATTATAAAGAGAAAATAATTATATTTTCACATAAAAATACACAACCGATTTTGAAAATTCTTTTTACTTCTCACCATTAGAGAGATGACTATCCCATTAGTAGCATAGGCTACTAATTTCTATAATATTTTATGAAAATATCCAGCTGCAAGCCGGGACAGGCCACTATAATGCTTTGCTACATAGATAAAGGCATACGTACTATTTATAAAACGAAATAATAGTTTTAATTATACGTTATATGTTTAAATAGGTAATTATGTAATTATTTTTGTTTTTGTGTTTTCAAGATGATTATGATGTAATTTTTTGTGGTCTAAGTCGGTTTTAGTACAATGCTAATCCATTTTGGTTATGTCATTAGTTATACGGAAATAACTACTGGTTAATAACCGCGGTTTTTGTGTAAAAACGATGATAATGTCCTTGCCTAATTGTCCTTTAAAAACTGTTTTAAAACTTCATCGCTTTTGCTTCTTCAGTTTTTTTATTGGCATGAAAGGGAAACAAATATGGCCTCCCAGAGACTATAGAATATTACAATATTACAACATATTTAGTTTTTAATTTGGTAAGATGTAAGATTTTTAAATAGATTATTATTGAAGCGAAAGATAAGTTAGATTACCTCTGTTTTAAGTAAATACTTACAGTTTTAAGGATGTGTTTTATAACATAGAAACGTGAAGGTAGAGACAAAATAATCAACTACAATTACCACAATGATAGCAATCTGATATAGATTTGTAGTAGTATCACCTATAAAATTTCTTACTGTTCAATTTACCTATGTTGTATTTTCCCAACTATTCTATTGAATGATCAACTAGCTTCATCACAATATGAACAGGCCAACATAAAAAAGCTTTCATAGCTCTGGGCAGGACAACAGGATTGTACAATGAAGTTATTGCTGCTGAATGATTGGCCGCTTTCTTTATTACGTTGTCTTATGTCTATAAGACGGATAAGCTGCGATATTACCTGGATTTCTATCGTTAAATACAGGCAAAGAACGATATATTAGCAACCACCTCAGCGCTGGCTGGCTTGAGTTACGTGAGCCCTGCTTTTTATTGGCTCATACTCACAGACACTCAAAGACAAGAAGCGTTACTAAAGCTACTGATGCGCTAAACTATGCTCTAAAGCTTAAATGGATAGGGGCAGGGCATGTAGCAAGACTATCTGACGATCGTTGGACCATAAGGGTGACCCTATTGGGAAACGACACAAAAGAAGACCGCTCACGAGATGGGCGGACGACATTGCTAAAACGGCTGGCTCGAGCTGGATGCATCTTACCCAAAACCGAGATACCTGGAGTTCTTGCAAAATAATTGGGAAATAGATATAAAAATAAAAATTTGTCTAATTTTTTTTCTTAAAAATATATATAATAGTATTAAGTTTACTTTGTTCTTTTGCAAAGAAAAAAAGGCTTTTAATTATTTATAGTAGGCCAGTTCAATAATTGGCCTTTATGACCGGTGTTAAGACTTCATAATAATTTTCTCGTGACCGGCTCGTTCATTTCTCTCTGACCATGTATGCATTTAAGTCCACGAGTGTATGTGATACAAGTGTACCTACTCTTTATTCAATAACTCTGATACATATAACATATGACAGATGTCATTCTCATTTGATTGATGATTTTGAAACTTAGGCATACCAATAAACATTCTTAGAAAAAGTAATTTTAATTTTCGATCCCAACCGTGAATGGAACCCGTTACTTTATTTTTTGCAGTCGAACATGCTAGCCACATCAGTGAAGCAGTTAAGACGTCATAGAAGTTCCTCAGAGTAATGAGGTTTTACGCTTCTGCGCAATCGAGCTATTATAAAATTTTAGACATAGTTTGTCCATAGAATGATTTTATATATGGTTTATATTCGACCTAAAAACACCGTATATTGTTGTTGCATTTTCTGATGCTTTCACCAATAAGAAAGCAATAAATTTTGTTTTAATCTTTCTCATTTTTGAAAGTACTTTTGCAGGATCATTTCGTATTCATAAATTACCTTTAAGATAAATAATTGATTTCCACAATTTGACATTAATACATTTACATAGTATATATTATAGCAATGTATGTATAACGAATCTGAAATTATCTATTAAACTTTTACTGAGCTCTGCCGTACTAGGCCGTACTATAGCAATATTTGCGAAAATGATCGCAAAATTGTTTTTACCTCTCTGAGGAAGGTTTTTATGGGGAGTAAAATTGGAAAAATATATTTAAAAACTAGTGTTACCTTTAGTACTTATTCAATATGTTCCAACTGTTGGTAAGTATGTATGCTCCTAGAAAGCTAGGGTAAGTAAAAAATCATATTAAGGCGAAACGAAGTTCGTGGTGGCAGCTAATTTACCTCTTTAATAGATATGTATTTATAAAATACAATTGCACACTTTAAATATGATATTTTTTTAACGTAACAATTATTGTTGATCACTAAATATATTTTTAAAGTCGTCTGATAGTATGTGATATCATAAACCAAAGACACCGGAAGGTACGCGAGTGATTCTGCCATGCCAGTTTTTAATTGGTTAATTCCTTACATTAATTATCTTTTGTCTGCGGCTGCTTTCGTAAAACGTAATATACTAAATTATTATTATAATTATGGCTTAGAGACTATAAATAGGTCTTGAGTTATTAAGATAATTAACAAAAACACAAGAGTAAGACGTTCTTACTACTCGTATAACCGTTACTTATTTTGCGTGAATTTTAGTTTTGTATAGAATTGATTAAACGGTAATCTTTTTAGTAATATGGCATGTATTATAAATTACGGTTTATATATAATATATTAAGGTTTTTATAAATATTTTTAGCCAGCAAGCAATGTGACTAACATTGTGTTTTTAACTTTTTAAATGTAAGTTATTTTTACATTAAAAAAGCGTAACAATAATAAACTAAGTACATTTTTATAACATACAAACCGACAATCTTTATATTTATAATATAGAGAATCGGCGCGGCGTGTCGCGGCTCTGTAACATCAATATAAACAAAAAGCGGCGCACGCGCAGCGGCGTTTGTGCAGATAACGGCGAGGCTCGAACGTACGTTCGCCAATGTCCGGTTTTTAAAAATATTACTTTTATGTCAATAAATTAGGTATGTTGTGTGTGTTTTAAAATAATACTTTGTGTTTTGTGTTGGTTGTGAAATTATAGGTATCCTATTTGTTATTATTTATTTTGGTTACTAGCAACACTAATATCGATCTGTTAGTTGAAAACTATTATCGTCGAATTGTTAATAATCAATATAATTATTTTAAGATATACATAATAATAATAATTAAAATTTATTTTTAATTTACTAAAATTAAATTAAATAGTTCTGTCCGGTGGCAGCATAACTTTAACTTGCGGTCTAAAATAAATATATAATTCCTAATTATGCAATAAAGCAACATCTGCAATTGAAAATTTTGTTTTAATATTGATAATTGACAGTGATGAAAATATCTGCGTAATATAAAAAATTAAACAAGCTTCAGGAGTTTTGTTATAAGTTAATTTAAATGTATGCTAAGTAATAACACCAATTTGAATTTCCACGCAACTTCACTGCATCGTAATATATTTAGCTATTGATTTTGTTCCATTTGGAGTGTAGACTTGGGCCGATTTAAGTTCGCGCCTAGTAAGTATTTCGGTGACACCAGGTGCTTTCCTCGCCAACGAATAAGTATCGCAATACAGCGACAAAATGCTGCTAGCATTAAAGGTGTGTACTACACTGCTGGCAGCATTTTCTACCACAGGCACCAAACTTTTTAAATTTATTATAGTTTTCCATTTATCCATTCTTATATATTATTATTACCACGTAGAATAAGACACACTATAGAACCACGTAATAAAAGAATATTGTAAATACTCGATATCTAAATATTAATTTATTCATATTGGTATTTAGCCATTTCTTTTAGCTTAGATACATAGAATTAAAACTATGTTCAAATTTAGCGAAAGTACCGCTACTTGTGCAAAATTTCATGGTTTCCAAGGTGGCAATGGCCAATGTGTCAATTTGAATTACGCGTTTCGAATCTTAACAAAATAATTTACTGTTATCGATACTTTCCACGTTTCTTGAATCACCAAATCCGAAAAGTAGGTTTTGTTAAGAACTTTTTACAAGACATTTAAAAGCATGAGGGTTGATTATGGAACTGTTAATATTTTTAGGTCTGCTAATATATCATTGCATCAAAAAGAAATAATACAAACAGTTATTGCAAATTTCCTTATCCCATCATTAGACTAATGGTGCATGGGACGGACGCCTCTAAGTGTATCTTTTTAACAGCCATTATGGCAAGTAGGTGTAAGTTTAAATTACAAGAAATGGAACCTAGAAATGTCCGGGTTTTACCATTAAGCCATTTAGACGCCTTCGAGTGATACAGTGAGTACATAATTCAAATGGAAAGAACATTCTAATAAATATATTTAATTAATTTTAGTAAAGTCCATTTCCTATTATTACTAATATGTTGTTGTTTGGTCTCAATTTTCTATAATATTAATTTAAATAATGTTTAAAATATTGATCGTTTCAAGTGATTAGAGTTCTTGCGTAATATTATAATATGAAGCTACCCTTTAGTACCATAATTATCTTTATGCATAAGATGAGTCATACAACATGATGGAAGTTTAGATTTAAGTAGTACTTAACCGCATCCGGTTATGTATTTACATAATTTTAAAATTTGAAGATGAAAAAATATAAGAAGCAGCTTTTTCAAAATTTATTTTTCTGTCTCGCTTAAAATTTATTTTACCCTTAACTTTCATAACTGAGTTCGTACGCCTGAACCCTGGAATTTCGTACACGGATTTTTATCCCTTATCCAGGTATATCTAACAACGAAGAAACGACGTATATAGGCTACGTGGTCGTTTGTATCTATTTTATTTTTCTTAAACGTGATCTTCAATAATTTTAATTACAGATAAATTTTCCGCAATCAACTAAGGGTGACAGTGACGATGATTCGAGCGGGCGAAGTAAGTAAAAACATACAATAAATAGTTATGTAGGGACTTCAGAATTTAACACAATCTATTTCCACGTATCATAAGATATACTAAGTTACTACTACTATGTTTTAAGTAAGTTAGAATTAATATAAATAGTAGAGCAGTACAAACTCATCATATAGGTACCGTTAAGAAAAATTAGGGATTTTGACAAAAATTAATCATCGTAATTCAATTCGTATCGAAATACCTATTCTTCTAGCGCTTATAGTCTCAACTCTGAGTCTTACCGTTAGATTCTGGATTCGCTTTTATTTATTTCCGATACACGTAATTTATGTAATTATTAACATAGCAACAATACTAATTTGTTCCTGATAGAAGCAATGAATCAACGGAATTCCTCAAATTGTTTTGTATCATTGTTTATTATTTTGCAATAATCTTATCTGTAGTATGTAGTTTCCAGGTAAAAATTATTACATATGAATCTTTGTCGCATAAATATAGAATTCATTAAAGAATTGTTGTGAAATACAAAAGTCATTGGTTTCTTTCCTATAACTAGAATTATCATTAACAATGTAGGCGCCCTCCATGGTGTTTGATTTATGTTATAAGTATTAAATTGCTATGGCATTTTCCCACTTATGAGAGGATAACAACTTGATTCTTTTGGAGAATATTAAAACTTTTGTATTACGAGTAAAAGAGAGAAGTAAAATGTTATTTTTTAAAAGGTCTAGTGTTTTTAGATAATTATGTAACGTTAACTTAAGATAGACATAGCGAGCAGGATAATGAATTTATTCATTATACAATTATAATTGACGATGGGGACAATCATATAATAATTAATGGCTATTTACAAAGAAAAATAAAATACAATGCTTTTGCATAAAAAACCTACTGCATTTTTCAAATTATCTTATTTAAACCATTATTACAAAGATTAAACTGAAGTAGGTACTCTTTCTGGCAGAATATCAATGAATCTTATGAAAATAAAGGAGGGCATTTCCCTACCAAGACTATGATCATGATTATTTTCTATTTCCAGACATGTGCTTGCCCGCTGCAAGAGTTCGGACCATCCATGGCTGGGTCCTGTGGAGGCCAGATAATTCTATTTATGTCTATATTGGAGTCCTTTATTAAAGGTCGATGTGATCTTGTGGATCCCTGTAACAGAGTGGTTGAAAAGGAGCAGTATGATGATAGCTATGACTTCGTGGTTGTTGGGGGTGGAACAGCAGGTGCCATTGTTGCTGCTCGATTATCGGAAAATCCGCAATGGAAGGTTATTGAATTTTCATTTTGTATTTCCGTATAGTAGGTATAGCAGAAAATGTTTATGACTCGCTGGTCAAGAGCTAAGTTTATTTTAACGTTGGCTACGCGGGTTTATACACTGACAAAACAATTTTAATATTTGTCAAGGTTTAAAAGAAAGCCTAGTACTCAATAAAATCATATGTCGTATTTTAAACCAAGCGAAAAACGTATATAAAGTATTTTAAAAGAATTCACGTTTCTATTCACTCGTCACGTGAGACCCGCACCGCAAGCCTCCCTGACCCAGTAAAAAGCGTGATATTGTCATAAATTTAAATTGTAGGTTTCGGTTTATGTAAAATATTCTATATCCAGCTTGGTTTGTACATCTATATTTTCATGTAAAAAGTGAAACCTTTTGATATCATACCAATAAATTGATATGTTATTTCGTGCTTAGAAACAGTCGCTGCTAGCTTTTGTTTGTTAGCAAAGGTTTACGATATTGACAAACTATACACATAAAGAAGAATTTTCAAAATGCAAATGACAGTTGTGTTCAGGTTAGTTATAAATATATAAACAGTGAAATATACACTATGGATAGAAGGGTAGTTTATATTATTTTAATATTTTTTCGAATTTTAATAAGAATTAGTAAAAATAGTAAATTTTCTTATAAAAACGCAAAATAAATTATAACTCTGCAGGGGTTGAGCTTAGAGACCTCCCGTAGATTAATGTTTTGCAGCTGATGACCTCATCTATCCCCTATTTGCGTTTGATCCACGAGTTTTTGGCCAACCTGTATATCTTATAAATATGACAGTTTACTATTTTAAAATCTGTTATACGTAAATCTTTATCTTAATCTTGACCATGGTCAGAATTATCAACCCGTAACGTCCTTTGATGTTCTTAAAAGTTTTGTCTCAATAAAGTCTTATTTATGTGTGAAATAAAACTGTTTTATGATTGCGCTAGATTCTTATTATCATTTTATTATGTTTTCAAGGTTCTTCTCATAGAAGCAGGCGGCGAGGAACCATCTCCGTCCTCAGTGCCGGCGTGGGTGACTGCATTTTGGAATAAAAACGATACTGACTGGAACTACAAAACAGAGCCACAAGAAAAAGCCTGCCTGGCTACTGGAGGACGCTGTTCTTGGCATAGAGGGAAAATGCTAGGTATAGAAAGTTATTATTATGTGTATATATGCTGAGTTGTCCTATAATGAAACTTAATTATACTTGTAAGAACAACGTATAAACCTTTGTTATTATAACGTAATAATCAACGCTCTGTTACTACTGTTGAATATGTGAAGAAGTGATGAAAACGGTCGGAGTTACTTAAAAGTAAATATTTTTTAACAAGGTTTCTAAGAAAGATTATTAAATATACGGATATTTAACATCTGAGGTGAATTAAAAGTGTTTTTACTATAAATTATAGAATGTAGATAGAAACTACATTGTTATAGATTAATACTGAATTATAAAATTACTAAAATCGAATTATTTATTATTCTCATTTTCTATTTATATATTTTAAATTATTATTAATAATTTTCATGATTTAATTTACCTTTAAGCTAACCTACAAATATAATATTTAGGATAATATTGTAATTAAGACACCAACATCTATATTATTTATGTAATAATAAATTTTGTTTTTATTATAAGGCTCTTGTTTTAGCCAAAATATATCTGTAAGCATTTTAATCAAATAAAACTCCAATATTCTTTATCATAATGCTACTATATTTTTATTATTATATTATAAGTTTATATATTTTTTGTACTCTAGTTGATAAAAAACATATAATCTATTGTTTAATTCGCTCCAGGTGGATGTTCCGTGATCAACGGCATGATGTATATGAGAGGTCACGCAGCGGACTATGACGGATGGGCAGTGAATGGCGCACCTGGTTGGTCATGGTTTGAAGTTATGCCTTACTTCCTGAGGAGCGAAGACAATAAGGAGATAAGCGAGGGCGTCTCTGGACAGTATCATAATACTGGCGGTCCTATCCCTGTTCAAAGAGTATGTAATAACTATGACTAAGAATAATAATAATTCTTTATTTCTCCCATATATTATTAGTATTGGGAGACTGGTTTCCAAGCTAGATAAGAACCTGTAATATGGATAACCAGGCTTCCATTCCACGTCTAAGTCATACTGAGTCATAACAAAAAAAAGTACAAGTAAAGTAAAAGTATACGTGTGTGTGTCTGTCTGTGCGTTTCTGTGTGAGTGACTGTGTTGTGTGTGTGAGTGAGTGTGTGTACGTAAGTGAGTATTTGGGAGGGTGTGTGTGTTGTGTGTGTGAGTGAGTGTGTGTACGTGAGTGAGTATTTGGGAGGGTGTGTGTGGGTTGGTATCAGGCACACGCTTAAGACTATGATATTATGTAGAAATTATATTAATACATATAGCAGATTTTTCGTTTAGTCTTAGTTCAAAGTAAGTAAAAATTTATAGACTAACTGCTATAGAAGTCTCGTAACTCTCCTATAAAATACATTAATCTAGTTTACTATAATTATTTCCTTTAAGGAAAAAATAATGATGAAATAACTATTGTTTTGTTGGAAATCAAACCGAGGTAATATGGTATTGGGGATCTGCAAGCATAAGTAAAAACTTGCAGAGTGGCATTAGGCATGAGCCATATATTTTTCTTCTTTATTTTCGTGTTTATATTATTGTTAACACTCATAAAATAGTCAATCATGAGTCAACCCAGTATCCAGTGTCTTCTATTTATATCTACCTCATCTAAAATCCCGGGAATTCTCATTGCATTTGGCAAACGATATATTGATAGAAGTGTTGGCCTAGTGCCTTCAGCGTGCGACTCTCATCCCTGAGGCCGTATCCCCTTCTGTGCACCGACGGACAGGTCGCTTTCTGTCTATGTGCGCATCTAACTCGCTCGTACGGTGAAAACATCGAGAGGAAACCGGCATGTCTAAAATCTAAAAATCGATGACATGTGAGAGACACAAGGCTGATAACCTACTTTTCTATGAAATACATAAATTACTTTATCCTGTAATCTCAAAACCTATTCAAACTAAAGAAGTCCATAATATAGGTCAGAGACTCGAGTTGCCAGGAAATGATCGCTTAGCAGCGAAAGGTCGCATGCATTATGTATTTTTATTTTATTCTGTTTAATTTTATAATGTGCTATTAAGTTTACATACAAGAATGGGATGTAAAGATGTTCTAGATACATATATGACTCAATATCTAATCGAACGGTTTAAACACTTTGCCTCCTTTAGGTATAGGTTTAAAGTTTTAGAATGTTTGTTAAATTACCATATTTTGCCATAAAATTCGCCAATAATGGGTATTTTTAGATATATCGAAAGCGGATCCAAAATCAAGTTTCATACAGGTATTCAATTCGATTAAGTGAAAGCGGGACCGGTTCGATTTAACATAAATCCTTATTACAGGAAAATAAAATAAGGTTTTAATGAATTTATTGGCCTACATTAATTAACATATGAAAATACGGTTGTAGACTTTAGGTACCTACGTGTCCTAGAAAATGTTTGCCCGCATAGCAATTGAATAATGCATTTGACGATATTAGATCCGTTTGATTATTGTAGATAAATCAAAGATGTATTATTTAAAAAAAAAATTTTCTAGGGCTTGTTAAAATATGTGTAAGAGGTATGTAAATACCTTTGCAGATAAAAAATCACTTTGTGTACGCCACACGGGCTAGATTATTATAGAAAAAGGAGGTTATCAAGAAGTTCTTTAGTTATTCATTTAACTATTAACACATTATAACATTATAGAAAATCTTAATAATTATAAAAAATATTACAGTTCCGATATGCGCCACGCTTCGCTCACGATGTTGTATCAGCGGCTATCGAATTGGGATTCACTCCTACGAGCGATCTTAATGGAGAGACAACGACGGGCTTTACGATAGCACAGGCATTTAACGAGTAAGAAAAATCTAAATATATTATGACATTATCAGACTAAACCAATGTTGATACCATAAGTTAAAGAATTGAGGACCATAAATATTATTAAAAAAATTGTAAAGCTAACAATTTTTTTATATATTTACCTCGTTGTTACCAAACATAAATCATAAAAAGGAATGAAGGTCTTTTTCTCACTCTGCAGTTCGCATTTTGTTTTTTGATCTGCCGTAAGCCCTAACGTATACTCTTCTATAGAACATTATTTAAGGCGAATGGCCTACTCGAAACTATTTTGTATTCACTCAATTTAGGAAATCAAACATTCAAGTCATGTGCCACTAAGCCATGGAGTCGGTAATTGGTCCTGTATCGTAGTAGAAGCAGGATTAACTGGTGGTAGTACAATAAATGTTATTGTTATACATAGTTTCTATCATCTTTAGCAAATAAGTCACTATTTCTTTCAGTGGCGGTACGAGATTTAGCACAGCGCGTGCATATCTTCGCCCAGCTTCTCACCGAGAAAATTTAGACGTAATACTCAACGCTTTAGGGACAAGGGTCATTATAGATCCCCATACTAAGACTGTTACTGGTGTTGAATATATCAAGAACGGCGAGACCAAAACGGTCGGGGTCACTAAAGAGGTACGCGTCTCATTCGTAAAAATAAATAATAGACATTTGAACTTAAATACGCTTAGTATTACAATTTTCTTAGCGTCTTCTTCTAATTTTTTTTATTTAAATTATTCGTATCTATGATTTACTTAAGCATAATTATGTGGTACTATTCATAAATAACATTTATTTTCAGGCTATTCTATCTGGCGGTACAATGGCTTCTCCACAAATTCTGCTTCTCTCGGGAGTAGGACCAAAAGAGACTTTAGACAAATTTAACATCCCGGTAATCAAAGATCTGCCCGGCGTAGGGCAGAACCTTCACAATCACGTAGGAGTGACACTTGACTTCACCCTAGCGAAGGAGCCAGACCTTCCAGAACTGAATTGGGAGAGTGCCATGGAATATATGTTAGAAAGGAAAGGCCCATTGTCAGGGACAGGAATGTCTCAGGTATGTTATTACCATTGCAAGAAAATTGTTTGTATTATTGTCTTCTAATCTTTATTTCTCATTAAAACTATGCAAATATATTGTGCTGTGCAAAGGAAGTTCATAATTAAATTCCAAACTCTCTCAATTTGAATCTTTCTACGTTTTTGAAAAGTTTAAGTAATAAACTAGCGTAGACCCAAGAATACACAAACATCACTTAGGTTTCGATTCGGATATTAACATAATAAGACCTCATAATTTTTACAGTTGACTGGGATGATAAATTCCCGGTTAGCGCCAGCTGGTGGACGTCACCCTGACATACAGTATTTCTTTGGGGGCTACTACGCGGCTTGTGGTGACGGGTCCTTGGGACCAGACGACTTGGAGAATGCGAAAAAGAGAAAAATAACGTTAGTAATAAGAACCTTTTTTTAAAATTTGAACACCCAACACTCCGAAGCATGGGTTAATCTCATTCTGCGTCTTTTATTGAAAATTTCAATGTGGCTTTCTGTGTAACCAAACCGAAAACAATTACTGTCTTTTTTTTAAAAAGGTAGGGAGGGAAATGGGGTATAAGGGGAGGGAGAGGAGAAAAAAAGAAAAAAAAGAAAAAAAAAAAAAAAAAAAAAAAAAAGAGAAGGGAGGGGAGGGGGGGGGGGGGAAGAAAGAAAGAAAAAAAAAAAAAAAAAAAAAAGAGGGGGGGGGGGGGAGAGGGAAGGGGGGGGGGGGAGGGGGGGGGGGGGGGGGGGGGGGGGGGGGGGGGGGTGGTTTTTGGGGATGGAGAAGGGGGAAAGAAAGAGGAGGGGAGGAGGGGGGGGGAGGAAAAAGAAAAGAGGAAGAAGAAAAAAAAAAAAAAAAAAAAGAGGGGGGGGGGGTGTGGGGGGAGAAAAAAAGAAAGAATACACAGAAAAAAGAAATTTTGTTTTATAAAGCCACCGCCTCCTTCTTTTTCGGGACATCCCTTTGCCGGGGGGGGGGGGGGGGGGTTGAAGGGGGGGGCCCCCCCTGGGGGATACGTTCTTTTTTGTGGGGGAAAACCCCCTGCCAGGGGTTTTACTCGACTGTTTCGTCAGGAATCGAGCAAATACTGACCTTAAGTCTCGTAAGTGGTAAGAAGATATTAGTAAACAAAATAATAATTGTAGAATAGATGTGTATACGGAGGTATTGATTTTTTTTAGTATATCAGCAATTGCCCTTCAACCAAAAAGCCGTGGTTTCTTAACGCTGCGTTCAGGAGACCCATTTGACCACCCATTGTTTCACCCTAACTACTTTCAAGATGATCACGATTTGGCAGTATTGGTTGAGGCTGCAAGGACTGCGTACCGGTTGGCTAATACTACAGTAAGCTGAATTTGACGTTTTATAATATTGCAGATAGTAAGACAGAAATGTAAAATGTAGTAAAAATCTGCCCGCTATGCTTATTAAATATAAAGAGCTCCTTCCGCATCCTGAGATAATGATATAATTATGTATAAATGAAGTAACATGTACAAATTTTGGTGGTCATTAAACTCTCCCGTCATCAAACAGAATTACTACGAGCATTTATTAAAAGTTGGGATGTAGTTCACCCAAACTTATGTCTGCATCTTTGTGCTGTGTCTAATAATAATCCGTATTTTATAGTGAAACTTAATTACGTAAACACTTAAAACGTAATTATTTTCAGAATATGATTAAACTTTTATTTACTTACCAGATACTTCGCGAAAAGTACGGCATGCATCCCACCGAGAACTATGGAGAGCAGTGTCCCGGTGGTGGATTAAACCCCACGGATGAGTTCTTCAAGTGTTTAGCACAACATTACACAGCGCCAGAGAATCACCAGGTTGGGACGTGCAAGATGGGCTCTAGCGACGACCCTATGGCTGTTGTTGACCCCACGTTGAAGGTTTATGGTATCGAAGGTGAGTAAACAGAAAATTTTGCTATTCCCTTGAAATTGTTCCGATATTTTTCATTGATCTAAAAATCTAAATTGCATTTATTTACTAAATGAGAAAATGCGTTAACATAAGAATTGTTGTTTGTGAGCTGTTCTACCTTAATGACTTTTTTATTCAGGTCTCCGAGTGATCGACGCTTCAATAATGCCAACAGTGCCGTCAGCTAACACAGCAGCACCGGTTGTAATGGTTGCGGAACGTGGAGCCGAGTTTATCGTCACTAGACATCAGAGGTTCAAGAACAGATTTGGTAGCAATACGCCTACAAAAGGTGGCGCTACCAGCCATGACGATAGGTGAATAGTTAAGCCTATATTATCACGTAACTATAAACAAGATTCTGAATATCAAAAATATAGAAAATTCATTCCCTTTTTGAAATTTTTAGACGCAATACAAATAAATTATGTCTCTCCGTTAGATATGTATGTATCACATGTAATGTTCATAATTCACTAACCCTTGGATGAATATTAATATTTCTTTTGACCGATTCTTTGTTTTGGCCCCGCTATTGACTAATGTAACAAACAACTTATCATTAGTTATTTTACAGGTGGACATACTACAACTCCAATAAAGATAGCAAATGGAACAATAGAGATTGGGTTTTCAACATGAATAGGCAAAATACCCAAAAACCTCAAGACTGGTACAGGCTGAATAATGTTTATCCTACTAGGCAATCGCACAGATAATGAAATACGAAAATCAGTACACCGAATTAAATTATTTTATTGTAAGACTTAGTTAAACGAAACGTAAAAATATATTTGCTGGCTTACAAAGAGTCGGTCACGTCTAAATCAGTTTTAATGAATCGAGCGTAATTGTAACGATTTAGTGAAATATCAGTATTATACAAAATTTCTCGTTATTGAAATCTAAAATGTATTAAGTTTAAGATTTTTGACTGCTCTTTTTAAAAAACATTATTTTGTACAGAATAAGAAAAACAATCATGTTATAAAACTATTTTAACTATCGAATTTGTTTTCACAACCAAATCTGCTGTTAAATCTATAGAAATGATTAATCGTAAACTATTGAAAACCGGATCGAAGGACCATAAGATTTTGCATTGTTTTACAAATTTGAAGGACATTAAAGTACATTTCTAACGGAACAAGTTCTATTAAATGTATTCAAGCGTAATCCTATGTAAGTGGACTGAAATAACAGTATATGTTACGCTAACCAATGTATTACAAAATAGCATTAATAAATTATCAAATTAAGTGACCTCGATGATGCACTAATTTATAACTATTGTTAGCCAAACTCGTAAAATGCTAAAAACTTTGCATTAATAATGATTCGTATAGGAATAAAAAAAAATTATAGAAAATGTATAATTTATTTAAAATTGGTTGCTTCATAAAATAATGTATTTTTTATTTCCTATCTTAATAATAATGACATATTATTTATTTTTTCCTTTCTTTCCTTTGCCTTTCGCAGGCACAGGTTCTGGATCAGATTCTGATCTGAAAAATAAAGATGACAATGTTTTGTGCTATGTTCTATAATATCACTAAAACGAGCTCATCATATATGATTAAGGAAGTTTATATAACTCAAACTCAAACTCAAAATATCTTTATTCAAGTAGGTAACCAAGTACACTTTTGAATCGTCAAGTTAAATTAATCGTAAATTTACATTTACTACCAGTTCGCAAGTCAAGGGCGTAGAGCGGGTAAGAAGAACTGGCAAGAAACTTTCCGCCACTCTTTTTAATCGCCAAGTATTGTCATACAAATTGTTTGAACTGGAGCAATTCAATCCCAAGGATTAGGATCATTTAAGTAGTCCTCAAATTTATAAAAAGCTTTGTTGATTAATTTTCGTTTAACGAGGGCTTTGAATTTATTTAGTGATAATTCTCTAATTTCGCTTGGGAGCTTGTTGTAAAAACGAATACAATTTCCATATAAGGAGTGGTTTATCTTTTGGAGCCTGGTTGGTCGTACACTCAAATTAGTTCTGTTTCGCGTATTATACTGGTGAAAGTCACCATTTGTTTTAAAATCGTTTATATTTTTTTGGACATACAACAAGGCTTCAAGAATATATTGACCAGATAGTGTCATAATATTTAATTCCTTAAACTTATTCCGTACCGACTCCCTCGGAGAAACACAACAAATACCCCGAACAGCCCGCTTCTGCAGCACAAATATGGATTGAACCTCTGCAGCAGCACCCCACAGTAAAATGCCGTACGACATAACGCTATGAAAGTAGCTATGGTACACAATTTTAGCCGTGTCCTCATCAGTAAACTGTCGGATTTTCTTTACTGCATATGCTGCAGAGCTCAGCCTATTCGAAAGAGTCTCTATGTGTGGGCCCCATTGGAGTTTACTATCTATTGTTATGCCTAGAAAAACAGTTTTGTCAACAAAGTTTAGTTCACTGTCCTTAATTTTCAGGTTACCAATATCTCGCTTTACGCTAGTAGTTGTAAATCTAATACATTTTGTTTTATTCTCATTAAGCAATAAGTTATTTACATTAAACCAGTTAACTATACGAGAGATAGAATTGTTTACATCGTCCAATAATACGTTATTCCTATTCACTTTAAATAGAAGTGAAGTGTCATCAGCAAACAATACCATCTCATGAACTTCGTTGACAAAGAATGGGAGGTCATTTATGTAAATCAGAAATAAGAAAGGCCCGAGAATCGATCCTTGGGGGACGCCCAATGATACCTGCGAACCCGGAGAGGTGACTCCATTGACATGAACTCTTTGGATCCTTCCCTTTAAATATGAATTCATCAGGCTGGAAGCTTTGCCATCAACGCCATAGTGTTGAAGCTTTCCAACGAGTATATCAGGATGAACACAGTCAAAGGCCTTTGACAGGTCACAAAAGACGCCGACTCCATCATATGATTCTTCCCAGGCGTTAAATATGTCCGAAATCAACTTCACACCGGCATCGATTGTGGAGCGACCCTTAGTGAAACCATACTGTTTATTATGTAAGAGTTTATTTTTATTAAAATGTAAAGAAAGCTGGTCTAGCATTATCTTTTCAAAAACTTTGCTCAACGCAGGGAGCACGGAAACAGGTCTGAAGTTTGACGGATCAGACTCACTACCGGCCTTGAACAACGGTGTAATCTTACTTAATTTCATTTCGTCCGGAAAGACTCCACAATCGATACATCTGTTAAAAATTATAGACAATTCAGAGCTTATTACATTAATAACGGAATTTAAAATGACTGTTTACATACCCCATATATCTTTACTTTTTTTTAAATTAATAAGCTTAAAAGTTTTAACGATATCATTACAAGTTATATGTTTAAACTGAAATTTAATATTACATTCAGGTACACATTTTTCTAGCAATGAGATCGCAGCAGCAGGTGAAGAATCTAGGGACTTGGTCGTATTTAGTGGTACATTTGTAAAGAACTCTTCAAAAGAAGAAGCTACCTCTGGGTCAGATTTTATTAACTTCCCTTTAACTTTTAACATATAATCAGTTCGTTTGTCAGACGTTTTACCTGATTCTTCATTTATTATTTTCCAGGTAGCTTTTACTTTATCCATGCTATTTTTTATTTTTGAACTTAAATATTGAGACTTTGCAGTTTTGCAATCTTTTTTGAAATTATTTGAATACAACCTAACATATTCCCTAAATTCCACACAAGTGTTATATTGCATTTCGTCATAGATTTCATATAATTTTAACCTTTTCCTGTGTAACTCCTCATTTGCCCAGTCACAGAAACTTGTTTTCTCAGAGACCAATAAAGTCTTTTGAGTAAATACTTTCTTGAATTCATCAATAAATGATCCAAAAAAAGTATTGTATAAATTATTAGGGGATGAGTTGCCACACAGAAATGGCATTCTATAGACCAATGCTTCTCTAAATCTGTCCAAACGGTCATTTGTAATAGGAGTTATCACAATTTTCTTCTTTTTACATGTTTTTTGTTTCCTTAATTGGAATTCAAACCATTGACCAGTGTGATCAGATTTAAATCTATTGAAAATACAAACATTCAAAGGGGCTATATCACTATATATATTATCTATACAAGTTGCGGTGCTAGCTGTTATTCTTGTGGGTGAATGAAATTGATTTATTAAATTGTATGAACGAAAAGACTAAGTATGCGTACACTTGAATTAGAATGACAAAGTAAATTGACATTAAAGTCCCCACACACAATTAGCCCTTTATTACACTTTACTAATTTACACAATATCTCCTCTAATACATTTTCAACATTATTATAGACAGCTGATGGAGGACAATATAGACATACAACAATGAATTGCTCCAGTTCCACACAGTTCCACACAGTTATAGAAAATGCATTTCCACTGCTTTAATTAAGAAACGTGTAAGTAACATATTAATTTTTTTTTTAATCCAAGGGGAAATGGTACCCGCAACTCTATGTCATCATATAGAGTATATTCAGTTTTATTAACACCTGTATACCATAATCGAATAAATTAAATTATAGGCAAAAATCATGAAAAATTGTTTATTAGTTAGAGCAAGAAAAATTTACACTTACGATTGGCTATTTTCCGGCGTCTCTGGCACAGTCACGTTTGATTTTGACGCGCGTCTACTCGTATCATCCTCTGACATATTAAGCACTTCTTGTTGCTGAAAATCGTATTAAATTACATTACTTAATTCGCTATCTATATATATTTTGAATTTAGACATCTATAAAATATATACTATTAAAATAATAATAATGTTCCAGTAACGCTACAGCTTTAGCTCTTGGCCTCAGACTGCATTTTTCGATTTCAAAGTATTATAAAATAATATAAAAAAATTGTGTACAGTGAATAAAACAAAAATGGAGCAATACATAACATACATAAGTCAAAGAATAATAAAACTGAATATTTTTAATTTGAAAATGCTATTTAAATTACAGCATAAAGGAATTTCACATTTTTAATAAATTGAGAATAACTTACAATTTCATTATCATATATTATAGTATGGAGTTGCGTATCATCTGATGAGTCGTGCATGAACTGTGGACTACCTGTACTGTTGCGAGAACCCATTGATGATCGAGTCGAACGGCGAGGGGCTACCACTGAAAAAATATTTTATATGAGCTGCAATATTGAATTTCATTCCCGTTAATATAATTGGTGAAAGTTTGAAAACATAAGGAATGCTTGATGCATTGATCATCTATTTAGCCAGAGTTTCAAATTTATATTATTAAAGAATCCTATCCTAAGTTACATATATCTATATATTTTAGTTAATAATTAGAAGCGTAAACCAAATATTAGCAATCGTCGCACACTTGAAGCCAAATTGAGCCCTTCAGTTTTTTCCGCACTCTTAAATTGGAATGTATTTTTATTTATTTAGTTATTAAGCTTACGACATCACACACAGTCCTAAATCTACTAATTATTTTACAAAATCTTACATCTAAAATGTGTGACAATTAATGTAAGCATAAGTTTCTTAAAAAAAAAATTAATACAGAAATTTGTTGGCACATAGAGCAGAAAAAAAATGAAAAATCATCAGCAAAACAGCGAAATTAGGTTCGAGAGAGGCACCCCACAATGCTTTCTCTAAAACCGATCAGCCCACTACCGAATATATTCAGCTCCGGATAAGCTGTGTTCAATTTGTTGAAATCGCGAAGAATTCGAACGTAATAAAAACTTCTTCTTACCAATAATGTCGAAAAAGGACGACTGTACTTGTATTGAAGTATCAATTAGATTTATGAACCCTTAGATAAGCCAAGTTAGTTTTTGTTAGCGTCGCAACCTCACTACCCCTAATTTTAGGTTTGTAATGTTTTTAACAATTAAAGTTAGTAGTTACCCAGCTTCAAATAGTGTTTCATTTAACATATATCTAACACAACAACCGGCACCTAACTTGACTCTCGGAACAATTTTTTATAAAATGTTAGGTATATTATATTTCTATGTGCAATGTACTACTTTATATTATAACTAGTTGATCCGGCAAACGTCGTTTTGCCATGTATATCATTTATAATAAAAATAGGGGTTGATCGTAAAGGGATGAAAATTAGGGGTTGTATGTATTTTTAATGCTGTATCATAAAAAAATTAAACAATAAAAATTTATCTAAAAATTAAAAAAGAAAATAGGGGTGGACTACCCTTAACATTTAGGGGGAAGAAAAATAGATATTGTCCGATTCTCAGATATACCCAATATGCACACAAAATTTCATGAGAATCAGTCGAGCCGTTTCGGAGGAGTTTAACCACAAACACCGCGACACGAGAATTTTATATATTAGATAGAGATATATTTTAGGATGACGGTGATCTAACAAATAGTTTCAAATAAATCATAAATTACCTTCTTTCTTCTTCTTCTGCGTATTCTTCTTTTTGTCCTTCTTCTGACTTCTGTCTGTGTCAGAACTTGTACTGGATTGTGCAACTTGAGAAGATTTACGAACGGTAACATTTGATGCGTCCAAGTCGCTGAATGGCGACGAACTTAATGGGGACTTCTGTTTTTCTTGGGATTTCTGTTTCTCCACTGTTTTCCCATTTGCTGAAATATTTTCTAGCATTAGAAAACGACTCAAAAAGTGTTATGTTTTAGCTTTGTTAGCCTCTCGCTTGATTTATTTACCCGGAGATGTCAGATCCTATACTTACATACTTAGCGCTTAGTGTTCACTCTAAATCAATTGTTTTGTAATGAAGGACATAAAAGCAATGTTTAGGGGTGCAGAGAGAAAAAAATATTTCTTTCCCATAGCCCATTTCCAAGAAGCTAAAATGCTCCTTTAATTCATCTTTAACGATTTAATGGTATTTTTTTATTTTATTAGTAATATTAAGTGTTCAGTAAATGATTCCAATTTATTCCAACAGTCAAGATGATTTCAATGTAAATAAGTTTTGATATATAAAATTTGTGTATTCATATTTTCAAATATTCAATATGTCAAAAAGTATGAAAAATATATTTATTTCTGTGTTCAATAAATCTAATTTAAATATAAAGTACAGCATTGATTTTTAGGCGGGCTATTTACCTCTATCAATATCAACTACAGATCTTTCTGACCGACTCCTCTTATAACCTTTCTTTTTCTTCTCCTTTGAGTTTACTTTATTTTTGGACTGGGTAGGTTCCTCTTCTGGTGGCGTAGTTTCCTTCGTTACAGGCAATTTCTTTTTCTTTCCTATAAAACATCTCATTATAATCAATACTTATAATTGGCAACTTGTTTCTACATTATCTATTAAGTCACAGAAAACCTTATCTATGTAAATATGCAAATGTATCAATTGCATATAGAAGTAAAAATAGACAGTGATATTAAGAAAGATTTATTATATTTTCAAGGCCAGATACAAAAATATGGTTATTACAAATTTAAAGCATACTGGCGGCAAATTATCGGAAAATTTGCTAAATTTCCACTCTAACTGTACATCAATTCTTTGAATTTTTATGTAGTTCCTTATCAGGCAATGTAAAACAATTTCAGCAGTTTCCGAGAAAAAGAAAATACTCTTGAAAATAAAATTGTAAGATATTGTGAATTTACCTTTAGTCATTTTAGGTTTCTTAACTGGTGATATGTCACTGTCCGAGTCACTCCTTAGATCTTGTGAAACCGGAACGGAATTTGGATCTGAGGACACCACTTCGTTGTCCTTATTGACTTCGGTTTCTGGGTCTAGTAATTATTATTAGTTATTATAAAGACAATTCACACCAATTGACCTAGTCCCATGCTAGCTGGTGAAGCTTGTGTTATGGGTACTAGGCAACGGATATACATACATATTATAGATAGATATACATATAAATACATATTTAAACACCCAAGACCTAAGCACAACACCAAATGCTCATCACATCGATGTTCGCCTCAGCCGGGGATCGAACCCGGGACCCATGGATTCGCAACCACTAGACCAATGGTCGTAGTCGATTAGTTATTATCTATGAATTTTTAAACGCATAAAAATTATTGAACTGATTATGTTCGTGTAGGTTATACTTCTCACGACTTAGTGACCGATTTAATGAGGTCTTAGTTATAAACATAAAAAACAGTAGCGCTACAACCTCCGAGGTCTGAGCCTCAGGTTTCTGTATCTGTTTGGTAATCAATTAATTTATTATAATGGGCAAGTAGAAGTAGAGAGGAGAGTCGCACGCTGTAACCACTAGGCCAACACTGCTCCTTTTCCTTAGATATGAACTGTCATAGTCCTGACTTCTAGAGATTTTAGTCGCGGATAGAAACAATATGATCTAAAATTATATTCATCAAGACATCCGAGATTATCATCATTATGAGGAAATTTACCAACTTCTGATTTTGTTGGACAAAATCAAAAGTACGCTACAACCTCTTTAGGTCTTGGCCTCAGATTTCTGAATATGTTTCATGATCATTTTTCAATTTAATAGGCAAGTAGGTGATCAGCCTCCAGTGCCTGACACACGCCGTCGACTTTTTGGGTCTAAGACATGTCGGTTTCCTCACGATGTTTTCCTTCACCGTTCGAGCGAATGTTAAATGCGCACATAGAAAGAAAGTCCATTGGTGCACAGCCGGGGATCGAACCTACGATCTCAGGCATAAGAGTCGCACGCTGAAGCCACTAGGCCAACACAGCTCTATACGATATATTTTGAACAAACCTTCAGGTATTTTAGATGGCTCAGTGGGTGACGTTTCGTCTATTTCCACTTCCTCTTCGACAGTTTCGTTTATGACAACATGTGTGCTACGCGCTAATGGTTGAGCTGCAAGAAATACACATATAGATATTAGTACTTTTCCTGCACAAAAATTATAACTAATCTGTATTTTAATCTCGTATTCGAACAAGTACGAGTACTATTAAAATGACCGCGTTTCGAATAATTCGACGAATCTAATAATAACTATACAGTCTAAATCTGTATATTTTATTTTGTCAAATAGCTATTGAATGATTTTTCTTCATAATTATCGTGTCACTATAAAACTATATTCGTTCATAAATATGGAGATATAAAGAACAGCATTTCTATTTTTCTACGACATTTTTCCCATGTTTGTTTTTGACCTAAAGTCATGTAACCTAATTTATAATAAAATCCTAATAAAATCTATACTATTAAAACTAATAATGTGAGGCTATTATAATGACTCATAGATGGCGTTATTGTCAAATGTACATGATTGATAGTGATATAATACGAACTACAATGCTGCGTATTTATGAAACTTATATAAATAAATAATACACACTCATAGACAATTTCTTAAACGTATATATAGTAGACCGCATACTGCTTGTCATCGTATCTGTTAAAAAAATTATAGAAGAAATGGTTGTACTACCGATGTCTATTGAATATATTGTCTATTTTTGGTCTGTAATTGTAAGAAGGCGATTAAGAAGTAATATGACTGGAACAAACGGAATGCGTTATTGATATATATTCTTTAACAGACTTTTGCGATTTTTTTTTTAATTTTGCTCTTTGACATACTTTAGTGAGTTAATACATAAAATCGAATATGTAACGTAAAATAATTGTAACATTTTTTTGAAGTTATACTTCATTAGGCGCGTTATGAAAAATTGATGAGAGTGAAATTTTACAATGCGCGACCGTGACACAAAATTAACAGAATGAAGTTACCCACGGAAGAAGCTACGGCATTGGGCATAATTTAAAAACAACTTTCGAATAATAATAGAATTTATGTTACACTTAATGTAAGAGATAATAATAAATATTTATTTATTAAATTTTTCAAATGTAAACTGAACTTTATTGACTATAATGACTCCTTTAGCAGTCTTTGATTATTTAATTGTAATTAATTATTTGCATTCAATCAAAAACTATTTTTAATAATGCGAAAGAAGTATAACTTCTTACGCGCGTACATAAATACACGCACCCTTTTTTTATATGAAAAGATTGAACAGCACTTCTTGGGTATATTCTATAGTAAACGGAAGAACAGGAACATACATAATTGTGTATTGAAGATCTTCATTCAAAAATTGACATTATCGATTTGACGTTTAGGAATATTTGGTAAAACTATTGTTTATCTTGAATAAAAACAATGTTTTTATACTTACGTAACGACGTAGTTGCCCGGCCAAACACACCTAAACTATCTTCAGATGGTCGAGCATTATCTGTGATACCTGGGAAATCATTAAGTTAAAATGTATATATTATTAACTAAATCTATATTAGTACGATCTTTTTTAAATTTACATACATATACAATTTACATGTGTGTGTTTCAGCGAACCCCAAGTGGCAAAATAGGGTTTAAAAAAAATTAAATAGTAGTAATAAAAATTTCGTTTGAAATCAAAATTACCAATATAATTGAAGTACTAAAAATATGACTAACCTATACTAGACATTTTACTAAGACTAGCCCTTTCTATCGCTTCCAGAGCACCGAGATATCTTGTCAAGTTACGGCATGATTGTTTGTCAGGTAATTTCTGAAAATAAAAATTGTATAGTATAAACTTATAATATTTATTTATATCATGTTTTTCTGTGGCCGCCATTAAGGCTGTCGCACGTATTTTATAAAAATTATATAAATTTATACAAATATTATAATGCTGTACGTCTCAGGAAGCGGGTTTAGACTTGAAAAAAATGTGCACGCTACGACCTGTATTAATTACCAGAAATACCATTATATAATATGCTAGCTGTCCCGGCAAACGTTTGTTTCGCCATGTATATTATTTCTAGGAAACATTTTGTTAGTTCAATAAAAATAACTATCTACCATAATAAAAAATAGGGGTTGATCGGAGATGAGTGAAATTTAGGAATTGTATGTATTTTGTGTATGCTGTATCATAAAAAAAAATTGGACACCCCTTATCACTTAGTTTGAAAGATAGATAGTAGCCGATTCTCAGACTTGCTGAATATGCATAAAAAAATTCATAGGAATTGGTGGAGCCGTTTCGGAGAAGTATGGGAACGAACATTGTGACACGAGAATTTTATATATTAGATTATGAAAGTATTTATTTAAAAAAAATAACATACCGTACACAATTCCCTCAACATGGTAGCAAGATCGATAGCCACTTGGGTCTCCCGTGGTGGAGATAAAAGCGCGAGCATCCGGCACGCGAGCCCCGCTTCGGGTGCACTCGGATGACGAACCAAGTGACCGCATAGCACCATTGCCATTGCGCCTTGGCTATCTATAAGCTGAAAATATAAGCATTGCAGTGACAAACACATAGATCGTGACCGATTTGACAGACTACTATAATGAGATAGAAGGGAAGAGAGAGAGAGAGTGAAAATTTTGAAATTGGAAGGAAGTTAAGTAACTGTTTAGGTAGCTGTTCTATACATCATTCTTTCGTTCATTCATTCTAGAATGGAATTTTGAAAACGGACAGCCTAATTCTAGTTGCTATGAAAGTTATCAGTGAATGTTATCACAACTTGCACGTTAAACTACTACTGAAATGGTAGGGTTATATCTTGATCACAAAGCACGGAATAAGTAGAAGTCTGAAGTATTATTTATCAGTATTCAGAAGTGAAATTATATCTTAATTATAAATCCATTCCAGGGAGTAAAAGAAACAAAATTTTCTATGTTACATTCAGTGGCGTAGCTACCTAGGGGCTAGGCGGGGCAGTACCCCGGGGCCCTCAAGCTCTGGAGGCCCTCTAATCCTTACCAGAAATCTCGATCGTAGAGTGTATATTTGCGTTTTATTGTGAATTCGAGTTAAGATTTTTTTTTGAGAACGGTTAAAAAATTAATGCTGTATGAGGATTAAGTAAGATAATGTCAATAAGCTTTTTTGTACTGGTCAATATAATGGTTCAATTTTATTTGATTTTACCACTCATATTGATATCTGTTAAAGTCAATAAATCGTGTCAAATCTAAAGATTTCGGCTACAGCTCATTGTATAACGCAAATTAGATAACAATTGAAAACAAAACCGCATCAAGCCTGGATTTAAACGAAGTCATTGATACTTTTGCGAAAACTAAAGCTAGGAAAAAATTGTAAATATAATTTTATTATTTAGTCAGTTGGTAGGCCCGACCTTTATATAATAAACCCTTGAATCTTTTCTATTTCGTTTTATTCGCCAAACCTACACCAAGTATTAATTGTAATGTATGTTGTTACTGTTTAATATTTTTATTACCTGCCCTGCACAAAAAAGAGTTTAAGTAGCTTAGCATTTTTAAAGTATTTGTAAATTTCATATTATGATCAGTTATATCAGTGCGGCCCCATTTTTTAATTTGCCCTTGGTCACCAAGCTACACCTCTGGTTACATTATCATATAATTAAGCCTCAGAACTCACAGCGAAGACTCTTTAACGAAGTTTCGTCCCAAAATTAAGTTATGGAATAAATTTATTTAAATGTTGAAGCTAAAAATCAGATTTTACTAATGAAAAGATAAGGATAGAAATACCTCACTATTAAGTCGTGTAAGCGAGACAATAAATCTCACAACTGCCTCTTGATCTATTTCTGCAATGGGTGAACTGGCGGGCGCATTTGCGAGAGCACGTAGAGTCGGCAACGTCGCTTTCTATTGGAAGGAAAGGAGCGTCAACAATTTTATCGCAATTACACTAAAAATGTACATAATAATGCGGCTAAGGCTAAAATACTTTGTCACAAACGTTTTTACCAATACAGGCAGTCGACTTACGTCGTTTCGATTTTCGTCATTTCAGGTTACGTCGAACAAGGTTTTGACACTATTCCTCAAGCATACGTCATTTGTTTCGATTTCCGGCATACGAGAATTCACTTGTCGCGATGTCAATGACTAAAAAAACTTTCCGTAGCCTTTGCAAATTTGGAGAATGCCATGAAAATTTTTGAAGAAAATGATCCTAATTTTGAGAGAAGTTTCAACGTTGATAACAAAATTTGTGCAGCCTATCAGTGTTACCAAGATCTGTATGACAGCAAGAAGAAAGAAGCGAAGCAATCTAGAATTGATAGTTTCTTTAAGCCAAAAGTTTAATTTATTATTTCTCATAACATATTAAAGTTTTATAATTATTATAAAAACTAATAACACACAAATACCAAAAATAACTAGCAATTTCATGTTCATGTTTCAAAGTGCATATATAATTATTTTAAGAACTTACTTTTGATAATAAAGTATGTATATCCTTTGTTATAAATGCCCTTGAGTTTTGCATGTACACATACGAAAAATGTGTCTCGACTTACGTCGCGTATTTCAAGAACCTAACATGCCGTAAGTACGAGGACTGCCTGTATTGAAATTTGTATGGAAAAGTCTTTTGATCACGTGACTATTCCCATGTTGGTTTGGCGTGAAAGGGTTACGCCTGTCGCAAAATATTTTTTCCCTTAGGCCCAATATCGGACAAACACTAACCTGTATCTGTTCCTGAGCCCCGTCTACGCCTACGGGGAACGCTTGGAAGAATACTCCAATTATTTGTCTTAACATGTCTTCTTCGACTAAAAATATAGATAAAATTATTTCAGAGTTATAAAAGATTATCATGAGAAATTAGAATACAATTTTTAGCTACCTAGAAAATATCACTTATGAGCTATAAGCCTCATGTTACACAATTTTAGTTTCTTTAAATTGTATCGTTTCTTGTTATTTGATGTACGTATTTAATATAGTTAATACAAATAAAATTTAAAATGTATAATATACGGTGAAATATTTAATATTTTTAGTACAAACTCAGTAAACTAAGATACTAAAGTATCGGAAACTCACCAGTAGCAGGGTTGAACCACAATATCATCAATCTGCTAAGTATAGCTGGTGACTCCAAATGACCCAAATATAACAATCTGCAAATACCTTCCACTATTATGAGTCGATATGATGGACACTGAAAAAAATACTATGTTTTAAACTCTAAATAGTTGTATATTTCACTCAATTAAAAACATTTAGTATTTATAAAGCTGCTTTTGTGAAAAAAAATATCTAAAAATATTTATATAATCTCATTCGGTAATATTCTAATTATGAATTGAAATTCAGACTTTTATTGGCATATTTTATTTACATACGTCTTTAAGGAAATTAAATTAAAGCATTACTCTCCTAACAAAACAATGCTTTAAAACATTTTTTTAATTATTAAAGTACAATGTGTCTCGACCAAGGAGGTTTCAATTCAATTTAGGTACACATTATCTGTGGTGAGCGCGCTGGTTTCCGCCAATAGACCAATAACAGTCTTATAATAAATAATTTGTTTCTTTTATATTGCATTTTATTTAAAGGCTACCTATAGCAATGAGATTAAATAAAGTAGTGTATGCAACTGCATATAATTAGGTATTAAAGCACTTGTGTAATCTTATTTTTCAAAAAACTACACTCATGTTTGAATACCCTCTATTATAAAAAAAAAAAAAAAAAAAAAAAAAAAAAAAAAAAAAAAAAAAAAAAAAAAAAAAAAAAAAAAAAAAAAAAAAAAAAAAAAAAAAAAAAAAAAAAAAAAAAAAAAAAAAAAAAAAAAAAAAAAAAAAAAAAAAAAAAAAAAAAAAAAAAAAAAAAAAAAAAAGGAGGGGGGGGGGGGGGGGGGGGGGGGGGGGGGGGGGGGGGGGGGGGGGGGGGGGGGGGGGGGGGGGGGGGGGGGGGGGGGGGGGGGGGGGGGGGGAGGGGAAAGGGGGGAAAAAAAAAAAAAAAAAAAAAAAAAAAAAAAAAAGAAGGGAAAGGGGGGGGGAGGGGGGGGGGGGGGGGAGGGGGGGAAAAAAAAGGGGGGGGGGGGGGGGGGGGGGGGGGGGGGGGGGGGGGGGGGGGGGGGGGGGGGGGGAGGGGGGGGGGGGGGGGGGGGGGGGGGGGGGGGGGGGGGGGGGGGGGGGGGGGGGGGGGGGGGGGGGGGGGGGGGGGGGGGGGGGGGGGGGGGGGGGGGGGGGGGGGGGGGGGGGGGGGGGGGGGGGGGGGGGGGGGGGGGGGGGGGGGGGGGGGGGGGGGGGGGGGGGGGGGGGGGGGGGGGGGGGGGGGGGGGGGGGGGGGGGGGGGGGGGGGGGGGGGGGGGGGGGGGGGGGGGGGGGGCCGGGGGGGGGGAGGGGGGGGGGGGGGGGGGGGGGGGGGGGGGGGGGGGGGGGGGGGGGGGGGGGGGGGGGGGGGGGGGGGGGGGGGGGGGGGGGGGGGGGGGGGGGGGGGGAAAAGGGGGGGGGGGGGGGGGGGGGGGGGGGGGGGGGGGGGGGGGGGGGGGGGGGGGGGGGGGGGGGGGGGGGGGGGGGGGGGGGGGGGGGGGGGGGGGGGGGGGGGGGGGGGGGGGGGGGGGGGGGGGGGGGGGGGGGGGGGGGGGGGGGGGGGGGGGGGGGGGGGGGGGGGGGGGGGGGGGGGGGCGGGGGGGGGGGGGGGGGGGGGGGGGGGGGGGGGGGGGGGGGGGGGGGGGGGGGGGGGGGGGGGGGGGGGGGGGGGGGGGGGGGGGGGGGGGGGGGGGGGGGGGGGGGGGGGGGGGGGGGGGGGGGGGGGGGGGGGGGGGGGGGGGGGGGGGGGGGGGGGGGGGGGGGGGGGGGGGGGCCCCCCCCCACCCCAAGGGGGGGGGGGGGGGGGGGGGGGGGGGGGGGGGGGGGGGGGCGGGCCCCCCCCGCCCCCCGGGGGGGGGGGGGGGGGGGGGGGGGGGGGGGGGGGGGGAAGAGCCCGGGGGGGGGGGGGGGGGGGGGGGGGGGGGGGGGGGGGGGGGGGGGGGGGGGGGGGGGGGGGGGGGGGGGGGGGGGGGGGGGGGGGGGGGAGGGGGAAGGGGGGGGGGTGATTGGGAGGGGAAAAGGGAGGGAAGCAACCCCAAAATTTTTTTGGGGGGGGGGGGGGGCAAAAGGGGGGGGGGGGGGAGGGGAAAAAGGGGGGGGGGGGGGGGGGGGGTTGGGGGGGGGAAGGGGGGGGGGGAGGGTGGGGGAGGGGGGGGTTTTTTGAGGCCGAGGGTATGACAGTTGCATAAACTACTAATATCAAACTATATAGGCGGAAAGTATAGGACTTGAAATTTAACATGGTTCAAATATGCTTACCGGATTCTCCATAAGTTTTAAAAGTAGTTCGATAGTTGTACTGTGGCTTGACGATAGAGATATCTCGGATTCGTTTACTGTGTCTGAAATGCATATTAGGTATTACATATTTCCAAAAATCTAATACAAATTTAATTCAAGTTAAACTATTGTAACTATGTATTTTAATACGAGATCACGCCTAAAAAAAAGTATGTCTTACTAAATCAAATCTCTGTATAATATATATACATTTTTGTGTATATGTATATGTAAAAAATATATAATTTTTTAAATAGCCAAAACTTATGAAAAAATTAAACGCTTGATGCCTGACAAGTGAACATTACTTTTCTGATAAAACTAATCGTGATTTTCTTACCGTCGTCATCGTCTAGTGTATGTTGCGTATTTCGTTTCTTTGTAACTTTAGGGTCGGGCATTCCATCTTCAAAGACTTTAGCCCCGTGCACACATAACAAATCGACTACACAACGAAGAGCGGTTGCAACTCTGGTCTCTTCCGATAATAGGACTAACTGAAAATTTATTTATATACTAAATTACAAACTACCCTTCTAAACAAATTTGTATAATCAGTCTTCCCAATTTGGAAAGCTTTTTAATTTTAGTGGAGTATTCTTCTAGCGGCTTCAGCATATGCCTGAAGTCATAGGTGCGATCACCGGCTGTGCAACAACAAACTTTCAATGTGCGCATTTAACACTCGTACGGAAAAGAAAAACATCGCAAAAAAAACCACTTGCTTTTAGTGTCTAAGGCATACGTCAAGCACACTTGCCTAACAAAAAAAAGAAATGATTACGGAACATACAGAAATCTGAAGCCCAGACCTAAAAGGCAATACAAATGCTTCAAATTTTAAATAGCTGTCAGCTTCATATGTTATTATTATGGAATATAAGATAGAGGTATCACTTATTCCACGTCATTAAATTTGTCACGGTAGACATCCCTACACATCGGCAAAGAAGACAGAGGGTAGGCCGAGAGAAAAAACCGGGGTAGAAAACTCTCGGTACTCTTTTAAAATATCAAATCATCATACAAAATGACTATGTCAAACATAGATAGAAGAAACCAGAAGGAGGGAGATACGGTCCACTTTTTATTTGTATTAAATTACAAAACTTAACGGAAACCTCGCAGTCCAGTTTCCAGAAGCGGCACCTGTTCACAAGCATTATGCATTATTATGCATTTCCACACCATAGTATTTGGAAGCTCACCATAGTATATCACCATACTCAAATATTAACCACTTCCAACATAAACATACATACAGTTCAAAGGAATAACCTTTTTTCGAAGTCGGTTAAATATATACTTACATTACGAAAGAAGAACGCCTTATAATTGTTCACGTACTCCTTGTCCAACATTCCATACAATGCTACTGTTTCAAGAGCATGTTCCGTTATATCTTCGTTTTCTAGTATGTCAGACTGTAAAATAAATACAAACAGTAAAGCATCATATGGTAAAAAAGTATGGACCATCCATTTTAAAGAAAAAAAACTTTTATTTTGCCGTTCAAGTATTGCATAAGAATTACAGGGTCTTTAATTTTTTTTATTTGGTGATTACATCAACAGTAATTATTCACTATTTTACACATATTACCCACACATTGTCTATGCTTGAAAACGAAATGCATTTTCGAGGATTGCTACAAAAAATTAATACGTTTATGTACTATTATTTTTAAACTCTTCGCTTACTTTTGTTGACAAGAGGGGGGGGGGATTAATTGCAGTAAATCTGCTTCGTAATACTTGAACGGCCCCTCAATAAATATTTTTTACATTTTTTGCTTTTTGTTAGTAAAGGCTAAATTAAAAATAAACTGATTTAATTTTTACTAATAGGAAAGCTCATAGCTTAGAAGTAACATGTTTATCACATTTATAATATTTTATATTTTATATTATTTTACCAAAAAATAGATTAACAGAAGTAAACATTTTTTTATTCACTCACCTTTAGTTCTTCAAACATTGTATTTAAAATAGGCGTGACAGTCTTTAACTGAGGTGTGTCAAGCGCACTATTGATGATAATAAGGCATTTCTCCAATGTTTCACTATCTGACCTCCTTTCTCGAATGGTCTAAAAACGATACAATTATTATTATATATCGAGCTATATCTATCTATATATACATATATAAATTAATCGCTTTTCGTTTCTCTCGTTAAAACACGAGAATGGCTGGACCGATTTGGATAAATTCAAGTTATGGAACCGTTTTGTAGTCGATTACAAATAATATTACAGTTAAAAACTTAGATTAAGACGGAATTAAAAAATAATTTGCTATTGAAATAGAGATAATAATCATATCCATTTCCAAAGTTCAAAATTTAACTAATTACAGTTTATTGACTTACTGGCATCGTCGGTGGTGGGGCTGTCTGTGTATCAAGTTCTTGAAGTTTCTGCTGAATTTCAGATACCTATAAAGAAATTGTATTGTTAGTAATAATACAATTCACAAGGTGTTAGGTTTATCTCCTCTCATTTATGATCCCCTTGAATTCTTTAGGTGCATACAAAATATTCAACTTATAAAAACGTGAATACTAATAAAAATATATAATTAATCTTACCTTTGCTTTACATTCAGCTGCGAGCTCATAGTTTTGTTCCCTCACCGCTTCGTCTTGCGCATCAGTTGCAACATTTAAAGAGACTCTTAGTCTAGCCCTCTAAAATAAAAATATTTAAAAATATATTGTTGTGCCTGCCCCTCGCATAGTCACATGACTAAAGTTGTCGTTATTTTTAATAAAACAACTAAGCGACCTGATAAAGAATTAAAGAACAATTTGCAATTGATTTTCATTAACATTGTCTGAAAATTGTATTCATTCTAAATTAGATTTAAAATCAAATCAAACGTAAAAGTGATAAATTAATTTATTTATTTATATAATTTAATAATAAGTATAATCCAACATATATTTAATGTAATGTATACAACTTCAATGTATATCTTCCTAATATTAATATATTTATTTATTTTATCTAGCAATTTAAATTATTATTAAAAGATAAGCAGCTGGCTGGCTTTTTTCTTCAAAGTATAATCGCAATTTGACAGAAAGAGACGAATAGACGTTATGAGTTCTAACCAAGACATATTACATAAGAGAAGGGTTAATTTTTGTTCGCATTTTTGAACACTTCATCAGAATCAGACCCTGGAATATTACCTTTAATTTGATCTCATCACTATCAACAGGCAATGATACCAGCGACACTTCCACTTCAGGATCTCGCAAAGAAGATATCGCAGAGTAAATAACTTCTAAACGAAGAGTTATATCCGATATAACCAACTCTAGTGCTGATACGAAGGCCCTAATGACGACACAGTCCAGATAGCCGTAATCACCTAAAAATATTGATTTAGTTTATTGTCTATGCAGAAAGAGATCCGAAACCTTAGCAATTATCCAAACTATTACAATTCTTATTCGTTAAAGTCGAATTATAATAACGTAACAGTGTTGTCAATACAACAAAAAAAATAGGTAAAAAAATTTTTAAGTTAAACGGTTTTATGTTAAACATACATTGCAATGTTTAAGACAAATGTACTAAAAACCAAAAAATAATAAAATAGATAAAGTCGTGGGAATTATAAGCATATGCATAGACTAGACTAAAATAAAACCGTGGGGCACGTCAATTGTCTACAAATTATCGACTTAATGTGCGATAGAAGAATCGTTTAATTCGTCGTTAAAATAGGCAGTTGGCCCGCAGACGGTCAGGAAATTACTTACTATTTTCTTGCTCATGGAAATTCCAATAGTTATACACTCCATGTAAATAAAAGAGATGTTTCAACTAGTTTATCGTTGGACATTCACACTGCTGGCTGGCGAGGAATCGTTTCAACAGACAATTGACATGCCCCACGGTTTTATTTTAGTCTAGTCTATGCATATGTTTATAATTCCCACGACTGTATCTATTTTATTATTTTTTGGTTTTTAGTACATTTGTCTTAAACATTGCAATGTATGTTTAACATAAAACCGTTTAACTTAAAAGTTTTTTTACCTATTTTTATTTTCTAGTTTTTAGTTTTTATTTCGCATTCTGTTTAATTCATTTAGTGCTTCATTATTGCAAGGTTCCTTGCCCGTTAGTTTATATAAATAAATCAATTCTATAATATAAATATAATATATATTTAATTAATAAAATAGATACAGTTTTTAATATAATGTTATATATTATATAATATTTATTTATTTAGTTTATTGTATTGTCACCAAAATCCAAAGTGTATACAAAATTTCAGATTAATCGGTTGACAGGAAGAGGGTGAAATTTGAATTACTAAATTTGACCCAAGAATAAAACAAACGGGGTGAGCTAAATAAAACCATTTAAAAAGGGCAATTTAGCACTGCAGCTCAAATATGTCTCTATATTAAAATGTATCCAACGATATTTGAAACTCACAATTTACATATATAATTTCTATATATTTTTGAAGTTATACTTCTTTAGGCGCGTTATGAAAAATTGATGAGAGTGAAATTTTACGATGCGCGCGCACCGTGACACAAAATTAACAGAATGAAGTTAGTGGCGCATGTTGGCACGCACGCCGCCTTTGTTCACTGTGTATTTATAATATTTATCCACATGCTTTGAGTTTCTACATTTAAAACACGTGTTTTCATTATACAAGTGCGAATTTTATATGTGCGTCTGAATTATAATCAGAAGTGATTTAAATTGAATATTTAAATCAATACTAATTAATATTAGAAAATAATAATGTTTATTTATTTAATTTTTCAAATGTAAACTGAACTTTATTGACTATAATGACTCCTTTTCCAGTCTTCGATTATTTTTAATAATGCCAAAGAAGTATAACTTCTTACGCGCGTACATAAGTACACGCACCCTTTTTTTTATTGATAAAAGCTTGCCAACGCTCGGCACAAAGATACATTTGTAAAATAACCACAATATACAATGTTTAATGTGACAAGCACTTATATACATGACACACAGAGATAATACAAATATTAAACAATACAATTAAAATTACATAAACTAGACGAAAATCGATTTTAAAGTGTGAGGAGAGCAACTATGAATATCCAGACCTAGCTCGTTTATTAGAATGCGTATGAATGTTATAGGCACACAGAATTTCACTTTAAACAGAAACATAAAACTGAGTTAAAGAATTTATTACAATCATGATTTTAGTATAACAAGAATAATAATATAATAATATGATTGGACAATTCACACCAATTGACCAAGTCCCATGCTTAGCTGGTGAAGCCTGTGTTATGGGTACTAGGCAACGGATATATATACATATTATAGATAGATAGACATATTACACACTTAGGTCTTGGGTGTTTAAATATGTATTTATTTAAACACCCAAGACCTAAGCACAACACCAAATGCTCATCACATCGATGTTTGTCTCAGCCGGGGATCGAACCCGGGACCCATGGATTCGCAGTCAGGGGTACTAACCATTAGACCAATGAGCCGTCAGAATAGCGTCTGAGGTATTGAAAGGGACTGTCTTGTGTCCCACGATAGAATTTGTGAGAACAATTCCTATTGTGCAAGTTAAGCAGTATTATTTAATACTCAGGAACAATCTGTTACAGAGGTATAGATTTAACAGTAGGCAACGCAACAGAAGCTTTCAATAAAGTTATTATTATGGGAGTGATGTTATACAGCCTGGAAAAATAGACTGTGGACTGTGAGGAAATGGATCTTTAGTACAGGTTGAAGTATTCTTACCAGTAAGAGCATCAGTTATGAGCGTCTGTAACGCTGTCCTGCCCATGGGATCGGTGGTATCATATACTTTAAGCATACAGGCTAATTCATGGAGCACATACTGACGGGTGCTAAAACCCACTTGGTCTTCCGTAGCTGATGGGCACGGGGATTCCAATATACTGCAAAATATATTTACATATTAAAAATTAAACAATAATTTATCTCACTTCACACACACTATCAATATCTAACAGGAATTCATTTAATTTTTCAGCTACCATATTGTCGAGTTTCACTACAGTAATATATTTAAAAACAAAAATATTGTATCTAATAAAATATGAAATTTATATGTATATAATATGTTATAAAAATACTACCTAACCCGGCAAACGTTGTTTTGCCCTGTACATTATTTCTAGGAAACATTTTGTTAAGTTCAATAAAAATAACTACATATCTACCATAATAAAAAATAGAAGTTGATCGTAGAGGGATGAAAATTAAGGGTTGTATGTATTTTTGTATGCTGTATCATAAAAAAAAAACAAAAAAAATGTAGGGATTTGAAAGATAAATAGTAGCCGATTCTCAAACTAACTGAATATGTAAACAAAATTTCATAAGAATCGGTCCAGCCGTTTCGGAGGAGTATGGGAACGAACATTGTGACCCGAGAATTTTATATATTAGATGAAAGTCTAAATATACCCGTGGTTTGAATTTTGTAGCTAGCGTTTGTCACTTCCTATTGTCGCCTTGCAAAGGACAGAGATACAAATAAATATTTTGTTTGTGAAATATTTCAATTGGCATATTTTAGTTTACACGTGACCATATTTATTATAATTGAATTTAAATTAAAATTAATAATTGAATAATCGAACCGCTTTTTAATCATATGTGTACTGAGTGTGTAAGACTCGTATATAAGATTATATAAAACACTAGCAGACCGGCCAAGCGTTGCTGTGGCTAAGGTTTTTGTTATATTACATAGTAGTAAACTTGGGGACAACCATGCTTTATTGGTGGTTATGCCATTAAATTGTAGCTTATGTGAAACGTTGGTACTTTCAACACAGCACCATCTGTTAGAATTGTGACTATCAAATAATAAATAAATATTTTGCAATAAAATAATATTGCGGGTATAAATTGAGATGTAAGCTATGCTATCTTTTAAGTTGGATCAAACTACACACGGTGTGCAAATTGGATTGACATCGGTTCAGTAGTTTAGGAGTCCATAGCAGACAAACAACGTGAGACGTAATTTATATATATATATACTAGCAGACTCGGCCAAGCGTTGCTGAGGCTAAGGTTTTATAAGGTTCTATATTACATAGTGGTAAACTATTCAAGGGAAACGGTAGGAGAACACCAGTCATGGGGACCACCATGCTTTTTGGTTGCTATGCCATTAAATTGTAGCTTAAGTGAATCGTTGGTATTTTCAACACAGCGCCATCTGTTAGAATTGTGACCCGCAAATAATAACCAAATATTTGCAATAAAATAATATTGCTGTAAACAATTAAGATGTAAGCTATCCTATCTTTTAAGTTTGATCAAACTGCACATGGTGTGCGAATTTGATTGATATCGGTTCGGTAGTTTAGGAGTCCATAGCGGACAAAGTCAAAAGTCAAATCGTTTATTTCAATTAGACCATCTAAAATGGCACTTTTGAACGTCAAAAAAAAAAATATAAAATATAAAGATGGATCCTTCTTTTAAGTTTGTCCCCCCTGGTGTGAACAAACAACGTGACACGTAATTTATATATATTAAGATATTAAGATGTTTCCTTGATAAACAATATTTTTAATTTCTTCTCATATAAAATCAAATATATTTTTACTTACGCTCTTATGTATCCAATTAAAACAACCAAGTCAGGAATGACCATTTCCAATGTTTCGTCATCGTTAATCTTCTGTAAATGTTCCGCTAGATGGCGCCAATACCAAGCTGTTTCCTTATTAAGTTTTTCAGCTGGAATTAACCTCAAGTTCTTGTCCGTGGGCAGCCATTCTAAAAGCTCCGATATTGGTAAACGTCTGCAATTGATAACATTATTAGTAAACGAATTGGCATGCATAGAAAGCCTAAAACAACAGTTTCTTTGAATAACTTTATATATCTTTATTCAGCAACCACTTACGATCAAAGTCTGTTTAGCCCTCAGTAAGAATAATTTACTCTATCAATAGAAGCTAAATAAAAATGTCACTTATAGAGTGATGAGGAAAATTAAAAGCAATTTTTTTAAACTATATAACTTCACTACTATAACCAATCAGGTTCAGAATAATGAATAATAAAAAATATAATTCTTAAATAAATCCTGCTTAAACTATAATCCATTACCTTTAAATGTGTTATGAAATAAAATTTAAATCAAAACTTACTTAAATAAAGACTCCAATAACTTTCCGGCAACATATTGGGAATCTTTAGCATCATTTATATTATCAAGACGTATTGCTTTGAGTAAGTATACAATATTTCCTTCAAAAGAACTCAGCCATCCTGGTATTAATATTTCTTCTACAACTCGTCGTACGCGCGGGTTTCGTTCTGTTAAGCCAACCTGTGACAAGAATTCATTGAATCATTAAATAGATCACTTTGCTGCATGGTCCAAGTTAGGATGGGTACAAAAATAAAACTGCAGGGAAGGCAAAAAATTTATAACTAGTGCCTCAGAGTTGTTATTTACTATAGTGTGATGAATATGTTGGTCGGTTGTTGTTATTTTGAATTACTATATTTAATAATTAAATAGGTTTTTTTTGTAAATTTTTAGAAAAGTATGTTTATTAGATGAACATACTTATAAATATAGAAATAAAAAACATGTAAATGAATATTGAATATATCTTTAAAACGTAAATGTTGATATATCTTTAATTATCTGACAGGTCTTAGATAAGATTTTTTTTATATCTAGTGCAATATTTTTGATATTTAGAATGATCTCAAGCTTTGTCATCTGTGCTCTATCATTTGTATGTCTGTGATATTTAATTTTGACTGTGCTTAAGAAAAGGGTTGAGATACATTTGGAAATGAAAGACTTGTAATCTTAAGTTATATTTATAAGTACTTATAAAAAAAAATTATCAGTGAGTTAAATGCAGAAATGTATGTGTCCCAACTTTGGGGTTTGATGATTTCACATAAATGAAATGAAAATCAAACTTACCTTCAAAGTATGAAGCCTCTGCTTAACTCTTAGAAGTTTGACATCAATAGCTGATATGTACAGAAATGCCGCTCTGCGGACTGCATCATCAACATCACATAGTCTCTCCAACACAAATGGGACATTACGTACACATTTTGCTATAGACATAAGTATTGCTCTAAAAAAATACAAATAATATTGCTCTTAAGAAATATTGTAGTGTGTTCGATTGTTGCATAAAATTTCAACTATTGAACACTTTAGATAAATAAATTTATCTAAAAGAAGCAATTTATTTGTAAATTAAAAGTATAATACTTCAAAACATATTAATAAGCAAGTCAATATATATTTTTTATTAATTGTTTCTGCATAATGATTTATTATTATAAAGACATTTTTCATCATTTAAAATTACAACCTAGCCTAGTAAGTAATTTAAAACTAACCTAATTTACTAAAAAGGAACTTTAAAATCAGAAAGTGTCCAATAACACTACTTACAGTCTCTATTAAGGAGAAGACACTCTGTTCTTGAGTATGATTTTTTCCATTTTCCACTGTTTAGAACTTAAGACTGACAAGCACTCACAATAATTTACTGATTCAAATAGTTAAGGTCAACATATAGAAAAAATACCTTCGAACAGATGAGCTAGGATCACAACTCATGTGGAAGAGATAAGCACGGGTGACTTCATCATCAGACTCCATGGGATTCTGAAGTCTTTGCAATGCCATTGCAGCACGGCATCGTACGGCACTACGTGTATCTTGTAGGCGTTGGAGCTGTAGTGGATAAAGTTAAAATATGAGTTGACTCCAGACCACTACGCTCCGCTATTGCCAGTTGCAAATTTTGCTCACTGGTTTAAAACTGTGTTCTCTGCGAAATCTCATTAAAAATATACAATACTATTCTAGTTCATCACATGTCTATGGATACATGAAAGTCTATAATAATAAAGTAAATATACTGGGATGTAATAGGTTAGGTAATTTCTGTAACAACTCAAATCAAATAAATAAGTTTAGGTTTTGATTTTTATTTCAAAAACTAACTCAATTAAATATTTATTGATCAAAAGAATCCCAATTCATTCAAAATTTTTTGTTTCACCTGTGAAGTAAGAAGCTTGTCACACAGATCATCATCCAATGACGCATCATCACCAAGAGCTGCTAGCACAGCTGCCAGCAGCTGACTTGCTCTATATCTGACCGATTGTCCAGACACACATTGACACTGAAATATAAAATTAGTCCCTGATAATATTTTGTACAAGAATCCAAAATCCATTTGTAATTTAATATGGAAAATTATTTTCATTTTCCAGAACTTTTCTAAAACCTTATAGTTATAGTATCAGTTATTTTTCCTTTAATATTTTTTCCCTAAAGGCTTATTAAGAGACATGAGTAATGTCTCTTTTCCTTTAAAAAACTGAATTCATTTGTACTTACTTCAAATATAATGTTAAATATAAACATTAGGAATTCCTCTTCATCATCAAGTGAAGTGCAAAATGTTGCAACAAATTGAATAACTCGATCCACATTTGTACTGGTGTCTCCGAAAGTAAACAAATAGTGAAGGGCATTCTTAAAGCTTTCTCTGAATATGTTTTCATCTAACTAGAATAATTAAAAATAATGTAAAGCTCCACAACCCTTAAATAAACTATAGTTAACAAAAAATATTTTACCTTTCTGTAAAGTTTAATCATTTCCTTTGCATATTTTTTGTGTTGAACAACATTGTACTGAACGTTATCAAATATCTTAAAAATCGCAGAGTTGTTACGTGGATTAGGTGTATATGCTTTTTGCACAATTTCATTTTCAACATGAGGCATTTTAATATCCTTTTTACAAAACAAATAGCATACAAATTATGAATAACAAACAACAGCAAAGTAAACAGCTTTCAATTTTAAGCAGTGACCGTTGGTTTTTTTTTCATTTGTTACTGTGATATTACTACGGGGCGGCTAAAGCTTTTCGACGTTGCGTATTCACTTGATTGTTTTTTTTTCTTTTTTCTCTCTTTATGGCTCTGGCACGGTTTGTGCATTAGCCAGCGTCATGTATAAGATTTTTATAATTCGCTGTTTTAATTATTTACAGTTTATGAATAATAAAAAACGAAGGAAACTAATCGCGACATAACATAAATGATTGAAAACGCATTAAATTTACAAATAAATCAGAATAATTACGTAAAGGGAAAAATAAATTAAAATTATAGTTTAATGTTATTATTTACAATAAACATACTTATAATACTATATACAAGGGGATTTAAATCTCGAAGAAGTAAAGAAATATTGGTAGGAAGGGGAACAGAGAGAGATACTAAAGAAGTATATAAGGAAGAATGGTCATATTTAGGACAAGAAAAGAAAATATGATTCAGGTCAGAATAGCTCTCACCACACTCACAGGCTTGATTGTTTATGTGTATACTGTATTGGTATACCAATACAGTATACACATAAACAATCAACTATAACTAACAATTCTACCAGAATCTCATGGCAAAAAGGGAAATAAAAATTTATTGTGGGCAACACTGGGAAAATTGGATTTAATTATCTTGATACTGTTTAATTTTTATTTAGGTTGTAGTATTAATAAACATGAAGTATATTAGTTATTTGTATGAAGAATGTTGTTATTCATCGGGTTAGGAAAATATGTTAATCGTAAATTACTTTACGTACTAATTTATTATAGGTATATCATTTCAATCATACAAAAAACTTAAAGTCCTCATTCAGAACTAGAATACGATTTCAAGAACTCCACTTGCATTTCTTGTTCTTCGTCATGTGATGTGTTATAAAGAGGTGTTTAATATAAATTTCAATGATTATAATTTTATGTCACTTGCAGGTCTATTTAAATTTTTATCAGCCACTTTTTGCTTCATTATATCCCAAATAATTTATATGGGTTTTAATGTGCAATAAGGTCAGTCTTAAAATTTCATGACCGTGGGATTCTAATACTTTATCTATCTTTATATAATGGCGCAGACATGTTTTGTTTCACTTCTTCAAATAGTTGACATTTACGCCAAAAATCATCATTATGGAAATCATTTGCACGTAGCCATTCTTTTATAATATCAGCGATACGATTGGCTTGTGTGGGCGGTTCATACATACGGAATGATTACTAGCATTATCTATAACAATTAATGAAATTCTTGTTAGATTTGGAGTTAGCACTGTCCCCCTTTTTGTAAAATTTCGTTATTCATAGCGTGGGGGTAGTCAGCAGATACACTTGTTGACCAGTACACCAGATAACAATTTAGTACAAAGACATTTTCTTCACCAGCATTTACAATGATCCATCTCGCTCCAAGTGAAATATTTTTAGACCTACAAAATCTGTGCTTTGCCAGCACGTATTCACATAACATGAATTTTGACTAAATAAATCACATATTCAAAACCAATCTCCCTAAGTATAAGTATAAGTCAGTCAGTCAGTAAGTTCAGTCATTCATCATCATCATCAGTATATATGGGATGTGTATATTATGTATGTACTGCAGGGCACAGGCCTTCTCTAACGAGTGAGAGTGAGAGATAATATTACTTAGTATTTTTCTAACCTCAGAGATTCTTCCTTTGAAATCAATATCTTGTCAAAGACTTTTTAACCGTTTCTTTACTGTTGGAATTTACTTCCAAACTGTATAGTGTATATCTTAATATATATATTTCTTCTGTGCGTGTGTATGTGACTGAACTCCTCTCAAACGACTGGACCGATTTTGATGAAATTTTTTGTGTGTGTTCAAGGGGATCTGGGAATGGTTTAGATTCACAAATCAGCCCGGCAGATGGCACTGCAGTCGGTACTTTCATACTTTGCTTAATATCCTAATCGCTTTAAATATCATGCAGGACAACGTCTGTGGGGTCCACTAGTATATATATAATTCCTTTACTTTATTCCAAATCAACTGTAAATAGAAACTGACCAAGTTTAGTTTCTTTTCCCCGCTCTCCTCTTTTTACCAAGCGTAGACAGCACATCATCACCTGTCAACTCTGCCACGCGCTTCTTGCCCGGTTCACATTATTCCAGTAGCATTCCAGTCCAGCATTCCAGTCCAGCATTCCAGTCTAGCGCTGGAATGCTACTGGAATAATGTGAACCTGCACTGGAATCCACCAGTTGACTGGAATGACGGTCTATTTTTCATTCCAGCTAACCCAATCCAGCGCCACTGGAATAGTGTGAACGGCCAATCCAGTGCTTGAATACACGTTTAACAGTGAACACACATTGTTGTTATTTTATGGAATTTTATAGGTAATTCCGAACAATGAAGTTAACTGAAAACCAAACTCTTCAATTTGTTTCTTTGTACAGAGAACATGTGTGTTTGTGGGATATCACTTCCGAATTTTATAAACACAAAGGCATGCGCCAATCCACCCTGCATAAAATTTGTGATGGTATGCAAATAGAAGGTTTTACAGTAGAGGATGTAAACAAAAAAAAAATCTGATGTCATTCTCATTGCCAATCTGTATTCCAAGGGAGCCTCCTTTTTCATTTCTTTCGCTGATCCAATTTCTCACCCAAATCCGCTTTTTTCTTTTTAGTTCTTCTTCCACTTCATCAACTACTTCTTCTAACAGTAATAATTGAAAAGTTTTAAAACAATTTCTAAACTTCTTTCTTGAAAGCATTGTCACTGTAGTGTTACCGATCTAACAGCTTTTGAATGACTGGAATAATGTGGACGTTCCATTCCAGTCCAGCACTGGACTGGAATGACTCACTGGATTACTGGACTGGAATAATGTGAACCGAGCATCAAAATCAAAGATTGAGTTTGATTTATTCTTCCTTTATTTTACGATAACAATAACTCTCGCTTGACATCGAAGTGATTTTTTTTCGACTTTTTCACAAAAACAACAAGTTTCAAAAAAATAATCTCAAAATCTCAATCGGCCAGTCCAAGGAAAAAGGACTGTAGGTAAAACCCATTAAATTGTTCATGCTAAATGAATACTTATGCCAAGTATTTTATTTTGATAAAAATTTGCTTTTGAAATCATATGATTTTAAGGGAACAGATACATAGTTATAATAATCGTCGGGTACCACGTACTTCCTTTATTTCCATATTTTACTCGCCGATGGTTTCGCCCTCGAACATATTTTATAGCAACAGGAAATAAATAAAAACAATATTATAAAATTTATTATAATATACATAAGACTTGAAAATGAACATAGTACCTATATAACATTTTAGACTTAATAGCCAATCAAGCATTTAATAATTTAGCTAAGCACATGTTTTGTTATTTTTACATTAGGGTGGTAACTGGTAAGGTTAAGTAAAGCATCACATTTTTTTAAATAAAAGCATAACTTATTAATACGTATTCTAAATGGTAGTACTTAAATTATATTTATAAAATGTGAAAGTAAATATTTATTTTTAATAATAGCCCACAACTTTAAATTCTCGTTTCAATAAGTATAAGTAGTTCTAGATAATTGCGCAAAAAATAAAAGTACAATTTTCGAGTATCGAAACTTTTCTGCAGTAAGGATACATAGAAACATATTTTGTCAAAGCAGTTTTAATGACTATTCGAGATCTTCTATAAGTGAATCTAACTCCTTTTTTAAGCTTAGGGACATTTCCTTTTGCATGAGAACATCGTCTTTCATCCTATCTACATTTGCCATCAGTAAAGTGTTGCCCTTTTTCAAAGCAATTATTCTAGTTTCATGTCTTTTTAGTCGTTTATTAAGATTTTCTTTCTTCTTTGGTAATGGAGCATCCTAAAAAAGAAATGGCATAACCAATAAAGTTATTTTAAGTTTAAATTATCTAATATAAAAAGCTAAATAATTTTTAAAGCTTACCTGCATTATGGTCATAACCATAGTAAATTTAATTTTGAACGAATACAAATGACTTTTACAGTTTACATACCTCGGGTTCACTTTCACTCTCAGTTTCACTTTCAGTATCTTGTTCCGTCTCTGTCTCAGTTTCTTCTTCCTCAGATCCACTCTTTTTTTCATCTTCAGACTCTTCTTCCTCGTCTTCTTCTTCTTCATCTTCCTCAGAGCCTACCTCTTTCATCATAGCCGCCATTTTATCTACTTCTCGTTTGAGTTCCTTGTATTTCCTTTTCTCGTCCCTGAAAATGAAATTCAATTAAATACACCTATTAGATCACACTTACACATTTAATAGTCGTAAATTGCCTCCTTTACTCGTTTTAACTCATAGCACCAAGCTGTTTAATATAATTTGATAAAATTATTAATTTACTTTAAGGCAGCTTGCTGGTTTTTCAAGGACATCTTATAGGCCATTCGCTCCCGTTTCATGTTGTCTTGTTTCTCTTTCAAATGCCTGATTTTATTTCTCATATTTCGAACGTCTTTCTCCAATCTTTTTTGTTTTTTCTCCTCAGATTCTTCCTGTAATAGAAGAAGTATAAATATTACGTATATGAAACAATGGAAATACGAAGATGAACGTTACCTACGTTCAATGATAAGATAGGTAGATATATCCAAAACAATTAAACAAAACTTTTGCGTGTTTGGAGGGTTACATAATTTAAGCTCGATGTTAGGAAGAATCGTATGATAATTACGTCTTTATAAAACATTAAACAAATATAATATATTCTCGATACATACTTCTTCCTCTTCAGATTCTTCTTCTTCTTCGAAACTATCATCTTTAGTAACAGACAATTGTTTGACAGCGTGGCTTGATCGTCTCGACCCAACATTCGTGGGCACTACTCCCTACAATCAATAAACATTTATGTAAAATTAATATTACTTAACAGGAAAGACACAGACATCAAAATATTTGTTATTTTACAATATCTACTATGATGGCAATAACCACTACACTAGGAACACTAATTCTGTAAAAATATCAAATGATATGCTATAGCTTTAGCTTTTTGCTATGATGAACGGTGTCATGTTTAATTTTTTGTTACCTCATCATGTTTGTTATTGTTAGTAAAAGCATTATTATAAGCGTCAATTGTGTTTTTTCGGATCTCTTCAGCTTCTGGCGATGTTACACTTATATTCAAATCTTTGCATTTTTTGAAAAATTCTAACCAGCTTTTTTGTTCAGGGGTAAGACATTGTCCCAACTTTAAAAGTTCCTCAAACTGTTGCTGTGAAACATTGTATAAACCAAATCATAGATTAAATATTTATGTATACTATAATAGTATCGAAATATCAACACGTACAGCCCTATAATAACACTTACAGATAACGCTTGTTCTAATTTCTTTTCCAATTCCATATTTTTTCGTTTAACATCTTCTAATTCAGTTAGAGCGTCATCTCGATCTTCAGCCGCTTGTAAATACTGTTTTTGAAGACTATCAGCTGTTTCTTTGGCTTTGTCCACTTCCATTTTCAAACTGTTTACTAACCGCTCATCATAAGCATCTGTCACTGAGATAACAGTTTTGTGTTGTTCTTGTTTAATAAATGCTCTCTCTCTAGCTAGTTCAGCTTCTAGATTTTGTATTCTGGTTAACAGACGCCTGTTTTCTCTTTCTTGTACCTCCTTATTCCTGAAAGTTTAAACCATGCAAATATAATTATGAAACACAATACTTCATTTTCGTTTGTATTTTTGCCGTGGAGCAGACTCACCTCAATTCTATGGCTAAAAGTTGTTTCGTTGATTGAAGATCGTCTCTTACTTTATCAATGTCATCCATTTCATCTATTTCTTCTTCTTCTGCAGCAGGAACCTATAATAGTAAAGTTTTTCCATTTGAATATCACTAAATTTATTTACATAAATTGTTTTTATTTTATCATCAATTAATAACCTCTGCCAGTGCTACTCCCGATGGACTCGCTGCTAAATTAGCCTGTGACATCGATTTTTGCACTTGTTCTTCTATCGTCATTTGTCTTCTGAATTTCCGTAACCCTTCTAAAATTGGTTTACTCCTATCGTTACATTTCACTTTCTTTAACCTAACTCCTTTTGAGATTTCTTTGAGCAACTCATTATGTGAATTCGGTTTCTCAGATTCGAATATAAACTGCCCTTTGTTTTTCACAACAACCGATGTCGTTATAATGGGACTGGACCTGGAATTTTATAACGAGATATCAAGTACTGCTTTCGTAAAACAAATTACTTTCGGCATGTCTTCTACAACCTATCATTACACCATATCAAACATCGCATATTTGTCTAAGTCGTTGACTCTAAACATATACCGGACCTATAAATTTATCGACTGTGTAAGACTGACCGAACCGCACTACATCCTTTCTCCGCAATGGCACCTAACGCACGCAATTACCTGTCATTACAGACAACATGTTTCAACTTCCTTCCTTCTTCCACTTCCTTCATCATGTCACTCCAGTCGGGCCGTCTTCTCGGTCTGCTCCGCAACTGTTCAATTTTCTTCAGTTTTTCAGAATCAAGCTTAGGCTTTTTGAACTCAGGTGGCGGTGGTAACTTTGGTGGCGCCGGTGGCGGTGGCGGTGGTGGTGTAGGTTTTAGTAAACCTGTAAATTAAGACGATGTAACGATACAAAAAATTACAGTCCTTCTTTATTACGCTTGGGCTACATAATATTGAGGGCAATTTTTCAATACGTTTTGCCTATGCAGATATTACAATATCTATATAAGCCGATATATGTACTAACAAATATGTATTTAAAAATAATAAACATATTGCTTATTTCTAAAGTCCGACAATTGACTGTGTGTTTTTAAATCATTTTTATGTCTGTATCAAGAGATAAATATAACGTTATGCCTTTTACAAATATAGTACTTTGCTGTACTACCAACTAAAAAATAAAGAGGTGGCTAAGTTTGCTGATATAGCCGTAATTGATTTTGATGAATATCGTACCTTTTTTTCACCAAAAAATTTTCAGAAAAATAAATTAACAAGGCTATAGCTTGATATATATTTTATTGTAATAGTCGAATTGGTTTGGATATACTTCAGCGGGCAGCTGGTTCCTCATAGTGGTGGTTTGCGGAAAAATCAGCCTTAAAAAACGCTCAGTTGTGGAACAAACGACGTCGAGGTTCATTACATATTTTAATTTTTATAAACTCCCTTAGATTATGGATATATGATTGGCCGCCACGAACGGTTATCCCATATTCGCCAGTCATGTACCAGTATAATATAGACACTTATCTGATTTTTTTATATATAATTTTAATGAATTATCAAATCTTAAAGGAGGCTAGATCCGGTACTATATTTTGTGCATCTTAAGCCTGCATACATTGTGAATTGGAATTTATTCATACCTTTATAGTAGGGAATAACGTCATCAAGCAGTGTCATTTTTACTGTCACTCACTTAACAAAAAAATACCAAAACTTTACTGTTAATTAAAACTTTCCGCCGAATCTAACAGTTGTCTAGTATTTGCACCTGATCTGCACACGCGTCGCACACGGAACTAACTGTGACTATTTTGGATCACATTTAGACCACAAACTGTATATCATACAGAACATCAAAAGGGATACTAATAGAGAGAATTTTAATGGGGCAACCGTTGAAGTAGTTGCTTGTCTGGCTAATTTATTTAATTGACTGCCAAATAAAGGTTTATGATATAGAAAAAAATGAGCTTAGAATTATTTTAATTTATTAAGATTGCTCCTTAAAAGAATAGGTTAGGGATTATTTTGAATTATTAAAAGGCGTAATTATAGATGATATTTTAGGATCGTCATTGTGTTAACTGCCAAGATCGACTTTCTATGGCATTTGATTGATACGCATCGAGATGTTTCTATGAATAGAACTTTATCGTTTGAATTCAGTTTATGTTAGTCCGCTTTTGTTTTGAACGATAATATCGACTATATTAATTGAAACGCGATGTACATGATATTATAGGCAAAAGAGCCTTAACTTCTAAACTGACATATTTGATTAATCTACTTACTTCGTAAACTCTCATTTTTAGTGAGAGTGTGTCCCTTCGGAATGTCATTTGCTAATGTTTTGTCAATATTCTCCTTGACTCGTTCATGAAGTGGATCTCTCCATTTCTTGAGCATTACGTCATCTTTGGAGGGCGCTTTTTGTAAAGGTTTGCGTGGAGGCAGCTAAAAAGAAAGATAATTATGTAATTGATATATCGAGATATATCAATTTTAAATATCAGTTATTAAGCATTTATACAAGTAAGTTAAGATAAGTTATACATTTTTTTAGTCAGTTTTTATTTATTAAAAAATAATTGTACGTGTACTTTTTCTAATTTTTTGGTAATTTCATATATTATTAGTAAAATTCTCGTAATAATTGGTTTTATTTACCTTTGAAGGATTTTTCTCTAACGGCGTTGGTGGTTTTGTTGCCATACTAGTTTTGTCTTCTTTCTTGTTTTCGGTACTTTTTTCAAGTTTGTTTTCTTTAATTAGAGTATTCGGTATTCCTTTACCGTTTACAGTTACGTCATTCGCCGGAGTTATTTTTGGTTTATCATTTTTATCAACATATTTGCGATCAATTATACTAACAGATTTTTCTTTTGGCTTATCGTCTATCGTTTTAACACTCTTTAAAATTGGCCGTTCTGGAGCCTTTGTTTTTTCCTCACTTTTACTTTTATCTGTGGCACTTGATTTTTGTGATGTTTTAGAAGTAATATTTTTTTCGTCTGTTGTCTTCTTATCGTCAAGTTTAGTTTTATCTGTGATATTACTTTTGGTTGTAACTTTGTTTAAAGGTTTTTCTTCTGTTGGTTTTTTATCAATTGTCTTTATAGTAGATTTTGTAAACCTAGGTTTGTCATCTGATTGCCTAGAAGCTTTATCAGCTAGTTTAGCTGTTGAAGGTTTTACAAGTTTTTCCTCTACTGGGCGTTCTTCTGGAGATGCACCGTTGGTGGCTTCTCTAACTGTAGCTTGTTTCTTCAAAAGAGCTGAAATTTTTTAAAATGAAATTCTAAGTTTAACTTGGACTTAAACAATTACTAGGTTCTATTATATGTAATAGAGGCTTTCCATTGTTAGTAACGGACGTAAAAATCGGAATTCCTGCACTTATGGTTTACGGCTTCTAAAATACTTTGAAATATATTTTACTTTAATTAGCACAAAATATTATAATTAAGAGGTAAATGATTGGGGACACGTGTTAACAATTCGTCTCGTATGCATTTGATATCATTAAATATGGACGTAAATAAACATAGCGAGTGCCAAGATGGCCGACCTTCGCTGTTTTAGTAGGTTTATTTATCAAATAAAAAATATGGTTTATCCAATCGTTTTTGTCAAGTGTCAACAATAACGTAGATTTAACAATATTATATACTACTATGTTTGATAAAATTCGCTGTAAATTGCTTTATTTAAGCTAGCAAAGCATTTCTGAAATAAATATACTAGGTATGCATAAATGTACGTCTAAAAGCGTTCTTATAAATCATACTGTAACACCAACATCTACGTTTATTTTGTAAAATCGTGTCCTCTCTAAAAATATCCCGATTCGTTGGCGTTGGCTTGGAATATCTCAGCGAAACGATAATTGTAACGTGTCATGATACAGTTTAAAACACTTGATTGTTTTTCAGAATTTTACTACTTTAGTGCTCTTGTTACACTATAAAACTTTTGTATGTATTTTGTTTGGTCTTTAAACGGCGCCTGATTTTAATTAATTTAACACATTTTTATAATATAGTAATTTAGGTTATAATAGTCCTTTATTTACTATATACATTCCTATATCTTTTCTTGTAAAATCTACTACGTACTTATGAATTGCAAGAACACAACATCGATAAAGTCTGCAATTTGAATCTAGAATAGAATCAAAATTAAGAAGATTTGTGCAAGTCACGACGTAACTTCTTTTCTACATATATGTGTCATGTTTTTGATTGTTTCATTTGATTAATAACATGAGATTATTTAATTTTTATTTTTATTACGGCTTTCGCTTGCAATCTTTTACTGTATGTCCTATAAACTTTTTATAATCCCCAAATAACACAAGAAGATACCGTTAGTAAACTAATTTACGTAACCGTATTGAAGTAATTCACCTTTCCCTTGCACAACAACACTTTAGCAAATCTCCTGAACACACAACACGTCACACTTCCAACTCCAGACTAACAAACTTGGGAACTATATGAGTAAGTATTGGAAGTGGTGTCCATGCCAAACTTTCAGCCACGTGTTGACGTCAGTATGTAGGTAGTTATACACATATAGTATGCACTTTTAAAACAACGTAGAGGACGCGTATCAGCCTTGATTGATGATGAATCAATGACGCAAACTGTGGTGTGTAGTATCCCGTAAACTCGTGGGCCATGGGACTACATTGCTGCTGTTTCATTATCTTTATAAACACGTACTTTCTCACAATTAAGAACCTGTCTATAAACTATTTATTCCATTAGTTCAGTTTAGAATTATGACTAAGTCAAACACACATCTAATTAATGATTTAAAACAGCTGCTAATCTAAAAACACGAGGATATGTTTAGCGCCTGCATCACAAAACCTAACGTGGGAGGAAACGTCGCACACTTCGAATTCTAGTATATTGAATTAATAATCACTGCCCCTGACTTCGTTTATGTGAAATACGTTTGATTACCAACTAAATTTGTTTTACAAAATAAAATATGATTAAAAAAATCGTATCTTCCCTGTACGTTTTGTTATCTAATGTATAAAATTCTCGTGTCACAATGTTCGTTCCCATACTCCTCTGAAACGGCTCGACGGATTTTTATGAAAATTTTGATGCATATTCAGTAAGTCTGAGAATCGGCTACTATCTATCTTTCAAACCCTTTAGTGATAAGGGGTGTCCACCCTAAAAAAAATATTTTTTCTTTTTTAGACAATTTTTTTTGTTTATATTTATTGATACAGCATACAAAAATACATAAAACCTCTAATTTTCACCCCTCTACGATCAACCCCTATTTTTAATTATAGTAGATAGTTATTTTATTGCACTAAAAATATTTATCATAAATATAATATACATGGCAAAACAACGTTTGCCGGGTCAGCTAGTATGAATATATAAGTAACGTTCAGTTACTTCGGTGCCCTAAATATATAACGGGAGAATTTGTTGTGTCGTCACTTAAAACATTGAACCAATTTGAATTGATGTCTTAACAACATCAAGACACAGCTCCTTCGATGCGCTTTTTAATTTGTAAGGGATTTGTAAAATATGTACTATAAAAAATATTAATAAAAACTTCAGCTGATATGTCAATTTACTTAACCTATAAAGCAGTTATGGTATTACATATTAGGTTACTTAAGACTATTTATAATATAGTAAGTCATACCCCTTTATTTATAACCGTTAATACTTCATCTAAGCCCCAAATACCTAATTAAATGTTGTTTAGTCGTATACGTAGAACGCTCCAATTAGATTTTCAGTGTTCGTCTTACTTGCAAATAAATTAAAATCCCTCTCATTCATGCTTATATGGAACGTTTATAAAATATAAGATGTCGTTTCCTATCTCTAAACATTAATCGTTCACTAACGTATACGTACATATACGACTAGTTTCCCAAGAACAAGCAAACACATATCATACCTATGGAATCATCTCTTTCATCAATATTACTAGGTTAGAGAATACATAGTTGTTTTTGACTTTATTCATTAATACTGGGTGGCGCAAAAGTAAAGACCCTATTTGGTTCAGCTATAACATGTTTTCTAAATTAGAAAACTAGATTTAGGTTTTTTAAATGTATATTTGTGCCATTAAATTTCGTGCCAATAGGATTTAAAGATAATGTCTTTTAAATGGTGACCTCCACATTTGAGCCCTATTTATGATATTTTGCATAACTTGCCGTAATACTTCCTGCGATATGTTCCTTATTTCTTGATGAATGTTTTCTTTTAGAGCTGCGAGAGTCTGTGGCTTATTCACATACACCCGAGATTTCACCACACCCCAAAGAAAGAAGTCTGGACTCGTCAGATTGGGTGATCGTGCAGGAAATCGTCGACGAAATTCACGTTGTGTTTTTATCACTGATGAATTATTCCGTAAGAACATTGACACGATTATTCCACGTTCTTGGGGAGTAAAACGGTCCATGTTTATTTTCAGTGTATTTTACATTTGTTCACTACACAATTTTCAACAACAGAATGAAAACTATCGTGATATAAAAAAAATAAACAAATTTTCTTTAGTGCCATTACTTTTGCGCCACCCGTTATAAGCAGTTAATAAATAAGAAATATAAATCTCGCCTCTGTGTTTTATATTCTTACTGCACAAACACTGAACAATATAAATTTAAAAGTAGTAGCGTAAGATCTCTTTTAGGCTTCTTTCTTTTTCTTCTTCGTTTATGAATCCGATTCCTAGTAAGGCGGTAAGGTCTACTGGAAATAATATTTTTACTTACGTTTAATTGGCTTAATAACAAACTCTTCCTGACTGGCTAAAGGCGGTGTGCTTTCTACTGGTTTCAATTTCCTCTGCGTCCATGATGGAGGGGCCTGAGAATCCTTTTCCTTGACCCAGGGTGGCCTAAAGGTCTCCCGTTTGGGCCCCGACTCCTTACTTACGTTGCCGATTGGCATAGTGCTACTGTAAAGTGTAAAATGTCTGTGTGTATTATGCCGAATTGCTGTTTTCTTATATCTAATTTCAAGTTTATACGTGTACACAGGTATAAACTTGAAAAGCTATAACAAAATATTTTTGTCGATTTTATCAGTAACAAAGTCAATACGTATAGACTTGACTTATATTATATAAACAAAAATATATGCAATGGTTATGGAAATTGCTACACAATTCTTCACTTGTCCATTAGAATTAAATAATAATAATTAAAACAAAACACGATCGTATAATATTAATTATCGTACAATTTTAATTATTAATATTTTATAGAAATTATTGAAATTATTGAAATGTCGTGTCTTACGTGTGTTTTGTGTAGTGTACACAGAAACCCACTTAATTCACAGCACACCACTAATGAGACATCATAATTTAAAATAAAAAATCCTTCAAAGTTGATAAAATGAACGCAGCGTCGGCGGCGCGTGATTCCCAACTAGACGGAATTTCGTGTTTGAATAATCTCTGGAACTTATAAATAGGTACAAGACGGTGAACACGCTGCGGACGAGATTTTATACAGCGAAATAATTCGGGATGTTGGGATTCATTAATGAAATCAATTCATTATAGGAGGACGATGACGTATGCAATTTTACAATTTTCGTTATAAAGGGAAAGTCGATGACAAATGAGGATGCTGGTGGCCCAGCAATGAACAAACGTTAAATTTTTTGGCAGCTAGTTATATTAACAGTGCCGCCTATCTGCAGTCTATGTAACATTGAAAATATTAAATAAAAAAAGTCGCTTTAAAATATTTACTTGCGTAGAAATTTTAGAAATAAAAGTTTATCATAATATCTATAAAATTATTAAAAGACACGACCGTGATGAAAGCCCTCGTAAACATTTTTATTAAATCGTCGACGAAACGCTTATTTTTAGCGTTTCCTGCTCCGCTTGTTCTTGTCAATGACAAAAGCTCCGATCAAGAATATAAGCATTCACGATACTACACGGTGCTATATTGTATAAAAGCTCATAGTGGCGACATCTTAATCGTCATTCACAATACGTCACTTATTAATTAATTTACTTAAAATTTGAAACAATGGAATTTCTAACAAACTGCTACTACTACTACACGCTTATCATGTATCTTCACGACTTTGTTACAGTAGCGGGTAGTAAAATCAAAAATGGGGCTTTCTCTTTAATTGGCTTCATATGGGTTATGGTAGGGAGTGCTAATGCGATATGTTAGATATTATTAACAAATGTTTCCTTTCAGTTAGTCAATTTTCTTTATAAGACATGCCGGTTTCTTTGCGATATTTTCCTTCACTTACATGCAATGCGTATAGAAAGATCTAATAGATCCCTTCAACTGGGAATAAAACGCATAATCACAGAGTTGAGAATCAAAAAGCCTTACTAGGTTTGCTATTGCTAACATTACGCATTACCCCCTAAACGTTTTTCATAAATCACCGTATCAGTGCGGGAGTTATTAACTTTATCGCGAACAGACATACAAGAATAAGTGATAGTTAAAGGTTATCTCTTTTGTAAACCTAAAATTCCCTTTAAAAATCTTCTTGACTCCTGAGATGTTCCTTTAAATGCGGTAATAGGTAGAAATCACTGGAGGTGAATATGGAGTGTGTTGCATCAATTTGAAGCCAGTTTCTTGAGTGGCAGCCAGTATAACTGGGTTGGTGAAAAAAAACTTTAGTGAGTTTCCCTTTTTTATTTGTCCTGTGTACAAAGTACTCGTTATAGTGGCTCCATGATTAAGAGCGAGCCCCAACCAAAATCACTTGAATTAAAAACGATAATAATATGGAGCCAAAAAATAGTTGTTGGCCAAACTGTTTTACTAGCGATTTTATTTTATAAAAATTTTTTTATTATTTTAAAAATAATGTCTAGGCTATGCTTTCGAGTATTATTTTTTCTAAGAATGTATTATTACTATTTATTGAACATCCTCATATAGTGATGTATATATAATAATAAGCAATTATGATTCAGCGTTCGTTCGTTCGTGTTCTTTTTATTCTTATGTTCGATTTCTTATGATAAATTTAGAGTAAACAAAATTTAAGATATGTACTATATTAACTATTAAAATTTGGTATACACAATGGTTTTAACAGACTTAAATAACCCAAGGAGAAGGTTTTCAGTTTAACGTGAACCTCCGTCCGTGGACGATTGTAGTGTCAAATTGGAATAATATGATCCTCATACATAAATAAAGTAATTATCACTTATTTATTTTGTAACAAGACCAACTATACAAATACCAAATATTGTTATTTAATTTTTAGTGCATTTAGAGTCGGTTATAAAATTAAAACTTGGTAGTCATTATGATGTCGTTTATTAACACAAGCTTCAACGATTTATCAAATAATTGTCAAGAACTGCCATACTTCAGTGAATAATGAAGGTGTGTTACATTAAGGCGCAGTCCCGGAAGTAACAAGCAGGAGACACGGACTATTAATGTTAAATTATGATTAATAGTGTTTTGTTTTTGTTGTTATTACTTAATCATATTCTTCTCCGAAGTCGGTGACAAATTTTAAGGTGCAGTCCCTTGGATTTCGAATAAATGACCATCTTCGTCGAGGAAAGTTTGAATGTTTAAATACTTCAAAAATATAATTTTACTGTTATCTTAATCATAATCATAATCAGAAGTCTGCTTTTACTCGCCTACCAATAGATTTTTTTAAAAGCTGATGTGTTATCTAATTATAAACAAACTGACCATTTGTGATAGGAATTTAATACATATTATAATTACAATTGACTATTTCCGTGATTTGTTGATGATATTGTTTATCGCTATCGTCATCTTATCAATTAAGTACGTTCGTATCAAGTCGATATCGACCGACAGGTAAAGAAGTAAAACAAAAAAAAAAAAAAAAAAAAAAGGGAGGGGGGGGAGAAAAAAAAAAAAAAAAAAAAAAAAAAAAAAAAAAAAAAAAGAAAAAAAAAAAAAAAAAAAAAGGGAGGGGGGGGGGGGGGGGAGGAAGGAAGAGGGGGGGGGGGGGGGGGGGGAAAAGGGAAAGGAAAAAAAGAAAAAAAAAAAAAAAAAAAAAAAAAAAAAAAAAAAAAAAAAAAAAAAACAAAAAAAAAAAAAAAAATATTTTTTTTTTTTAAGAATTTTTTTTGTTTGTGGGGGGGGTGTGGGGGGGGGGGGGGGTTTTTGGGGGGGGGGGGGGGGGGGGGGGGGGGGGGGGGGGGGGGGGGGGGGGGGGGGGGGGGGGGGGGGGGGGGGGGGGGGGGGGGGGGACAGGGGGGGGGGGGGGGAAAAAAGGGGGGGGGGTAAAAAAAAAAAAATTATATATAAAAAAATTAAATATAAAAAAAAAAAAAAATTGGAGAAAAAAAGGGGGGGGGGGGGGGGGGGGGGGGGGGGGGGGGGGGGGGGGGGGGGGGGGGGGGGGGGGGGGGGGGGGGGGGGGGGGGGGGGGGGGGGGGGGGGGGGGGGGGGGGGGGGGGGGGGGGGGGGGGGGGGGGGGGGGGGGGGGGGGGGGGGTTTGTGGGGGTTTTTTTTTAAAGGGGGGGGGGGGGGGGGGGGGGGGGGGGGGGGGGGGGGGGGGGGGGGGGGGGGGGGGGGGGGGGGGGGGGGGGGGGGGGGGGGGGGGGGGGGGGGGGGGGGGTGGGGGGGGGGGGGGGGGGGGGGGGGGGGGGGGGGGGGGGATGTGGGGGGAGGAGGGAGTAAAAAAAAAAAAGAGGGGAAAGGGGGGGGGGGGGGGGGGGGGGGGGGGGGGGGGGGGGGGGGGGGGGGGGGGGGGGGGGGGGGGGGGGGGGGGGGGGGGGGGGGGGGGGGGGGGGGGGGGGGGGGGGGGGGGGGGGGGGGGGGGGGGGGGGGGGGGGGGGGGGGGGGGGGGGGGGGGGGGGGGGGGGGGGGGGGGGGGGGGGGGGGGGGGGGGGGGGGGGGGGGGGGGGGGGGGGGGCGGCCCCAAAAAAAAAAAAAAACACCCACCCCCCCCCCCCCCCCCCCCCCCCCCCCCCCCCCCCCCCCCCCCGCCGGGGGGGGGGGGGGGGGGGGGGGGGGGGGGGGGGGGGGGGGGGGGGGGGGGGGGGGGGGGGGGGGGGGGGGGGGGGGGGGGGGGGGGGGGTGGGGGGGGGGGGGGGGGGGGGGGGGGGGGGGTTTTTGGGTGTGTTGGGTGGGGGGGGGGGGGGGGGGGGGGGGGGGGGGGGGGGGGGGGGGGGGGGGGGGGGGGGGGGGGGGGGGGGGGGGGGGGGGGGGGGGGTGGGGGGGGGGGGGGCCCCCCCCGGGTTTTTTTTTTTGGGGGGGGGGGGGGGGGGGTTTTTATTTGGGGGGGGGGGGGGGGGGGGGGGGGGGGGGGGGGGGGGGGGGGGGGGGGGGGAAAAAAAAAAAAAAAAAAGGGGGGGGGGGGGGGGGGGGGGGGGGGGGGGGAAAAAAAAAAAAAGAGGGGGGGGGGGGGGGGGGGGGGGGGGGGGGGGGGGGGGGGGGGGGGGGGGGGGGGGGGGGGGGGAGAAAAAAAAAAATAAAAAAAAAAAAAAAAAAATAAGGGAAAAAAAAAAAAAAGGGGAAGAGAAAAAAAAAAAAAAAAAAAAAAAAAAAAAAAAAAAAGGGGGGGGGGGGGGGGGGGGGGGGGGGGGGGGGGGGGGGGGGGGGGGGGGGGGGGGGGGGGGGGGGGGGGGGGGGGGGGGGGGGGGGGGGGGCGGGGGCTTTTTTTTTTTTTTTGGGGGGGGGGGGTTTCCCCCCCCCCCCCCCCCCCCCCCCCCCCCCCCCCCCCCTTTTTTGGGGGGGGGGGGGCCCGGCAAAAGAAATTTTCCCCCCCAATTTTTTCAAAAGGCGCCTAAAGAAGTAAAACAAAAAAATACAGATAAATGTATTATATTTCTTAGTAATACGCATTTAAAAGATAAATTATTATTTAATACTTAACAATTCAAATGTATTAGGTTAGGCTTTATACAAAGGCATTCTTTTTTTATATTAATAAATTCTTTCCAGAGTTGTAGTGGCATGCAAGCCAATACTTTTAAAAAATGTACTGACGGTCATATTATAAATTTGGTTATTTAAAAAAAAGTTATAAAAATATATTATTGCATATCAAGAGAGTGCGTTTTAATTTGACTCTTTCAGCGACAACTAAAGATTTGTAATAAGGGTCTATAAACAGTAACCAATTAGGTCACATTTATTTAAATTGATACTGGCTGAAAAACATTTGTGAACAAATTTTCTACTGAAGATGTCAAATATAAAATTATAATGAAGACGCGAATCGTTCCCAAGTACTTATTTCTTTAAATAGCGCACTGCCAGGACATTCTGTCGCTCCAACTTGTCGGTGACCAATTAGCTTATATTCACGACTGATGTAACCCAGTTCCACACCAACCTTCACAAGTTCCTTTGCAACATTCAGTTGCAACTTTGCAGGGACGGTAGCTGAAATAATGATTTATTATAAGACAAATTACTAAGTAAAAACACTGTTTATTATTGAAAGGTTCACTCTGTCTTTTCCATAAAGGATTGGCTGTTCGACTGCACTGGTTTTAAGGTACGGAGAAATGACCGTACGTGAAATCCAATACATATTTGTAATACGGGATTCAGATTTTACATTATTTATTTATTAACACTTCGTTGCATTACAATATAAAAATAGAACATAATTAAATGAAAAGAAGGGCAACTGGCAGCATTATCGCTTCGAGCGATCTATTCCAGACAACCACTTAGTGCTTAGTTTTAAAAACAACACGGGATGGCATCTCACTCTTAATTAGTATTGTAATTATAAGAATAGGAACCGCATTTAAAAATTACTTAAGATATATACCTCCTTTATATATAATATATATCCAGTTATAGTCCTTTTATCATATCGTCGTATAAACTTAAACTTTTCTTGAACATATACTTTGAAAAGTAATGAACGAAATATCCTCCATACATATTAAGTGGCCAACCTTACTGACTTCATAAGAAACGTAATTCTTATTCCGTCGAAATATTTTTTATCTATGTCCTTACTTGAAGACTGGACCAATTAAAATATATATATGAAAGGATGCTCTAATGATGATATCATGGTAAAATTACTGTTATAGGCAAACTGGAAGTGTTTTTGGTATTTGCGACTAATAAATTTACTTTTACAAAACACAATTTTGTGAATTCTAATTAATCAGGAAGATCAAAAATTGCCCACGTAGCTTCAATAAGGTTTTCATATCAGTTTCAGTCAATTTTTTTTTAATTTTGCACAATTGTGAACTCTGCCGTGAGGAGAAGTTTTCTAAATGGTTGACGCTATGACGTGATACCTACACACCCAATCACCAATGAAGACAATGCCAATACTGTTAGTGTTGAAACCAGCTGCGTGTGCGCCGACGCGGTTCCACCCTCGACCCTCGTACACTACTCCATCGCCGCCCACTGCAAAACTATTGCCACACATATATTAATATATAGTTGTATCTATGAGGGGTTGTATATTTTGAGATCTTACTCATGTATGCAAATAGAATTGATGAAATTTGGAAAAAATTTCGTCTATATATAGTAAAATAAATAGTTTTTGGTCGAAATGTATGTAGTAATGAAACACAGATACGAGACAGACCATATCAATTGACGTGTGATACGTAGGTTCTAACACAATATGAGAATAGATAAGTCTAAAATTACATAGTATAAATATATAATTCGTTTTAATTACGGCACGTTTCAGTAGACTGTTCATACAAAATTACATCAATATTAATTGTTATGTTTTTAAACGAATTAAAATGCTTGGTTACTTCGAATTGCTTTATACAAGAATCGTATGCAATTTTTTTAAGTCTATGTAACATCGAAAAACTGGGAAGTCCCAAGTTTCGGAAATACATTTCTCTCTATACCAGGAGTCTGTCCTGCCGTGAGATTCTGTTAATCTGTGAGTTCACCTTGCACTAACAACGCTCACGTCATTTTTGGAATCTCATGGTATTCTGTTAAGCAATTTCACATTACGTCTTACTACTAACAATAAACTACAAGCGGAGGGAGCTTGTAGTTTATTGTTTATCAGAATGCCAAATCGTAAAATGACTGCTTCACGACTGATTTGAGCGCGACCGCCGCGCCGCTGCGAAAACCGCTGTGAGAGTTCGAAAAGTGAGTTACAGAATAGCAAGGCTGTTCTAAATCAAATGATTAAAACATTTATTCGTAAGACTTACTTGTATCCAATATCGTTCCATCCATTTGTTATCTGATGTGCATTCTGCATAGAGCGCATTGATCTAGCGCATTCTGCCCGACTGTGGCAAACATTTGGTATGTAGCTATGATGTATTATCACTAGGGGTACTGGCGTGTTCTGTTCTGTTATAGATGTTGGTGGTTTCGCATTCCATTCTTCACGCGATACGAATGGGAAGGGGTAGCAGTATGCTAAAATACACTCTTAATCATACAGCGGCAAATAAAAAGCGTATAACAGATCGCGAAACAGTTAAGTCTGATTAAAATTACGCGAATCTTATAAGCTGAAGAAGTTTAGTATACCTAAAGACAACCTTCGAACTAGACTTGGGTCTGCTAGGACTGCTAAGACAACATAAAATCTATTATAATTTTCTTCATGATAAAATGTAGAGTTTTGATAAATTGATATACAAATAAGATATGACACATTATACACATTGTGCAATATTATATTTAAATATTTAAAATTACCTAAGATACTTAACCGTGACAAATGATTCAATAGATTCAAATACTTACATATTTTATTAGACCTTTGAAATTTCGCTGGAAAGCTTTGTGACGATACGATAAAACTAAGGAACATAACCGCGTAGATCTTCATTATGGCTAAAACAAATAGGTACACAGTTAGTAGTACAATATCGAATATCTTTAAGTGCTATTGAGATTAAATAAAATCACAGCGCTTTAAACATTTTAACAAGCGATAAGCAAATTATTAGATATAAGAATTATTTTGATACATGCTTGATGGCCCTTGATATTTCGATTTCGCAACCGGTTTCACGTATTAGATATTTTTAGAACATTTAGGTACGGCTTTTTAATTTAATTTACGACTACTTTTCTTTTAAAATCCATAAAAGGTATCATAATGATCAAAACTGCACATTTATCAACGTTTTTTTTACAATTAGGTATAATACAAGAGTTTGAAATATCGAAGTATAATTAGTAATTATAAACATTTCTTAGATTATTATAGGAATTTGGCGAAATTTTCGTTAAATAAAAATCTTTAAAACATACATATAGTGAATGCCTTAAATAAAACGTTTACGGAAACATCGAAATATTCTAAAATCTAATTAAAATAATAAATCAAACGAATAGGAAATCTAGAAGTTACTCACTCCTTTAAAATTTAAATGATCTTGATTTTAGCAATGCTCGATTACTACTGTACTAATAAGGCTTTTGTATAAACAACAATATATACTCTAATTGATTGATAAGCGACTCAATCACTGAGATTTAGTGATATTTCATATATAGTGATGACTCAACTTATGTAATGTTGCTCTCGATCGGGTAAGCCCCTCATCAAACATGTTTCCACAGCCGCCCGTGTGAACCTCAGATAAGTTAAGGCTCAGTAAAAAATACGACTTTTCGCGACACTTTTCTTGTTACGTTTGAAGAGTTTTTAAATATTCTAAACTTTGAATATTGGGTTCATTTTTTTTATTTATTGATAGTTTTTAAAGAGATATCAAGATATATTGTAGTAGATAGATATGTTAAGCTTATGTGTTATGTTATATGAGAGTATACAATATACATCGGAAAAAAAACTTAAAATATTATTATGCCTAGTTCGACGACCTCGAAAATGATTAATATCATTTTGATTGGCCATGGATAATGTTTTTATTAATTTTCTGTCCGTACAGTAAATTCGTAATAAAAACATCTATTTATCTGTCTTTACATAAATCTATTAATCCATAATTATATGAAACCAAATGACAAAAAAACGTAAATTAGCATTATACATTTTAACAAATTATTTTCTTTAATTATAGTAAGTATTTTCTCAGTTAGACAATACAATTCATAATTTTTGTCTTCAAAATCCTTTTTCAATCTATGTGACGTAAAGAAAAATTATATCGATTTGACAGTTGCAAAATTATTTCGTATTCTTACAAAACGTGCTTAGCGACCGTTACCGGTTTTTACTGACTACAAAAATCAAAATGAAGGAGATTATCAATTAGACCTGTATTTGTTATTGTTTGATAATGTTTTAAATAAACTGTACTCTTTTTCCACTCTACCTGAATTTATAAAACATAGTTTTTTCTTCGTTCATAATAGATCAGATACATTAAGACATTCTTCGATTATAGCAATTAGAATTACTTTAGCAATGATTAATGTCATAAGTGGCTGCATTTTATTAACAGCTTGCTCGCAAATGTGTCTTTGATGTGCCTCCCGCCCTCTTAAGTTGTTTTGTATTCTGAATTACTCAAAATAAAGCCAGTATGGTTAAATTTTACGATTATAATTAAGCTTAAATACCGTTTTCTCAATTAACTAAAATCGTGTATAATCGAACGAGGGAACAGGAAAATATGATTTAAAAGTAAAGTTGTTATTATTTTCTTAGTGTCTGAAACTACTGTTTAATCTTACGTATATTTCTATCTATCTAACTGAGAAACGCAAGAGCAGGCCCTAGGCATTAAATAAAGTCAGTTTTAAACACCTGATAGATTCATGCACTCGCGAATGGATGTCATATAAGTAGTTAAATACTAAAATAGATAAACTATGAAAGCAAATATTTTTATACAAAATATTGCTACCTGTCGTTATGGGTTCTTTCCTCTTGTCGTTGACGTCAATGAAGATGTTATCAGTTGATAATAAAATATTGTAATAATTTAAAACAAACAATTTTGATTATCTTTGTACCTTACGTGTCATTTCGTGCTGGTTAAATGTGGGTATGTAGGGTCGTTGAGATGGACTTCAGTGTCTAAAGTGATAAATTCTACAGCTCAAATTCACTGACCTTCTAATAACAATTGTTGGGCCTTATCGTTTGATAAGTGATACAATCATAAAGACGTACTCGTATCTACGTCATCTGTATGGATTTACGATACTATCGATATCGATCGATACTAATATTAGTTTATATATACTATTTATGTATTAGTATAAATATTAATTTTGGCCATGTCTGAGACAAATGAGCCAAACCAAACTGATATGGTCGCTACCATTTACATGATACCACAACGTAAAACATTGTTATAACAAACATCAAAATGCATTTTTTTTTAATAATTGTCTGGTTGTGCTAGTAAAACTTATGTTTTATTTACGATATCAGTTATAAAACTACAAAACTTCAGGTACTTACAGCGTCCTTATATTTATTTATTATTTCTCCACAACTACTTTATAACACAATACACATCAACCAAAACGGGTAAACACCTTTATAGTCAATTTAGTATTTATGTATTTTGTTTTCCACGAAATATCGGAAGCGAACTTAGTAATGAAAAGGCTTTTCATAATTATTCATAAATAAATATTTAATCTAAAATAATTAATAATATGTTTTAAACATACCTACTGCTGTCTCATGATGACTGTAGGAAAAATAAAATATGCATATTGTGTTCGATATAATTATGGATATATTAGAGAAACACCAAAATCTTATATGTGATCGAAGTCAATCTGAGGGCGGCTGCTATTCATCGTGGTCAACTCTTTTCGACTTAAAAAAAATATCGTGCAGTAAGACTCGTTTAGCCTTTCCCTTAATTCGATAACTAGGTATAGTAGAAAATGACCACATTGTTTGTTTTATTGGGGAAGTACCGTGGCACTTGAACTGAATACGGATAAATAAAAGCAGGCAATAAACAAATGAAGTATTAGTTTGGTGATCGGACGGCCATTTCACGACGTACATTCTCAATCACAATATTTAAATATGTTATCAAAAGTTGTATTTCTTGTAGTTTGCGCGTCGGTTACCTGTTTTCCTAGATTAACTAGTAAGTATATTTAAGATTGTTTGTTTTTGTGATTGCGTTAAATTTAATAATAAGCATAGGCAACGATATCTTTTATTGATGAAATTGCCGCTGAATAATTTCCCGATGTTTATTCATTTTTTTCGTGTGATAAAATAAAAATACATTTTACCTACTGTCTTACTTTAAATTTTTATATAAATTAACAACTATTTATTTTGAACTTAAAATTATAAAACCGCCCTTATGCAACGTTTCGGTTGCAGTAAGCAAATAAAATAAAATTTTGGCAGATTAATTTCAATTTTTGTATTAAAACATATAATTTCGTCCTTATAATAATACCAATAATAATTTTGTTTATATAAAACTATAAGAATGAGGGAATCTTTAACAATGTGTTATCTTATACGATAACGCTATTTACGATATATGATAACAATAACATTTACGATAGAACATCAACGGTTTAGCTACTATGAACTTCTGAACTTTTTTAGAATTATTGTGGGATAAGTATGTAAAACAAAAAACAAATGAGTAAAAGATATTTAAACAAACAACAAAAAAGTGGTCTTCTACTAAACTATAATAATATCTGAAATAAAACCACCAGAAGGATTTTTAAATTATCCTACCAAACCTTTTTATTTGGTAATTTTCACCTTGTTATGCAATATCATTTAAACGTAAAAGAAATACATAACTTTATAATATAAAAAATATGTACCATTAAATAGAAAACAGAGATGATTAAAAATACTAGTGCTGAGACTATTTTCTATGTAAGACTAACTTTTTTTATAAAAATTTATCAAAAATACTTATTTAGTAGTGCCCAATTTAGTAACATATTTTAAATTGGGTCTATTCAGAACAAACGATGAAAATTTTCCAGATTTACAGCCACCTTTTAGTTTCTACACGCGTTCAGACTGGCATGCTCAACCGGCTACAGATTTAACTCCGCTGTCAACTCCAGTACCCTACGTGATTATCCATCACACGTATAAGCCTGACGCATGTGCTAGCCATCAAGAATGTATCACAGCTATGCAGTCAATGCAAAGATACCACATGGAGAGCCTAGATTGGGGTGATATTGGATATAAGTAAGTATTTTTATTATATAGTGGTTTTTAAATAAACAAATCTAAAGTATTCGGGTGAGTGGGACAGAACATATATCTAAAAAATCCCCCGATGTATGATTTATTATACTTTTGTTTTGTTTTATCTTTCGTTCTATTATTTAATTAATCGAGTAATATTTTAATGACATAAAGACGAGGTATATTATATGTTTCTTTCAGCTTCTGTATAGGCAATAGTGGAGATGTTTATGAAGGAAAAGGGTGGGAAAGAAAGGGTATACACGCAGGCAAAGCCAATGGTGTCAGTATAGGTATCTGCCTAATTGGTGATTGGAGAGGTAATTATAATAAAATACTTAGTAAGAATGAGAAACTGTAACTCACGCTTTGTTTTCGTAAAAAAGGCTTCTACCATATTAAAACATCGTGTTCTTAAATTGTTGAAATATTTTTCATGTAATTTTGTAAGCTTTATGTGAATTCAAAATATATAAGTATGCTAGTTAGCGGTATGAAACATACTTTACGAATCTATCTCTCTCTTACTTACCTTAATACGTAAAAAATATACATGATTTCGGTCGAGCCGATTCGGAGTAGAGCAATCCGTGATACGAGATTTCTACAAAAATATACATTCAAATATTATAAAGAGGCACTTAATTATAATATGATATTAAATATAGGCAGAAAGGATCTAGGCATTGATACTAAATCGTCTGATTAATCTAAGTAATTTAACTAAAGCAATCATTTACCCCTTTATGTCAAATTGTTTTTATCGCTGATTAGATGAGTGATGAGTGTAATTGAGTTTGTCATTGGAATGTCATTAAAAAGAGAACTTTTGTGTTTTACAGTTGATCAGCCACCACAGGACATGTTGGTGGCTACCAAGGCTTTAATTCAGATGGGAGTAGACAGGGGAATCATTAGTCCTGACTATAAGTTAGTTGGCCACAACCAAGTGATGGCAACACAATGTCCCGGCGCAGCTCTCTTCGATATTATTTCAAAATGGGATCATTTCGCAAACAAATTCAGTGTAGCTTAGCTATTTAATAAACTATAAAAGTGTGTTCCTCAATATTGTACAGTAATGTTAATTTAATAAATTATTTAAGTATCTTATTTAAATCCTTATTTAGACCATTCCTATAGCCATAAAAATGAGAGCTTGGTTTTACTCAAAATTTTAGGCTGAGGTAATATTAAATTCCAAGACAGCAGGAAAATGTGTATCATCATTATCAGCCTCTTTGTTTGGTCCATTTCTGGACGTAGGCTTCTTCAATTTTCCTCCAGTACACCCTGCACTGGCCTCCCTGTCTCCACTGGGAGCCAACCTCCTTGACGATGTCGTCAGCCCACCTGGTCGGTGGGCGTCGCTTACACCGGCCTTTTCACGAATGGCCTTATTTCGCTAATATATATTATAACGCTATCGCGAAGGGAGATGCCAAGCAATGCACGCTCCAGCGCCGACTCTCAGAGTTTCCGTCGAGCGTTGTGTGAGCGTTATGGTTTCTGAGTAAAGACAGACAAGATGCACTGATTGAAGACCTTTCTTTTAAGTCAAGTTAAACAACCCTTATCATCGTCCCAGGGTAACATCTTACAGTAGTTTTCAAGAGCCGCAGTGAAAAGTTTCGGAGTCATAGTATATATCTGTCTTAAACTTATTCGTTTTATCGTGTATGTGTATACAAGTCGTCGGAAATATCTGCGAACCTGGCTTAATGACGTCATACAAACTGGAGAGATAGCAAAAAAATTGAAGATGTAAAAATAAAAAATATTTTATTTGTGTACTTATTTTTATTGATACTCGTACCTACTTGAAATTTACAAATACTTATTATTTACATTATTTAAAATTCAAATTATTTACAAATTTACAAATAATACAAAGAAAAAGTAGAGAGGAAGAGAAAGTGGCGAAACTATTCTAGAAAAGCCTCGACACCAGACATGGTAGCGCTGTCGTTTTCGTCATCTTCTATATTATCACTCAAAATGTTGTCTTCGGTTTCGCTGTCACTGTCTTCTCCTCCTAATGAAATTATTAATTCGCGTTCTTCATGTTCATATAATCTGTCATTATGCCAAAACTTATCTCTTAAGCGATCAACATGGTTGCATTCTTTTTCCAATCTTCCGGGGTTATACTTTGGATCGCTGCCTTTGTTAACCTTTCTATATCTTTTTCTGATTGGTCAATATTTTTGTCTGCCACCCTTTGTTTCATCAAATTCCAAACATACTCAATAGGGTTGAGATCACAGTGGTAGGGTGGCAGACGTAATACCTCATGTCCATGAGCTCTAAATATTTCATCGATGAAATATACCTTCTCAGGTTTATTTCTTTGAATCAACATATACAGTTCTCTTTTAGTCATTTTGTCATCAAATTCGATGTTGTGTTCTTGCAGCCATGTTTGCATTTCGTTTTTACGTGCACTGAAATTTGGCGGCTTATTTGCCTGCTTACTGTGATAGGGCGCGTTGTCCATGACAATTATTCCGTTGGGTGAAAGGTTCGGTATCAATTTCTCTTTAATCCATTTGGTAAAATTGGACGCATCCATTTCGTCATGGTAATCACCGGTTGTTGATTTACACTTATATAGGAGCTCGGCTCCTTGTATGAAACCGTTCTCATTACCTGCGTGTACCACAATCCAGCGCTGACCAGGAGAGTGATTTATTCGGACACTGGAATCACTACTATTTTGCCAACATTTTGAGACAGTATAGTGTGAATGTATCCAGGTTTCGTCGATAAATGTAACTGGTTTTTTTCGGCACCACGTTCGTCATTTTCTTTCAGTCGCCTTAAATATTTTGCTCTCCAGGCTGCTATTTCAGGTCTTTGCACCAAAAAATCGCGTTTTCGTTTACATTTTTAAAGCTGTACCCCAAATCATTTATTAGTATGTTTCTTAGGGCGTCTTTTTGGCCGGGAAAGTTGAGCTCCCGTTTTGCTATTGTAAGAATCTTTTTTAAAGTAGGTATTTCTTTTCTTGTGGTATAAAAACTTTCAACCAAAGAGCGTATCGCGCATAAATCAAAATTATCTAGATCTATTTTCTTTTTGTATTTTTTACGCTTTTTCCCTGGTGTCGAGAGCTTGATAGTGTCCGTGGCAACTGAAGCTGAAGTACTAGGTTGTGGATGCTCACCATCTTCGAAGGACGTCATGTCTTCCTGAACATTCGCTGCTCGCGCTGTTTCTGTTTGTATTTTTTTTTGCTTCACGTTTTATTGTCATTATTGTCGTTTTAGATAAACCAGTTGCAGCACAAGCCCTTTTTGTTGCTTGTTCAACCGGCACAGTGAAAGAGCCGTGTTTTTTTTCATTTTCAAAGAATTGGATTACTTTGAGCACTAAATTCCGCTCTGCACTATGTATAGTCCTACCCATCTTACATACAGCACTAAATAGGTAGTTTATGTAATATTTCACCAAAGAGAGAAACAATAAACACTAAAATGCGATTACGAAAGCAAGAATAATACACGTGCGTCGGCGATTGCGTTGGCAATGGTACTGGTCACTGGATAGGCGAAAACGGGGCGGGGTGCGGGGAAGCGCCAGGGGAAGCGCATTCCAGCGAGGTTCGCAGATATTTCCGACGGCTTGTACATGATGTGGCGTGATCTTGCAAGTGCTTCAGAACAAATTAATGTTTTAAATAACAATAAATTAGCATCGTTGGTCGATTCTGCATTCTGCTAGATTTTTCTCTACAGCCCATACCGAAATCCTTTACATACTCTACGAATGTGATGATGATAGACTTCTGGTACTAGTTACATTTCTGGATAAGGGTTTTAATTGTTTGTAGATGCTATAACCCATTCGGAATCCAGCTTGCTCCCGTGGTTGATACGCGTCTAGTTTATTGTTTAGTCTGTTGACTAGAGTTCTACTAAAGAGCTTGTAAATTATGCGAGAGAAGACTGATAGGCCGATAATTATCCAGTTTCTTCAGAACCCCTTTTTTGCGTATCAGTTTCATAATGGCGTTGTTCCATGAAGAAGGGACCGCACCTTCGATTAAACACTTTGTGAAAAGGGTTGCAAGAGCTGAGTAGAGTTTGTCGCGAGCAGCCTTATGCATTTCTGGGATTACGTTGTGTTCCCCTGGCGCTCGCTCATTTTTGAGTTTGCGTACAGCTAGTTGGCTTTCTGCGACCGTTACTTCTGGGAGGTTCTCCGAGCCCACATTCTTAATAAGTGGAGGTTTGCAACGGTCAGCAGGCCAGCCATCTGAAGTGGTAGGGTTTTTGCTTTGATAGAGTTTTCGGTAGTGGCGATGGACCGTCTTCAGTAGCTCTGGTCTATTGACCACGGTTTTGTTTTCCTCGTCAAACAGTTTTCAATTGGTTTTCCTTCCTATATTTTATCGCAGTTTTAGCGACTTTCGGCTGTTATTTCGCTCTGCAGAGCATTCTCAATAATGTCCTTTTGGTATCTTTAAGGACTTAGCTGATTCTCTTTCGCACTTTGTTTTGGAGCTTTCAAAATTCAGTAGTACCGGCGTTCCCTTCGCTACAAAGTTGCTTTCTAGAGATTAAGTGTATCATTCTTAAGTTTACATTTTTTTGCTGCTGGGTGAAAAGGCGTAAATTTTTCTGCTTTATATTTTAAAATTTTGCGTTTAAATGTCCAATACTTGAGTTACCAACTATGTAATATTTAAGATCGTTACATACTTTTTAGTATAGACAGATCTTATCTAAAACTTATGTGAAGAAACATTTTCCAAATTGATGTCTTAAATTTTAGGTTTTTATTCTATAACTCAAATCTAGCCCGCGAACTGTGTATATTTTTTTTTCTCTATGAAGTTTCGGATGCCTATGCCAAATTAAGTTAAAATAATTACTAAATCAAAACCATGAAAATATACCTGAAAATGGCCTGTAGCGCTGCAATGAGTTGGCGATGGTAAAGCCACCAGTCACATTTTCAGTCATAATGGACTCACGAAACTAATAAATTCATATTAAAAAACGCTTTAAATCAGTTGACTGAAGTGACAAGTTCCGATAATTATTAGAATTATTAAAAATATTTTAGTCTTAAAAACTCGCCTAATGTTAGGGAAACATTCCATATTTCCTCAACCCCTCAATTATATGTAAAATTAGCAGGAAGTTCTGGTAAGGATTTTATTGTTTTGAACTCTTAAATACAACGCATTGTTGTACCTGATTGAGGAGGAAAAGGCAGATGTAGCAAATTGACTGAGACCTTACAAATCTGAGACCCATACCTACAGCCTACTAGGAATGGGTCTCCGATTTGGGTATCTGTTTCGTGATCATTTGTTTTCTCTAATAGGCAAGTAGGTGAGGTCTTTAGGCCTTCTGCGGCTGACACATACCTATGTTGTAACCTGCGAATGAGTATTATTCGCTCGTAAACAGAAAGTCCACAACCGGGATGAGAGTCGTACTCAATTCTGTGACATTTAATACACATCTAATCTAAATCTTTCAGGTTTTTTTAAACAAATCATAGAAAAGTTGAGACTGATTTTTACCTATAACCTATTGTTATTATAAATCATATATATTTTATATTACGAAAAGATTGCGCAGCAAAGTTTATCACAAAAATGATAAAACATAATTTTTACTTTACACATTTGAGACAGTCACTATACTTTTACTTTTTAAAATAGTTCCATTAAATTAAAAAGAAAACATTAGTTGAGTTTCATTTGGCATTTTGCAAAGAAATTTTGCGCTAAACCGCTATTACGAAATGTATACTAGTTTTTCTTCATACAATACCCAAATTGTAAGTACTAAATGAAACATTACAACAAACAGCTAATCAATAACGTTATATTGCATAAATGATGGACTAATTATCCAAATATTATTTACGAACTATTATTGATAACGGATTTTGTTTGAATAATCTGTTCGAACTAATTATCATTATTATTGTAACATATCGGACAAACAACACTGAATGATTTACGAAAAATACACAATACATAATGTATACGTTTAAAGTTATTATGTTCAACAGTAATCGATCATTATGATAAACTATTTTGTCCGGGGATTTTTCATAATGGCCCGTTTATGAGGAAATTTCTTTGCGAATTATAATTAATAAGGAGAATAATTCGTCAATTATGTGTATTTATTCTTACCTGACACTTTATATACACGAGTTATGACGTAGACTCCAATTAAGAATATAACAAGTTTAACACTATATTTATGTCACAGCAATGTTTATACACCCATGAATTATTTTTTTTTATATACCAATATTGCAAAATATTATGACTGGTATTTTCTTGTAATTTTACTACCTTTGTTTTTAAATTTCAGATCAAATAGTTAATTATTTTTCTACTACCATTTTATTTATTTATTTTATTTATTATTTATTTATTTATTAACACTTCGTTGCATATACATTAATATAGTACAATTGACATAATTAAATAAAAAGGAGAGCAACTGGCGGCCTTATCGCTTTCAAGCGATCTCTTCCAGGCAACCACTGTGAGAAAACAAAAAGTATTAAATTACATAAGATAGGCATTTTAAGGAAAAGTTTACGAAAATCATTTTGCAGTTATCTCGTTTTAATTTACCTCTGCATTTCTATTATAACCTAGTTTCCACCGGAAGTTTGAATGCAGAATCACTGCAAAATTAAGGTCATTACCTTTTTTCATAATACTCTATTCAACGTGACCGCCGGGGATAAACCTTTGATGCCATGCTGATGACTATATTATACACATGCCAACCAATACCAGTTTCACGAACATCGTTAAAGACAGTGGCCTGTTTTTTGTGCTAATTTTTAATAAATAGGAAGCAAATATTTCGTGTGTTAAACGTAGTTGTTAACAAAATTATTTCGCGGAAGTGCCTTCAAAAAGACCTCAATAAAGGAAGTCCAATTTTAGTTAATGTAAGTAGTATATATGCTTATTTAACGCAATGTTGCTAATATTTTACTTGTTTTTACAAATCAAATCAAATCAGAATCATTTATTCATATAGGTAACACAATGTACACTTATGAACGTCCAAAAATAAATACATATTAAATGCTTCTAATTTTACATTTACTGCCAGTTCTCAAATCAAGGGCGTAGAACGGAAGAGAAGAACTGGCAATAAACTAAATAGCCACTCTTTCTAATCGCCAAGTTTTTGTTTTACATAATGTTTGTAAGGAGCTGCAACCATTACACCATGTTCCACATGACATCTTAAGTCACACACATGTCTTAAATAAAGTTTTATATAGCCTTTGATGAAATATTGCTTTAAAGGATCAAAGTATAAATCAGGAATTGATATTTGAATCCTTTTTCATCAAAAGCTAGATATAAAATGTAAATCCACGAATACTCCATGTATATTTGTTTTTATATTGCACACATCATTAAACAAATTTGTCAAGTTTATATCGTACTCTGATGATAAATCTTTGGTTTGAACGGCGGTATATCACCTAATTAATTTGAATCACTATTTAGTCAATGAGGCTAGCGCACTGATAGTTTACGCGTAACACTCGATATACGATAACCAAAGTTGACACGAGGAGGTATAGTTTATTAGTCATGTAATATATAATAAATATATATTTCAGCGCAATCAGAATCAGTGATGCTGTGTATATTTTATTTGGAACTACTGATGTGTACCATTACTTTTGCTAAAAGTGTTCCGGCTGATTTCAAAGGTTAGTTTTTTTTAAACCAATATTAAGGTTTCGAAATTTTTCTATAAATAATAATTTTCTAATCATTTTTAATTATTACTATTAGTATGTAGCTAAGAATATTGTAAACACTATATTTGTGTGTTATTATATATTTTTTAATTAAAAAAATCTAGAAATACAGTATATATATTTATAATATATTTATAATTTGTTTTTCCCAAAAAAATAATTATATAGTACTACTAAATAATGTATTTAGGAGTATTTTTTTCATATAATATAATAATTTGTTTGATATTATTAATCAAATAAAATTAATATTAAAAAAATAGATTTTAATACTAAACCCTAAATTTATTAAACTTTATAATAACCTAAGAGCATTCTATAAAACATATTCATTTTCAAATCAGAACAGTTACTGCAAAATATTATTAATAATACTCTAAAAAAAAAAATGTTCTCATCATTTTCAGTATAATCTATAAAATTCAATTATTGTAGCCTCTTTTCTCTTTAGAGGAACCATTGGAAAATGAGGTGATCACATACGACTTTCCTTTGGTGAGGCGTGGAAAATGGAACGCAAGGAAACCAACACACACCCTGCCTCTAAATGTACCTGTTCCATATGTTGTAATCCACCACTCCTATTCACCATCCGCCTGCGAAGACAGTAATAGCTGTGCGCAAGCAATGCGGTCTATGCAGAATTACCACATGGATGAGCATGGATGGTGGGATATTGGATATAAGTGAGTAGCTTATATACGATTATAGCCTTGTACATACGTCACATTATTTTAAAAAACTGTCAAATTAAATAAATATATTATTGCTATATCGTCCTTATCTGGCCGTAAACTGAGAGTTGTATAAAATATAAAAGAAGTGCGTCTTTAAAAATAGATCTAACAGACAGACAAAGCCTTACTGAATACGAAAAGATATACTTATTCATTCATTCATTTCCTTAACCTATAAAATGAAAAATAGTTTTCGTATATTATATGTATATTAGTTTGACACTATATGTTTCATTAAAACAAAAACGGATTCATGAAGTCGTGAGTTCCATTCTTATCAAAATAAAACGACGTGAATTGTTCGTGTAATAAATTATAAGAATTTTTTGACTGATGATAATTGTTTCTTTATTAGTTTTGGTATCGGCGGTGATGGAGCTGCGTACGAAGGTCGAGGTTGGACTGTCCTTGGTGCTCATTCACTGCGCTTCAATAACTACAGTCTTGGAATATGCCTTATTGGGGACTGGAGATGTATGTATTACTTAGAAAAAAATATAGAAACATGTAAATGTTAATTAACTATTGTATGTTTCGCTAGGCTTTCAAGATATTACTAAAGAAAAATGTTGTTTGTACGTCAAAGCATAATAATGTTGTGCGAAGCCTTTCTTCTTCTTAATACTTAAATTATAATTATTTCATCAATTTACAACATAGCAATATGTTTATTTACATGCCATAATCGTACTATATCTCTATCATTAGATACTACTACTCAATAGCAGCTAATCTTATTTAACATAATTTTATTATTTGAGACCTATATCCGAAATAAAAATTGACTATATACCTAATCAGTATTGAATTAACCAATCTTAAATTATTGAACACGAACTATGTCCCTTGTTTGTCAAAATCCAAACTACAAAAAATACAATAAAACCTTGACGTTAGACTTAGCGCTAAGTCTCTTTTGTAAATCTTACTCTGAATCATTAGAACAAGTATACAAACTCGTAATTATTACCTATAACGACGTCATTATCTAACTTTTTCTCGAATAGATTATTTAATAACTAGTAACAAAACATATTATTATTACGAAAATTTTCCACTACAAGACGACGTAACGTATTATCTAAGCTGGCATTATTGTTAATTGTGACTGATTATAAAAGGTCATCCATCGATGATATTTTAATATTAATTTTAAATGACTTATAGCAATGTATATTTTAAGTACTTAGATGCCGCTCTGTGTATGAAAATAACATAATCAGTGCTTTTTTTTTATAAATCGAATTAAACATTAATCTACGGAGGCCGTTGACTTTAAATAATATTAATTAATAATAGCAAAAACTTCTATTTACAGATAAAGTTCCGCCAGCGCTGCAAATAAAAACGGCTAAAGAGTTAATATCCGCTGGTGTAGACCTCGGATTTATAAAAGCAGATTATAAACTCATAGGTCATAGACAAGTGAGGGATACAGAATGTCCTGGCGATGCGCTATATGAAGAAATAAAACAGTGGAAGAATTACTCTCCATTTCCAGCTACAGTTACGGATTTGGTGGATGTTGTAGAGATACCAGAGTCTATTAGAGGACAGTGGAAGGAGAATGGAACTTTGAAAAGTTGAAATTTTGAATTTGTAGAATAAGTTAGTTTTAAGTGTAATAGAAGTTTAAAAAAAAGTTCCTTAACATTATTTATTTACGTAATAAAATTAATACATCTACTTAATTGTTTTTTGTAAAATTATTTTTTTTATTAAATTACTATTGATATAATTATTTCCAATGAGACCGGCCGATTTAAAAAAATCTTTGAAAAACCCTGAACTATTAAAACTAAAAAAAATTGCATATGCAAAATAATAAGTTAAAGTAGTTTTAAGTGTAATAGAAGTTTAATAAAAAAGTTCCTTAACATTATTTATTTACGTAATAAAATTAATACATACATCTACTTAATTGTTTTTTGTTAAATTATGTTTTTTATTAAATTGAGACCGGCCGAAATTAAAAACTAAAAAATTTGATCGTAACACATTTCTGCCTATTACTTATCATTTTTAATGAGAGACTAGATTATTATACATGAATAGAAAAAGACTGTAACTGTTTTATGTAAAGTTTTTCAAAATACTATTTAAATGTATTTATTACCGTCTCTCCATAATTTATACTTCATTATCAGTTTTATTAATTTGACGATGTATTGGCATGACACTTTACGTTTAAAATTAAAATTTTGAATTTAACAAAATTAAAATAAGGATTATTTATTTACTAATGTCGCGAACTACTGTTACGACTTTTTACTGATTACTATTAATTTTAAAAAATTATGCAAATTGAATAATTTATGCAAATTAAATAATTTAATCTTTCTTTATTTATTGTATCTTTCTTTTTACATTAAAAACACTTTTTGTTATGACTGATAAAGCGATAAGGGCCGGTAAAGTTATAGCCCTACTTGAAGAAGATTGTTCGCAAACACGTTTCCTGGCGGCTAATTGTGACTCGTTCAACAGGAACAGTATCAAGTGACCGGGGGGCTTAGGCAAGATGCCTTAACCGTTGTGTAAGTAGAAAGTCGAAAACTAAATTTGCATGAAATTTTGTCGACAAGAACTGTCATTTTCTACTTACACTACTGTTTAGCCATCTTGATTAAACCCCCTGTTCGGTCAAAAGAAGACCCGGGAAGAAAACTGTGCACAGAATCAAGAGATGGTGGTTTGTAGTGAGTCAGGAGTTGCGGAATTGCAAGGCGTCAAGTGTAGACCTGAAGAAGAGCCTTGAAGAAACAAAAGGAGTTAGCGAAGGCTCTAAATTTTTCGTTTGCCTGAAACTGTTCTTCACGGACTCTGGAGGATTGGAATAAAGTATTGTTTTCTCATGAAGCTAGAATCTCTTTGTAAGGAGTTAGTGTTCGTAGAAAATAGAACACTGAATGCACCGTACATACACAATGGAAGTCCTTTTTTTTTAAATGAGGTGAAAATGCGCTTACGCAGGCCCGCATCAACGATGTCGAGATTGACGCGGGGACTGTGGGGCTGGGTCTACACTCAAATCCCTCTGCTATTCAGAGGGGTAGCGAGACCCCACCCACTAAAAACACCTCAGCCCTTCACAGGCCCTTAAGGTGGGCCCTCGGGGTTCGCTAGGCATTTTTTTTTTTTTTTTTATTAATAGGAGGCACGGGAGCTCTGTAGTTACCGCCGAATCACTCAACCAGAAGGCTGAAGTTTGCGCTTTGGATTGGTACGCCTTTTCTTGAAGGACCCTATGAATTGTTCGAAATACTTCTTGGGCCTGGTTCCACAAGGGTCGACTCCTTAGAAAACGCCTGTTGTGGAACGACGGACGTCGAGGTTACGGAGATTTGTATTTGCGCGATATGAAACTCAGCTAGATGCGAAAACTCCTCTGAACACCTCCATGGTATGCGGTAGAAGATGCAGAGATCCACATCTCTACGCAACGCCAAGGGATCGCCGCACGGAAAGTGACTGTCGACATTCGAACCGTCTTCGTTGAATACGGTCAAGTGGAAGGAGCTGGTACTGGGAGCTCGCCCAGAGGTGAGAGCAGTACTCATATGCCAATTTGTTTATAAAGTTGAGGGGAGTGAAGTAGTCTCGCCTTGCTGAGCACACCAAGCTTTTGGAGGCTAATTTAGCCTTTCCTTCCAGATGACCGCGAAACTGAACGTTATTCGATATGTCAAGCCCAGTATTCCGATGTAGCTGAGCTTTAAGGAGAGTGTCTTCAAAGAGGGAGTAGCGACAAAGGGAGTTTTTTTAGCGGAAAACGCGCATACTTGTGTCTTTTGGGGTTAAATTGATAATTTAGTCTACCCCAGTCCGAGACTCCAGTAGAAGAGTTTCGACTTCAGACACAAGTTTGTTCCGGTACTCATCGACAACAGCCCGAGAAATACCTGCCCGGCCAGTGTAAAAAGTATCCCCAGTTGTCGTCCGCATAGCAATGAATGTTGCTAACTGCAACATATCATTATAGAGAATAACAGGATCGGGATAGGACACAGCCTTGTGGGACACCAGCATTACAGGTTTCAGTTCGGAGCATGCTCCGTCGATGAGACTTTGATCGATAGCGAGAAAGCTGGAAATCCAGTTGCATAATTTTCAGGGAGCCCATAGGCTGGAAGTTGAGAGCAGTCTCTGTGCCACACCCGATCGAAGACTTTCCTATGTCCAAACTTACCGCCAGCGCCTCCCCTTGGACTCAATTGCCTCTGCCCACCTATGGTAAGGTATAAAGAGGTCACCAGCCGAGCGACCACGACGGAAGCCTACTGAGAATCGCTAATCACTGGTGGCCCTCTATACCTCAAGAGCTGGCTTTAATAATGGTTTCCATTATTTTGGAGAACAAGGAGGTTATAGCTATTGGGATAGTTGACGATAAGGATCGCCTTTTTAGGGACGAATGAAGGCTTAGCACTTCGGAAAGTGCCGAGCGTGTAAAGGTACCGGAAAAGGGGTTAGACCGGAGCCAACTCAGGAGCACAAGTACGCAGCACAATTGAGGGATCCATCAGGCCCGCTCGACTTATGGATTCAAGGAAGACAAAGCTTTAGGATAGCACGTTGCCGGAATATAACTTCGGGCATCGTAGTATCACACCGCAATAATGTCGGTGTTCCTTCCCTTGATCATCCAAAGTGGATTCGACAAAGAGACAGCCTAGAAGATCGGCCTTCTCTTCGCGGTATGGGCAAGTCATATCCTCCCTATGAGTGGTGGAATTGAGGCTGACAGAAATTCTTGACAGCTTTGGCAAGAGACCAGAAGGCTCGAGTTCCCGAAGGGAGGTGGGCCAATTTCTCACCAAACTGGCAATGTGCTCTGACTTTGCTTTACGATTTTGTTGAGGACCTGGAGGCTGAATTGTATGCTTTTTACGTTCGCCGATAGTCACATCAAGGATGGCACCGCTTTGCCCAGGCTTTAAAGCATTCACGCTTACGGGCAAAGCCCTTTGCAAGAACGCCTAAACTAAGGTGGGACTTGCCACCGACCGGCACCGAGAGAATGGAATAAAGAGTTCCATACCCTAGGACCACCTCGGCGACAGAGTCAGCGACGGCATCTGGAGTACTCGACGAAAAGCAAATGCCCCCAAGGGTAGGACGCAAAAAGACCGCATCCCATCCCAATCTGTGACTTATAGTGCCACACGCGGCGACAGCCCGTGAAGCTAGGCCGAAGAGGGCGCGTGAACGGCACAATGCTCCGACCACACAATGATCTGATGAACCCAATGGCGGTTCAACAGAGACTTGGTATTCTCCGGATGTGAAGTCACAGAAGGTCCAACAAAGAGGTTTATGACCAGCCACATCTGGTTTGCGTAATGCAGGAACCATTTGCGTCAAGTCATAAGCCAAAGCAAAGTCGTGAAAGGATCTTCGATATCGGTGTTTCTGAGCCGAGCCAATCGGCATGGTGGGCGTTAAAATCGCCAAGTATCACGATTTCAGCGTAGGAACCCTTTGAGCAGGGAGTCTGTAGCCATTTGATGTGCTCATGAGTCGGTCGTTTCGTTATTTCCACTTGGGACCTATACAGGATGCATAGAATCGGGATGGTCATCGAGTCTACGCGCAGCCAGAGGTTAGATAGGTCCCTTCCTTCAAGCGTCCTGAGGCGACGAGAACAGATATCCTCTCTGACGTACACGCAACTCCCGCCCGCGGCACAAATGAATGTTCCAATTTGTACCCCGGGTAGGAGAGGTAGGAAGTATCAGCCGGGGAGGAAATCTGAGTCTCGGTAAGAAAGAGCAAGGCCGGCTTCGCAGTCTCTAAATGGTAGTGGACTGGTTGATATTAGAATTGAGCCCCCTAAATTTGTGAAGTCCAAGCGAGCGTGGACGGGGGTGTTTGTTGAGTTTCCGTTTGCCCCGAGAACGATAACTGTTTTTGATGTTGAGCCAAATTTCCCCAGAATAGAAGGGAGCCTTGCGTCCACCACCGGGCTGAATGTCCCGGTTTGACGCCCAGAGGGGATTCTCCACCGCGAGCCGTGTGGTACCCCCTGGGGTAGATTCTCTTTTTCTGCACCTTCATATTTATGGGGGGGCTGGATCTCTTCACCGCACGAAACGCGAGTAAAAAGGTAAGTTATTGATCACTTCACGCCGGTTTTCTGAGAAAGTGGCCCCGGTCGCGCCCTTTGTGAAGCCCGAAGACAACGCATGGCACCCCACTAGGAAGGTTGAAGGAAATAACTCTGTAAGGTTATTTCACCATGGCTGGGGTCACTCCCGACCTAATTCTACCAAAGGAGACATAATGGAAGTCCTAATTCAATGTAGGCTGTTATACCATTAAATTTCGGTTAATCAACTGAAATCGACCTTAAACGTAAATTTCCGTAGGTGCCGGTTTTCTTTTTGTAAATGTTTAAATTGTCGGAAAGTCGTTTAGTTAACCAGGGTTAGCAATGGATTTTCGTATTCTGGTCGAAAAAGTTTTAACATTTGTTTGTAATTTTTATTAAAAACAATCAATCTGAGCAGCTTTGGAAAAGAATTCAAAATAAAACACCGATGTACTCAAGCATTATATAATTCAATGATTTTTGATAATGCTCGAAATAGAAATATAACTATAGGATGGCATTTTCTATATGTAGTTAAAATTCCCCTCTACTCTATATATAAATATACAATGTTTTTACTTAAATGCTAAATGCCTCATGCAATATGGCATTTTACAACTGAAGTTTGTGATATCTTTTATTTACAAGAAAAGTTCATCTTATTTCGCCATTCTTTTAAAATACCTTTCAGCCGTGTTCTGTAAATGCCCATTTCATAATATAAAATGTTGTCAAATATGGTTGTGATATTAAAATGGAAATGGAATACAGAACTTAGTTCTTATAACGATAGTTGAAATAAAAGAGTTCCACCAAATAATGTTGCAGCATGAGTATATTTTTAAAATGACAGAATTTTTAAAATCTTGTTAATTTCAAAATTACATCTGCAATAACGTTAAAAAGCAATGCAATTGTTGTTTTTTTTACTTATTTCAAATATTTTGACATATAGTATTATGTTTATATAGTATATTTTCACTGTGCGTTTAAAAACGTTTTGACTAAATATCGTAATCCCTCTTTTTTCCAATAAATGCTCATAACTAGTAAATATGATACATACAATAGTGTCAATGACTTATCTGACCTTGTGACCAAGTTCTAGTTTAGTCATCTAAACTTTAATGTTTTTAAACAGTTTTACTACCAGATCAGATTGGCGTGTGACACTATGGCAAGATGACAAAATATAATCCTGTTGCCCTATTCGTACCATGAGGTAAAGAATAGGTAATAATTTCTATGTGTAGTTCTTACATACTTTCTGCAAACAAATTATATAAAAAAATATGATTGCTTTAATTACATATAATGTGTACCTAATTTTACTTCACTTTGCACACTTTTACATTAAAAAAGCCAATTAATATCCCTGTGCATAAAGGTCAGTACTCACATACGGTATTGCTCGATAGTTTTACTCGAAGTCGAGTAAAAATCAACGTGTGAACCGCAAAACTCACAGCTCGAAGGCTCGCACCGAGCCGGCTCGATGGAATAAAATGAAAGTAATTTCCTTCGAACCTACTCGAAGCGAGCCGTCAATCTTGACTCGAACGTGTGTACGTGACTGCGAGTGGCGCGAGGCGAGCGTCAGTCTGGTATTGTTTATCGTGATTGAAACACGTGTTTTTAAGAGAAATGGATTTGCGAGTTTATTCCAAAAGCGCTATAGAAGACTTTATTAACACAAATAGACAGTGTGAGTGTTAATGGAATGTCAAGTCCAAAGATTACTCCCACAAAAATAAGAGAAATGAATGTTATGATAAATTACTAGCTGTGCTTAACGTTTTTTCTTTTCATTTTCTTTGATTTTCTTATAAAGCACTGTGAGACTTGCTAAATACAGCCACCGTCTCCTTTGTTGCACAGACATCCTTTGGCTCGAACGGCTCGGGTGAATACTGAACGGCGCGCCTCATTCGATAGATCAATGCTCAATGTGTGGACGAAAGCCCATGCCATGGATTTTACTCGACAGTTTAGCTCGATCGAGTAATACCGTATGTGAGTACTGACCTTAGGACGTGTAGTTGAGCCTAATATAAAAAAAAGATCTTTTTTGTTTGACAGTTGCTGCTGACTTTTAAAAATATACATTTTAAAATTCGAATAATGAAAAGCTACTCATTAAATGTAATCAACTGCAATCATTCAACTGACACTTCAAATTACTTTGTGGGTGAGAATTCAGTAGGTTCCAGGATGCGGCAATGCATTTCCCGAATGAGCGGGACCGTGTACGCGACGCATTCGTCCCAACCCGGGTTACGCCATGTACTCTCGCGCGTTTCACGTCGAGCTTGAAGGTCTTTGTAACCTGAAAAATATATGGGGTATCACAGTTACATACATTTTGATTGAAAAAAATAGAGTTAAATTTTCAAATGCAAACGATTTTGTAAGTTACATTTCTACATCCAAAAGAAATTTAGGACAAATTTTATTAAATAAAAGTGAAATTCCGAAAACAACCTCAATTGGACTTTTATGTAACTCTGAAACCAAATTATGAAAAAGCATTTTAAATTGTTTGAAGGATAAACAATCAATCATATCAGGCGCCAGTCATAGAAACAATTAAGTAGCGGCAGTAGGTTGACTTACACCAAATATGATGTACGTTGTAAAGCCGCCCAATCTGCGAGAAGTATCCAGCGAAGGCTTCGTTCTTAGCGCGGCGGTAGGTCAAACCACGAGCCCAATTGTTGCCCCACTCTATCATAGTTCCAGGCTTCAAGCTGGAATTATTTTAATTTATCTATCATATACAGATGTAATATAAAATTAATAAAAGATTATTGGACACGTTTGTAATGCTAACTGACCTAAATTTTAGACAAAATTCAGTTCCATATAATTTTTAGAGAGAAAAATTATCTAAGACTAAACTATAAAGTTCGAGTACAATTATTATTAATTTAAATTTTTTTAAGGGTCCGTTGTGATGCAGTTTAAGAAAAAGTATAATCCTGGTTTATAGTAATTAAGTTATACCTACATGTACTGCTTGAGACTTATGACATGGTTTCTTATACCTAATAAGTGAGATTTGAGATAAAAAAAATATTTTTAAGCCTTTCGCATACTTTCTGATCATTGTATTGTGCCCTACAAATTGTTTGTTTTGGGACTAAAATAAGGTTTCCTCGCGATGTGTTTCTACTGGGTTCAGAAGCAGGAGTCACACAATAAAAAGTAGGATAACAATAATATTATGTAATATTCCCACCTATAAACTATATTTATTGTCACAGTCCTCATAAAACGAAATAATTTTAGTAATTTTAATACGGTGAATATATTTGGTCTAATAATATAAATGTACATTTAGCAGAGTTGGTTTTTTCACACCCACGCTTCTCAAATATTTAAAAATAGATATAAGATGAAGATGTCTTAAATTTCAAATATTTCGTCAGATTTCTTTAACTATGTTATTTTTGTAATTAAAACAATACTAGTTCATTTAGAATTATTTTATGATAATTTGAGCTGAGATGAGCAACAATGCCAAACAATAAATAAAAATAATAACAGAAAATATCACATATTGAAAATAATTATACCTGTAGGATCGAATTTCATAGATATTATTGGGTGTGCGGGGCTCGCCCGAGGGCCAAAAACTGAAGGCGAGTAAATATTGCAGGTGACGAGACCTCACAAAGTTTCCTCGCTCCTTCTCTAGTGTCCGATATTCCTATAAAAGTATATTTATAACATTATTTGTTTATCCTACTTGTTTACACCATATTATATGTTTAACAAAATTTTATTAATAAAAATCTAATCCTTTAATATTGATCAATAACTATATTAGCTGAACTATTAGCAAGTAAATTATTTTAATGATATTAAATATTTGTGATAGAACAGCATAAAAAATATTTAAAATGCTGTGAAGCAGATATTTTTCTCTAACTATATTTTAGTTGGAATTAGTAAAGTACTTACAGGATTTTCCTTGAACAATATTTTGGCCTTGTCAATCTTTTCGAAGCCACCGACATACCGCCATAAGTGTAGAGCTTGATCCATGTCTCCCACAGACACTGTCCATGATCCTACTAGTTCACAGCCAAGGTCTGCTTTCCGGGATTCTACAAATGCCACAGAAGTGGCACTATGGCACAAGTAGATGTGTAATTAAGAAATTGCACTAAGAAAAAGTATGTATCATTAAGTCTTTCAAGGTTTCTATTCTACTGCTATTTTTGTAAGCAAAAATTGACGAAAGAGATACAATAAATACAATGTTCTATTTTGGAGTCGCAACTCCATAGGGCATGACACAAACGGTCTGTAGAGTTCATCATAAACCAAAGTAATTGATAATATTTTAAATAAACAATACAGAAATTCTTTTATGCTAAAATTTTGTATTGTTTTTGTTCAATCTTAATTCATTCTTATTTAGAATTATTCAATAAGCAAATCTCAAATATTCTAATACAAATATGATTTGTTTGAAGGTTTCAAAGATAACAGAGGGTAACTATATCTACTTGTTTCTTATAATTTAAATGCATATTCTATTTTAAGAATGTTGCATAATAGTCCATTTAGTAGATCTCCAATTGAAGATTCTATACTTTGAACCCTTCTGACAGTACTTACTAGTTTTTTAAATATTTATCAACTGAGTCCGGCCTAATGTTATGCGTATGTAAGGCATATACAATCTCCTTGTCGCTAAGCATACGACTGTGAGATTCTTTGGTCGGTTCGATTTTTCGCACCAAAAGTTTCGATAGCCATCCATCATCAGCATTTAAACAAGAACTTGTTGTAGCGATAAACCTAAAAGAACAAAACAGTACATATCATCACAAGAACGATAATATCAATAGCTGCGAATTAGCGCTAGGTTCATCGCACTCATCCACTGATAAAAACATTCCAAATTCAAAAAGAAATCAAAAATACCTTGCATTTTTGGGAACAGCAGAACTCAAAGCTGTAATTTTATTTATAGTGTTCATGATTACGTATTAGATCATTAATTATCTGTTTTTTATCCAAAATTTCACGACACTTTGTAAGTTCGACAACTTGTTATCTGTTCAATAAAAATAAAACATTTGAAGGTTATCTAATAACTTGAAAATAGACCGATTTTTCTCCGTTTTGGACTTTGGTGATAGAGCGACACCTACTGAAAGTGACCTTAACTATCTACTACCAAATGTCACACTTGTGTGTTAACTGTCAATTGATGTGATTTTTTTATGACATCAGAAATTTCTTTGACTTGAAGAGCTTTTATGAAATACAGTAGTAGATTTTATTTTAAATAATACCTATTACAAAATGGAAAAATCTAATGAGCAGCAATTAATCTAATAATAATAATCCTGTTGAGCTAGAACCCTATATGGATCTGGACCTCAGATTGGATCTGTTGTTCCTACGAGAATGTACTTGTGCGTGCTCCTAATTCACCATGCTTATTGCTGATAGAGGGCAAATCTTTTTTTTATTTTTTATTAATTAACTATTAAATACTTAATGTGTCATGTGGAACATGGTGTAATGGTTGCAGCTCCTCACAAACAAAACAAAAATCTTGGCGATTAAAAAGAGTAGCGGAGAGTTTATTGCCAGTTCTTCTCGTCCGTTCTACGCCCTTGATTTGGGAACTGGCAGTAAATGTAAAATTAGAAGCATTTAGCATTTAATATGTATGCCTTTATTGAGATTCATAAGTGTACATTGTGTTACCTAAATGAATAAATGATTTTGACATGACTTGACGTGATACATGTTGTAAATTTTAGTTTAGCTTCACCGTACGAGCAAGTGTAAATTGCGCACATACAAAGAAAACGGTCGAGAGACACATGCTTAAGCCGCACTAGTTTTTCCAAACACGCGTGTCTAATTTATCTGTGTTTAATAATATTCTGTCAAAATTGTGCAAAATGTGACGTTGCCTTAAGGTGTCGCTATCTATACATTATTTGGCTACAATCACTGCGACGCTGCAACGCGCTAACGAAGTCCCAGCTGCTACGGATATAGACTACTTCTCGGCCTTAGGCACTGGGGCCTTCGAGCTGGCCAGTCAGTGATTAGGGTGGTCCAGGATCCTTCCTTTAGGTTCGAGGAACCGTAGACCATCCTTCTTCCACAAATATTTTAGAAACCCTTGAATGCTTAGTCGGGAGTGAAGGGAAGCTTCCTTTTACCTCTAACTCTAGCTTTAACCTATCCATCATAATTTTCCTTGTAATGGTGATTGAATGCGTCAACAACATTATTTTTAAGGTGAGGATGATGCATTCTGCTACCTTTTAACTGAAATTGCCACTCTTTTCAAAGTAATATTTAGGTCCTAATAATAGTTATTCCACACTGCTCACCGTGAACTGCCGAACTATTAAACTAAGTGGCATTTCATTTCAACCGTAGACCATCCTTCTTCCACAAATATTTTAGAAACCCTTGAATGCTTAGTCGGGAGTGAAGGGAAGCTTCCTTTTACCTCTAACTCTAGCTTTAACCTATCCATCATAATTTTCCTTGTAATGGTGATTGAATGCGTCAACAACATTATTTTTAAGGTGAGGATGATGCATTCTGCTACCTTTTAACTGAAATTGCCACTCTTTTCAAAGTAATATTTAGGTCCTAATAATAGTTATTCCACACTGCTCACCGTGAACTGCCGAACTATTAAACTAAGTGGCATTTCATTTCAACGGTGATTCGTTTATTACACAGCTTGGATGATCTTTGAATTGTAGGGTGAAATAACCACTAAATTTTATATGAAATACTGGTCACGTTGTGTTGGTGAATGGTGTAGGTACTATTTTAACCATCACTAGAATATAACCGCCCCTTCATACGTAATGTTTTTTTAAAAATTATATAGCGTAAATGTGAAAATTCGGTCTAAAATTTATTTAATCTAAGATTTATAGGGTTAAAAGGAATAATAATTTGAGGTTTTATGGAATTACATGAATTTGTAATGTTTTTGCAAATTAGATAAGTTGTTACTGGCTGCTGGCAACACTGGATACTTGTCATTTGTTGATTTATTTATCGATACTTTTAATTTTATTTATCTGAAAATAAATAGGATTATTTTTTAGATTTAGGGTGATATTTGAACAAATAAAATAGGTACTACAGGTGCAAATGGGTAAGTTAGAGGGATATTTTTATTTAAAAACTTGCAATTAGTGGGCGTAGATATTAGCTTGATTGCTTGTAATTGAATCTGATTATAATGGGTTTTTCAGCATCAAGTGAAGTTACGAAACTTCAGCAGCATCTAGCACTGCTTAAGGAGGAATATGGAAAGTTGCAAAGTCATTGTGCTGAAGTGGAAAGGAAGTACACGCTGGCGGCTGCTTCCGCCGGTGATTTAAGTGAAACCAGCTTTGTAGCAAGGTTGCTTATGACTGTATCGTCGTTATATGGAAGAGAGACATATTCTGATATTTCTATTAAACTTCAAAGTAAGTCTATGCCAGGACATAAATTTGTCCTGAATGCGCGGTCGGATGATTGGAATGAAGATGCCTTGAAAAATCATACAGAACTTGGTAAGCTTATATACATTATGTTCATCAGTATGTCATAATAAAATTAATGACACACAAATGTAAACAGCATATCTCTATTGACACTACAAAACCTGACTGTATTGACTGTAGATTGAGTTATACCTCATGCAGCTTTTGTATTTGCATCTCTTGGGAGATAACCTGTCTATAAAACTAGAAATAACTTTTGTTCTCTTTTCTAATAAAATATTCCAACAAATTCTCTCAAATAAAATCTAGCAAATGTAAATGTTATTCAATAGATTATATTTATGTTTCAGACTGGTCATCTTTGCCAGACGATGTTGGTGCTGCTCTCCTTAAATGGTTATATACAGACCTTGTAGATCTCTCCCGAGGAGAATTATTTGCCCTTCAGTTGATGAAATCGGCAGCCAGCTTCAAATTGTATGGTCTTGTTGGAAAGTGTGAACAGGCATTAATTGCATCTGTTGGTGTAAGGTAATTTCAAGTATTACAATCGGCTGATTGTAAATAAAAGAGGCTTCTTTTATTTTCAACCTCAAGACAAATATAGTTTTTCTACAAGTGTGTCCTGAAGTTTTCTGCACTAGTACCTAAAAACATTAAATAATACCTGCCTATTAATATGGCCGTTTAAAGCATAGATAATATAAGTAAAATTACATGACATGAGGCAGATGTATTTATTACATTAATAGTTTTTATAAAGACTATAGTTCTGTGTTACATTCTCCGTTCTGCATATTACTAAATAATAAAAAAAATACTCTGGGAACTTAAAGAAACTTCAAGTCTTGACTTAAAACACTTAGCTGTATTTAGAATCATGTAATTTTTTTTCAGAACTTGCGTGAAATTTTATTCAGCTGCAGATGAAATAGCAGCAACAGCTCTTAAGGAGCACTGCTCTGGTCTTATTTCTGCACATTGGGATGACCTCACAGGTACTTCTTTCTTACAAATAACATTGCTTTAAAATAATTGATAGAATCTTCTTGGTGATAGTTAACTTTGTTTGTTGACCATGAAAAAATTACAACATTATTAAAGAAACAATGATTTTAATTATGGCTTAATTAAAGTTAAAGATATATAAGTATTTTTTATGTTATTTTTTCTTAATATTAATCTTGTAGGCTTGTAACATTAAGGCTGTCAATTGCAAGTCCTTTACAATTATTTCAAGAACACAAAATAAGTGTTTACATATTATTATTAGAATAATATATTTTAAAATGACAGCCTTCATTGGATACTTCACAAAACATATATTATTATTTATGTATGCAAACGATACAGTTGTTTTAAGGGTGTCTTAATTTGAAGAAAAAAACAACTATTTTGTAACTTTTGTTCATTTGCTAAGCGTTAACAGAATGATAAGGACATTGATTGTACTGTGTAACTTCCAACAGCAATAGCGATAGAATTTTATGAAAATTCGATGTAGTTCTTTAATTTTTATAAAAATTTAAAGAATTACGCTGTTTTTGCAGCGTTAGGACCGCGCGGTACAACTCAATAATGAAGTCGGGATTGCAATCCTCTCGCGACTGGGAGTTAATTAATCCGGTGCAGATCACTTAATAGATATCCAAGTCATTCATAAACCTTCATATATATATATATATATATATATATATTATATATAATATATATCCTTTCCCCATTTATTCATATATACTAAGTACTTTATAAATTGTTTTTTTTTAAATATATTTACTTCAGCTGTTATCCTTATTAAATCTACTGTATTTTTCGATGACAAGATGCCAGTACATATTGCGTTAGTAATTGCAATATATATTCCGATACATAGCACGAATACTCACATACCATTATATTTTAGGCGAAGACTTCGCCCACATGTCGTCAGCCCTCCTCTACCGTATGTTGAAGAGTAAAACGCCACAACCGTTGCATGGCGCTGTTCGGTTGTTAAGGGAAGACGTTGTATTCTTATGCCTCGTGGAAAACCACGCAAATGTAAGTAGATATTATAAGCAATGTCTTTATTGTTATGGAGACTCGGAAAGTGAGAATGCTGGAAGGTGACTGATGTTGGTTATTTAGAGATAATATCTAGATATATTGGAAATAATTCATATTTTAGTGTCTATAAACTAGGACTTTTTTGCGCTCATGAATTGAAACACCTTTTTTGTACTTCTTCTATATTTCGATTTTTCTATCGCTAAAAAGACAGGTGATCTCTTCTCTTTTTTAGAATACAACAAATATTCTATCTTTTAATTGTAAATTGATGTTTCCTAGATGGCAACAAAGACAAAACGCAATACCATAAAAAATATATTATTTATATTCTAAAATGTACGTAATATATATAAAAAATATTTAGGGTCTGTTTCACAATGTATGGATAAAGTACCAAATAGCTATGCAACACAAATTATTTCGAAGATAAATTGTGCTATTTACCACTTCATCGGACTCATAACTTATGATGGACTTTATGTGGCGAATAGCGCTATCTGACAGTCGTCAAACGCAACAATAGTGTTTATCCTACCAATAAGTAATAAATAGCTAATTTAGAACTTATGTAGAACTTATCCGTACATTGTGAAACAGACCCTAAGACTCTCTGTCTAACATTAATTATAATATAAATTGGAATGATTTTTACAATCAGAGAGTAATATCTTATATTTCTACTACACATTTAATAAGCGTAATGTTGATATCGTTATGGCAGTATGTATTTATTAACTTTTCTATCTATGACTATAAGGTAAAACAAACAATCGAAATTTAATAACATTTTCTATGTATCATATGCTCATGGTTCTTTTTTCATATTAAAGGAGTTCAACAAAATCCTTGAAATCATAACTTTACATATTTCGATAAATTAGTTTATGATTAAACAATTGAAATAGACACGACAAAGAACGCTATTCAATAAAGAATATATTTACGATATATTAAATTGTGCGTTTAACATTTATAAATTTATCTGACATAATTAAAAACTTTAAAAAGCCATTTCAAGCCTTGAATAAAGCTATATGACTAATCTAGACTAGACTAGCTTATTAAGGAAAAAATTGGTAGTAAAATAATGAAGCCTATTTGATTCCTAAGCGAGTTATTACATAGGTTCCCGCGGCAGTAACAGTTAACAGTCTTCGTTGGTCTGTCTATGCTATTCGGGTCTTCGGCACAACCTTCCGCGTAGACGTCGTAAATAGTGTCCCTAGGTCTCCATTTTCCGTTAACTTTCTCCTGATCTCCACTCAGAGTTTGTGCAGCACAACGTCTTGTTACGGATCTGGTTGTCACTGAAAAACAAATACCCATTATATAAATAAACGAAATAAACTTCGTAAATTATGGAATCGCCTTTTGACCAGGACTATTATAATACGTTTTATACATATACGCCTCCTTAGTTTCGTGGTTAATGCACAGGAGCATAGCGCCTAGGTAGTGAGGTCGATATTTTTTCGGTTAGTATTAAAGCCGATTTTCTTGTTTTAAGGAATCAATTAAACAATTACGGAAATAGCCTATACAAGTGTTGTATTTATTATTTGATGTATAAAGTATGTGAAACTGTGTAGCGGGTTTTAAAAAGAAATTAATTATTTACCATCCATTCTATCCATTTAATTAAAATACCCAAAACATATTCAAATTAGTTACTGCGACCCTACCCATGCGGTCGCGGCTATAAAATATTTAATAGCCACCAAAAGCGAAGTTTCAGTGGTCGACGAATTATAGAGCTTCTTTTTTACTTTTCTTCAATGTTTATAAGTATTAAGCTAAATAGAAACCACTCTGAAAGAACTCACTGTCTAATGTGTAATCAATCCCTTTGTACGTTGTAGATGTATTTACGAACAGGAAATTATTTGATTCAAAATATTTACTAACGGATGCTAATTAAATCCGAATGTATTATTAGGTTAGTGACTAACTTAGTATTTAATAAAACCATACCTAAACCCCGTCATTTGCATACAATAAAGCTAATTTTACCTGTCAACTAAAAATGGAAAAATTATATTATTTCTCAAAAAAAATTTTGAATACACATGATTTAAATCAAATCTACCGTCATGACTTAGATTCCAAGAGTTTATTGAACAAGCATACGCTTACAAATGAAGAACATGTTCTTGCAAGTCTCGACTAGATCATCATACTCAAATTATTATTCAATTAAGGCTTTACCAATGTTAAAGAAAAGAGCTCTTTGTAGTCCCAAAAGTATATACAGAAGTGCTTAACACCTACTCGTGTTCAGTACTCGCATGCGTCCCATTCCGTCCGAAACACAGGGACCAAAATGGTTTCGACAATGTCTTAGGAAATATCAGTAGCTAATATATGCCGAAATGTGTCTGCCCCTTACATGTATGTTTTACGTAACGCACCAGACAAGGCAATCATGACTAAAACAATTTTATATCGTGCTATGTTTCATTTAAAAAGTAGGCTATTTCGCTAAACTGGAATGTAAAACATATGTGAGAGAAACTCGATACAGTTTTGTACCAGATGACTGTATGAAGTGCTTTACAGTAACGATTTATTGAAATATGCTAATTATGCCTTAAGTATGTCATATGTCGCTACTTGTTTCAATATGAAATGAGTTGACCTATTTCTTTATATATTCTCTAACCAAAGCTGCTTGTGGTGTTGTCTTTGGGAGATCTAAAATTTCACTGCTTTTTGTTGTTTAAACCTTTTCGAGGTTTTATTTTTACTGAGAGCCGTGTTGGCCTAGTGGTACGTGCTACTCTCATTCTTGAGATTGTATTTCGGATCCCGTCTGTGCACCAATTGGTTTTCTGTCTATGTGCGCATTTAACTCTCACTTGTACGGCGTAGACAAACGTCATGAGGAAACCGGCATTAGACCCAACAAGTTGACAGCGTGTGTCAGCCACAGAAGGCTTATTTATAGAAATAAATGATCACGAAGCAGATACAGAAATCTGAGGCTCAGACCCAAAAGGTTGTAGCGCCAGGGTTCTTTTTTATAAAACGTCAAACCTGACCTTGCAGTATCATAGTTTTGGCGCGATTAGTCGTCTACGCTTTCGTCCATTTTGAAATGTTTTAAACTTAGTCTGCCTTCTACATAAGGGAATTAGGCGAAGGAAAATGCTTAAAGCGTGTCGCATAAGATTACATATAAGGCCTTATATATGAAGCAATGTATTTTGATACACTTTGAATAGGATTAAAATATCTTTTAATACATATTACTTTCCAGTACTTTGTGTGTTTTTTCTACATACTACATCAACTAAGAATTGAAGCGTTATATATTATAAACATTACACATAAATTAATATATAAAAACGGGACGGATTAAAAATATGTTTTAGCAAAATCTTCCGTCTACTTTTAAAGTACCAACCTATGTGAACAATTAATGTTACGATTTGAATTTAATTTCATTTAGTGTTATAGAACAAATTATCTTTTTTAGACAGGACAGTCTTCTGTTTATTGTCTATGCTTCGTCGAATTTAATATTTCTAATACCTACCTCCGTTTCCTAAGTCTAATGAGGTCTCTCGTTTAAAGCACATGTTGGAATGTTCACATTCACGTAGGAACTGATCACCATAGTCGAAATTCTCGCATAACTTGATTCCTTCATAGGTTTCTTCAGGATCACATACGTAACATCGGATTGCTGACGACACTGAAAAACAAATCTTTTAAAATTCTTAATATAATGCTTCAGGTATACTTCGCTTACTTTACATTAATTGGGCAATTGGCTACAAAGGCACTTAAATTAACTGACTATATACAGTATACCAGAAGTGCTGGGTATTGCTGGATTCGATTCTCAGTAAAATAATTTAAAATATCTGATTATATTTTACTAGACATAGACAGGTAGATATTCAGATATATGAAGAAATTAGTTAATTAGATTTATAGTAATTTATAATAAATACCGCTAAAATTGACACATACAAGAGTTACATATGGCCATTATCTGTATAATAATTCCTGCGAATGATATCATTAATTATTATAATTAATGCTGGAACAAGGAAATTAGTTGAATTTACAATTATATTTATCTGTAAAACCCCAACTTTGAATAATTAATTCAAAGGAAAAATAAAAATATTGCTGTAAGTTGTGTGAAACATTCGTTATTTGAAATTGTATTATTATTTTAGTTGGTACACGTATTGAATATTTTTAAATTTATTGAAATTTTCTTTAACTTTTTAACTTGAAACATCAGTACGATGGGATTTAATTATTAATAACTAACTCAATCCCACTTCAAACGAAGCCAAAAGCTCTTCGCTGAAAATGGAACCCTCTGAATCTACTTAAGTTGTCCTGAGTCAATAATTCCACGAAAATCAGATAATCGTACAATTTAAAGATGTTTAGACCTTTTAAAACAATTTTGGCGTTCCTAGACTTAGACCAGATGTTAATGTTTATAAACGATTAATCTATGCCACGAATGTATTGGCAGCCGGTTCGATAACCGCCTAATGTATTCATTTTCCATTATAAAATGCCTGTATGTGATTATCAATGCTTATATTAAATGCATGACACCACTGGGTTGCAGCTAATGTGTTGTATTGTAAATAATATTGTATTAGTAAAATTCAATAATAACTAGACAGACTTAATTGTTTCCATGCGTGTGGCAACGACAACGAAAGGTATGCTATGCTAGGTTACCCTTAAAAAAAAACTATGTATGAAATTTATATTCGAAAAAAATGTTTTTGCTAAAATATTCTACTATATCTGGCATAATAAAAATTAAATACAATGTCCATAAATATATTTCATGTGTTTATATCAAAGATAAGATTGAGATAATCTTACTTCAAAGATAATTTTGTATCGCACATGAAGATTCGTAAAATCCTAAATGTCCTAGCCCCCGTCATAATTGATTTCGCAATTAAAATGTCGTTTTGTTAATTGTTTTATTGTCTGGCTTACATTTTTAGAAACTATTTATGATGTCTGAGACACCCAATTTAATTTATTTGTTATCGTATTTATTTGGCAATGGCTGATTGTATCATTGGTCCTCTTAGTATACGTCATGAAATATATATGATATTGTTTTATTAATAATACAAGAATTATAATAATAAAACAATTCTAAAGCGCGCGTGTTTATAAATATTAACGGGCCCGAAGCGTTTTACGCTTTGGCTCAATACAAATATAACCACTGCTTAAATAGTCACTTGATTCATTCATGTGTCTAGGGTGAGTTTGATTCTTACGAAAATAAAAAAAATTATTTAAAAGGCGCAGTTTATTGAAAAAAGCGTACCATTCAAAATAAAAAATGTAAATCTTATTAAATTAGGTATGTATAATGTTATCATACATTAATAATATCTAAAACAGTCCATGAAGATATTTTATTTAAAATTTTGGTATGTAAATTAAATGCTAATAAATGAAACAAGGTCAGTATGACAATAAAATATAGGAAGTTTGATTTAATTTATTTTATATTCTAGTCACAATCACTTCCCAAGTCTAAAACGTCTGCCGAATGTATTAAAAAACTCACTCTTCCAATAAAATGTGAACACCAAATAATACAACTTTAACTCCATTTTACACTCAATACACTAACTCAGTTAATTATAAAAGTACGTTTATGCACTGGCATACGCGGTCGCGCGCGCCGTGCTAATGGGTCCATGTGGTTTGGAAACACAAGAATCTCTGAATCATCACAGGAAGGAAACCCTGGTATGGTACTTGTCTAAGGTCCTATTCATGTGAATCACCCGATCGATTCTGGCGCCGGCGCTTTACTAAACTTTTGACGGTCGAAAACGAATGTCGTTGCTTGCTTGTTTTGTTTTTTATCGCAGCATACGTCATCGTGATATAATACACAGTGATAATTGTAGAATTATTTTATATGCAATTATTACTACGCTTACTATATATAATATTACTTATTACACGGAGTGAATCTAATCTGGCTTTATGTTTATTAATTACCAATGTTGATTTCTTATTTATCCATTGCAAAATAATCTTTGTTAAAAATTGATGTCTATAAAATTAATGTTATTTTTATTATTATATCTTAGACAATATTTGATTTTTACTAGGCTTTATAAATTGGCTATTTAGTGCGCTCAGGTCAAAAATGGCACCCAATTAGGCCGAAATTAACAAATAGTAAATAATTGTAACTTTTCGGAACAATTAAATTAGAAGGATAATAAACTTTTGTAGCTAACTAGCAGTTACTGGGTTAAATTAAATTGAGTCATTATTAGCAATTGTAGTAGCAAATATTATAACCTACCTATATACAGTGGAATCTCTATAACTCGAATGTCAAGGGAAATGCAAAAAAAAATCGAGTTTTCGACTTAACAAGAACTTCGAGATACATATGATTAACTGCTGACTACTGCTGCGACTTACAGAGGCGCGATGTCTAAATGTAATTACATATATATATCAAGTAAACTGTACTACTACGACTTACGGAGTCTCCTTTCTGAAATTTGAGTTATATATACATATGTATTATCAATACTTCATAGGGAAATAAAATTTTGTTCGAGTTACAAAGTCTAAATATTTCGAGATACCGCGTATTTAGGGATTCAGCGGCAGGGCAACTTTTTGCGACTTACCGTGGATTTCGACTTAACGAGGTTCGAGTTATAGAGATTCCACTATATATTATATTCTTAGCTATGAATTTGATATATAGGTCCTTCTTCTCGTATGAAACCATGACACAGTTTATTTTCTTACTTTATTACAAGAGCGTACATTTTCTTAAAGTTCAGCAACACACTGGATGCCCCCAGTGTGATTAACATCAGATGAGCCTTTTGTCCGTTTGCCTTCTGTTCTATAGAGAAATATGTTTAATTCTATACACAAAGTACCACTTCACGACTTTAATATGCATAATACAAAACATTTTTTGGCAAGTGTGCCAAGTTCGATTCCATTTTTATACCGATAGAAGAATTATATATATATACAACACTGTTACGAATATTGTTCAAGAACTAATTCTTAGAATGGTGTATTTCAGTAGATTTAATTTCATCACGTTTTTGACTACTACATTATTATTATTTTATTAGGACCACACATTAGGACAAACACCTAATATATAATAAAGAAATAGACGTATTTTAACAGTAGGATCGTATATATAAAAATAAATGCTGATTTAGGTTCAATTCCAGAACAATACTTCTTATATAAATAAATAAATCAGTGGCGCTACAACCTCTTTAGGTCTTGGCCACAGTTTTCTGAATCTGCTTCATGATCATTTTTAAATCTAATAGGCAAGTAGGTGATCAGCCTCTAGTGCCTGACACACGCCGTCGACTTTTTGAGTCTAAGACATGTCGGTTTTTACACGATCTTTCCTTCACCGTTCGAACAAATGTTAAATGCGCACATAGAATGAAAGTCCATTGGTGCACAGCCGGGGATCGAACCTACGACCTCAGGTATGAGAGTCGCACGCTGCAGTCACTAGGCCAACATGGCTCTACTTCGTATATACATTATTTAAATTGACGCGCAGAATTATGTTTGCTCCATGGACTATGGTTTAATAATAATAAAAGATTAAATTATTTTTGGAAAAGTCTGTTCCAAGACAAGGATTGAGATCGTTTAAACCAAAGTGAGTTGAGTGAATGAGTTTCGAACGTGGAACGCCCAAACATTTTGAATTAGTACTCTTTTTTATTGTTACTTCTAATAAGTATAAATTTGTAATTTTGCAATAATTGTAGTTGTGAAACGGTTATCAGTGCGTCCACATCCTCTTAATAAAATGTGACCATGTGATAATGCAGGCGCTCTAACGATTTTTTATGTAGGACATTACGTACAGTTCTTTTATTGAAGCTTTTTAGAATAAAAATAAATTTTGTAATTTCGTTTCTATAAAGTTGCCTTAAGTTTCGTCATATGTATCGTCGGAATTCCAATTAATTATGTTAACATTAACTTTCTTAATATAATACGTGAACTGAAGTTATTACGGTATTTGTTGCTATGGTTACCGTTTTTATTTAGTAATAACGTTGCGTAATGGTAACAGTCACACTCCTAACTTAATTCAACGTGTAAATAAGCCTATCTATACTCTGATTTTTTATTCCGTAGAATTCTGACATTTCATAAGTGTTGCTACTAAAAAAGTTCTCCACCGAAAAAGGGACAAATTTTATTATTTGAGGGCAATAAAAAAAATGCTACGTCTTTTTTATGTTTTACCTACAAAAAGGTAAATCTAAATTTTTCTTACTCAACAGACCTACTACAAAAATAACAAATATTTCAATATCGCGAACAATATATCGAATTAACTTTAATTACTTTATTTTATTCTTTAACTGGCATCACTGCCTACTAACTCCAGGTTTAGTTTAGTTAGTTGGTTTTACTGTTTGTGATGAACAGGGACGTAATTATCACTAGCCGTTAAACCACATTTAATGTGGAGCACCGCACTTAATAAAATGGATACATTAACTAACAATAAAATGTATGTATAGACTGAGATGTTTAGACTCGTATTGAAATTGAATGTGCCCGGCCAAAAAGGTTTTCCATCTCTGACATGTCAAAAAGTTATAGCTGTCAGAATTCTACGGAATTAAAAATCAGAGTATAAGTTTATAGCTTTTTACTGATTACTGGAAAGCGGATCAAACTTCTTCGCACACAGTTAGCTAGTAAGAATGCCTGGTGGCAATGAGTAATAAAACTAATAACATAGTACTGGCAAAACTTATAGAAAAACGCTTTTTACCATTTAAACAAATTCTATTATAAATTTAATATATACTTACGGTCTCTAACATGTGGTTTACAATATAATATGACACATTCGCCAAAGTTCACGAATCAATGACCCTCGTATGGGGTTACGCACCTCGTCCTGAGGAAACTGACACTTGATATTTATTGTCCCTTAATTATCTTACTTTTTGTTATTGAAAATATTTTTTTTTATATTTCACGAGAAAAGCGTTTTAGTGCATATACTAATAGACATAGAAGTAGGAAGGAACAAAGAGTATGTTACCAAGCAGAAACAAGTATTGCCTGGAATCGTAATCGTAATATTCGGGTTTTACCGGTTCCTGAACAAGCTTTACGGCGGTTGTCGTTACATTAAAGTTAAAATGATCTGTAATAATTTCATTTATTGTTAGAGCATTCATTACAGATATAGTACATAATAGTCACGTCCCAGTCTAGCCTGCAAAGACTCCCCTAAAATCAATTCATGTCACGTCTAACATGATAATGCATCATATCTTTAGTGACGTATTTGTCTGATCATAAAATAATTGGATATTAATGACATCATATTTTAGCGCCTGCTTACAATTATAAGCAAAGATGTTTAATGATTTCATTGCGATGACATTTCCAAGTTTGTGTTACCACTTTTGGGCGGTTATTTTAAAGAGTAGAGGAATCTTTGTATATTTTAATTTCTGTAATAAAAACAGCTAAGATAGCATTATAAGTACCAGTGCAGATTTTCAACCGGTCTAAACCCTATGATTGAATTGAATGAATTTTGCTGATGAAACAGAAGCCGTTTATAAATCCCAATGAAATAAAAATAAATCAGTGGCGCTACAACCTCTTTAGGTCTTGGCCTCAGATTTCTGAATCTGTTTCATGATCATTTTTAAATCTAATAGGCAAGGTGATCCGCCTCCTGTGCCTGACACACGCCGTCGGCTTTTTGGGTCTAAGACATGTCGGTTTCCTCACGATGTTTTCCTTCGCCGTTCGAGCAAATGTTATATGCGCAGTTAGAACGAAAGTCCATTGGTGCACAGCCGGGGATCGAACATACGACCTCAGGTATGAGAGTTGCACGCTGATGCCACTAGGCCAACACTGCTCTAAATCTATCTAATAAATCCCATTGAAGAAAACAAATAATGTATAACATTTGTAAGACCGAAATAGTTTTATTTATTAAATAAGTCAACGATCAAACATATCGAATTCGAGAGTTCAAACTTTGCACAAAATTCATAAGTATATCTTATCGCAATCATTAAAAAATAATGAAACAACTATCGGATCAAAGACTTATATTGTGTAACATAGATTTTATGTAGACGAACAGATTGTCCTAAGGTCTAGTGAAATCTTATTTTTAAAATACCAACGACAAAGAATTTTATATATACTTTAAGCTTCACAATTTGATTGTCTGACACGTTTATGGTTGGTTTATATTCTGGATCTTTTTAATTATTACAACTTACTTCTATATCTTTAATGTAAAAATTGGTTCACTATTTTAAAGCATAAAATTACAAAGGACGTGCTAAGTGACATTGATTTAAAAGTGTAATTAGTCTACAATATACATAACCTCATTTACATCTATAACAAGTATCACATAACGCACATTTGCGTTCTTTTACTAACTTACATATACATATTTCAATTAAACGCTTAGTTATTTAACACTTTTTCCAACTAAACTATCGGCACATTGGGAGAGGTCTTTCTTGCTTAGTACAAAAATGTAAGTCCGTTTTATAGCTTTCTCATTTGTTTTTGTTTTTTATTTGCCGGTATGCAGTTGTGTGGGAGCCGTTTGATGTTCGTCGATTTTCCTAGTCATGTGTCCAAACTGCATATTTGTAAGGATTCTATAACCACAAGCACATGTGGACTTCCTTATTTTTATTTAAAGTATAGGTCAGTAGACCTAAACATGTATTAATGCCAAAAATGTATCCGTACCCCATAGGGAAAAGATATTTTTGATTTCATTAATCATTATTTAAGATTCATAGTTATTCTGTGCTTCTTCCATCCAAAAAATCTGGTTTCTCTGCAAGTCCAACCCAGGATCTCCAAGTTACATGTATTGAAGAAACCAAGCGCCTTGACCACTGTGCCATGAAGGCGGTCGGCCGAAAGCTTTACATACATTTGTGCAATGCTTAGCTTATAATTCTAGTTACAAAGAAAAAGCTCTAAGTTATCGTCTAGGAATGACTCCAGTTTGAGGTAGCCGCTTGGCACAGATCACTTTTTAATTGTCTTAACCCTATACTGACTACCTGAGACTATTTATGTATTTCATTAAATTAAATACGACAATTACTCCCATTATGTCTGTGTATCCCTCGTGGTTTGTGTTTGAAGAGTTGCAGAGATCACTGCGACAGTAGCAATATCTGTAAGAAAAAAAATGCATGGTTCATAACGAAAACTAAGAATTAAAAAAATCATAATTTAATTTTTGAGTTTTTCTATTCTGTAACGATTTTCTTTGTATAATAACGGCCAGAACAATATTTGATATATAAATTTATTTTTAGGTTTTTCCATATAATTTATTGTGACAACCTTTATAAATTGTACGTTTACAATTACTCAGTTAAACAGCTCACAACCTTGAGTATATAAGGTCAAGATATAACATTATTACTTGATCGTATGATAAAGCTAATGCGAACGTTATGAAAAAAATTAATTTGATAAAAATTGCAAAGGATTTGTTTGAGCTTCGATCGGAAATTCTAAATAACGCTAATGAAGTGTCATGAAATATAAAGAAAATCAATTGAAGCATGTACGGGCATCGTTAATTGGAAAATGCAGTGTATTTTTATGTAAACGACCTTTTGAATAGTGTTGGCAACCGTTTATGTTCGTCAGTGTAACCTTGCATGCGTGACCTTCAATGTATTCGCACATTTGTTTGCACCTTTTCAATATTAGCACAGACATTATTTTATAGCCCATGTGCCCTATTAATGTAAAAACTTGTGCCAACTGTACTTGGACCCGAATTAAAAAGGCATTCAGAACGCTTTTCGGTTACGCTGGGATAAATCAAATCAAAATCATTTGTTCATATAGGTAACACAATGTATACTTATGAATGTCAAAAAAGAAATACATATTAAATGCTACTAATTTTACATTTACTGCCAGTTCTCAAATCAAGGGCGTAGAACGGAAGAGAAGAACTGCCAAGGGTTTTGTTTTACACAATGTTTGTAAGGAGCTGCAACCATTACCACCATGTTCCACATGACATCTTAAGTTATTAATAAATATATTTTTTGTGATGACGGTGACAAAATAAAATCTTTTCTAACAATTTTAGTTAGTATAATAAATATATTTTTAATTACTCACTTATTGACAACAGCTTTGTCTCCTCTATTGTCGGACGTACAACCCTCTTCGTAAGCTTCTACAACCTCAGTCTTTGGAGACCACTTGCCGTTCTTGTAATCCTGGTATTCGTTCTTCTGTTGAGCGCAATCGCGAAGGACGGCGTTTATTCTCACTGAAGTCATAATTGAACCGAATAAATTTTTATGTTTTATACGATTTAAGTAAACAGTTGTGCAAGTTGGCCTGATGCGCATACAGATTTACAAGGAGACTACATTTCTAACACAATAAATAAAATCTATTAACTAAGTGAAATCATTTCGTTAAGTTAAACGTTTGAGCAGCGCGTGTGCTTAGCGGCCTATAGGAGTTTGTTTGCCTTTAAACCGCAGTGTTAATAGCTTCCATCGCATTATATGTCTACACTTATTTATATTTCTTACGAATCTGTATGCGAGAAAGAATAATTTAAATACTATTTGTTTATAAAATAATTATTATCTACTAAATCCCCGAATTTGATGCATTCTGTTTTAAAGTTAAAAGGTTTTTTGGAATATACTTATGTTGCCATCAACATATAAATTAATATATTATGTAACTAGTAATAACTATAATATGCTATCTACACTACTCACTGACCTCCATTCTGAATATCAAGGTAGAAGTCCTTCTTCATACACATTGTAGAGAATGGACAGTCAACAATGAATTTGTCTGAGTAATCGAAGTGCACGCACAGTCTCTTCGTTGTATTATAATATTCCCCAGGTTGAGGATTGATTAAACATTGGTAACATTGTAGTGCAGATGCACCTGAAAATTAAAAAAAAATAATTTAACAGTTATCGGTTATTATTAAAAATCGAGTTTCATCTTTATCATTTTTATGGACTCGTGAATAGGACAAAAACTAAAATCATTTTCTGAATTTAGTTTGACGTAAATGTAATAAAACAACCCTCAAAAATTATTAAGAAAAATGAGTGTCTAATAATAAATAACGAGTTTGGTTAATACAAATGAGTTTTATACATATGAAGGTTGTTATTGTTATTTGACTGTGATGAGTCACAGAGCTTTGCTCCTCGCGCCCACGTTTTGATTCATATTACGCATAGGCGGACATGCTGGAAGAGCATTCTCAGAATGTCCTCTGAGTTATGACTATAAATAAAGGTTTTGCTTACGGCATTATAGGTTACCGAAGTTTCATACTTAAAAGTAACATACTTAGAAATAACATAAAATAATAAATATAGTTTAAAAACAAAATTTTATTACCATTTTCAGCCTAAATTAGGAATTATTTTTTACTTTTTAGTTTGATGTGCTTTAAAAGCGTGTTTTTTTTAGTTTTTTTAAACTATATTTATTTTCCACTTTTTAGTCCTAGCAGCAATACGTGTTGTCTCAATTTAATCGTATTGCTTTGTGGACTTAAAAAAATTTCATTGTTTTTTCGAGATAAACCTATGAAATTATTATATTGTCGCTGATTCTTTATAAGTGTACAAAGTTTGAATTAAATCTGTCCGTTTAAAGTGGGTCAAAATCGAGTCCGAAGGAGTCGGTTACATACATACATACATACAGGTGAAGCTAATATAAAGCGTGTAAAAAGGTGACAATACCATCTAGAAGGCTACGTTCAATTGTCGATAGTATGAAGTTATATAATTTATCCGTAATTATTGTAATTAGTTCGTGTTGTTACTGTGTGGATGTTGATTACTATGATGATGAAAATGTGGAAGAAAATAAAGATCATTTAAATATTAATCAAACTGTTGATCGTAGATTTGGTATCAAAGACGTAAGAGTAGTTCCAAACATAACAAATCCCGACAACAATAATGTATCAGTAAAATATTCAGCATACTCTACGTTGGGTACACAGATTCAGTCAATATCTAATGAAAATCCCATAGTACAATATTATCATTCACGAGCTAAATCCATTAAAAATGATTCTTTCGTACAAAATTATTCGAATTCAGTGTCGAAATTTAATATTTTCAAAGATTATGTGTACGTGTATGATGATAATGCTGAATCGAAGGTTTTGCGGTATGATAATGCGTCTAAGCTATATCAAAAACAAACGACCATTAACAAGACTGAAGCTCAAAAATTAAAAGAACATGCTATTAAATTTTACAACCTAGGACCAGCAGCAGCATCGGGTGTATTATACGATATCCCAAGGGATAATGATGAAAAAGTATGGTATGTTCCGGAAAATTATCCCTGTTGGGAACTCCCGCTTTTGTACGGTGAATTAGGACAGAGAATGAAAACCGCTGAAGTTTTCTTGATTTTCGGGGGACGTTTAAAAAATGTTTTTGATCCTGGTTATAATGACACCGTTTATAAAACACCCAGCTCATCGACCAACGATTTACCCAATCGCTGGTGTGGCGTGCTACCTTGTTATGGAGACCACACTCTTTGTCTATTTCCAGGCGATAATTTATCAAAATTATGCGAGAAAGGATATAATGTACAAGTCCCGTCTATTTTAGATCAAATTGCTTTAGTTAACACGATAAACTCGATGAGAAACAGAGTTGCAAGTGGTGAATCAGATCGATATTCGCACTTGCCTCCGGCAGCCAACATGAAAGAAATCAATTATGATTACGATTTGCAAAAGATCTCCGAAGCTTGGTTGCGTCAATGTCTTCCGGGACCAGCACCTTGTTCCGCGCTCGATGGTGAAACAGTATCACATCTTGAATGTACTAAATATTCAGATTATTGCTGTTTAAGAAGCCAATCTGCTTTTCGTTGGTAATTTTGGTAATGTTATGATAGATATCTAGTAGTCATTCTCTCGTATAACTTAAATCTATCTCGTTTCTCTTACAGTACACCTAAAATGGAATGTTTTGTATCACCTATTATCGGATGTCTTCATGTATGGTATTGGAGTGCTGGAAAAAATATTAAACAAGCAGATATAAAATGCGGTCGTACGTCTGTTAAAACCTTTAACACTGTTCAGTTACTTTGGGCTAAAACTTTAAAAATAGGATGTGCTTATGGAGAAAGTATCAATGGAAATATCAGGGTGGTATGCAATTTTTCACCAGGAGCACCATTCTTTTTAGAAACAGGGTTATATTGTGGAATTATTGATCATTCAAACAAAATTTTGTCTGGTTCTTTCGCAAAGAAAAAAACCTTCTTAGCTTCTTTGCCAGTATTTTGGGATAGTATAGAGCCGACTGAACGAGATGTGTTTGAAAAATCTGAACACAATTTTTCTAGTAACATTAAGGGTATTGACAGCGTTAACACCATATGGGGTGTACAGAGTTTGAATAAAATATACAACGAAGGCTGGGTGCGAAAATATCTAAGTGAACGAAGGAATGGAACAAGAGGAATGATCGCACGTTTAGTAACCAAGTACACTTTTATAGATGAAAGCGAAGCGCGATGTGATACAAATGAGTCAATGTATATTGCGGGAAAGGCTGGTTCGCTTTGTATGGAAAGAGGGCGGAGATATATCAATCTGTGTTACGAATTTAGAGATCCTACACCAGGATATAGATCTCTGGCTGTAGCTGCTCCTATAGCATTGTTTACTCTTATCCTCTATGATTTATTTAGCGGTGTTGTTAGACAATCTAATTAGATTAATACGAAATATACGTCATTTAATATAATTTTTTTGCACCTTTAAATTAGCTACAATCGTATATAAAGGCTTGACCTTATAACATTGTCTTAAGAAAACAATAAAAAATATAGAAACTTAAATCAGTAAACAAAAACATAGTTGAAAGAGACAGGTCAGTAATTTTGCATTTCACAGGCACGTATATGCAAATGATGGATGTGGTTAGGTCCTATTATTCCCATATTTACTAAGCGTGTGAGTCACCCCCTCAGCCGCATCATTGAATTACAATTCAGATGTTGTTCGTGTTTTATTTTAAAATATTATGCGCTGTTATCACGTATGATTCAGAACTATTTTTACATATTGAATGACATAAAAATTTTACGTAAACCTTTTTTCGATTATTTAGTTTTGATATTGGTGTCAAGTTGAAAAAAAGAAAGGTATATATTTAACAAAATTACGAACAATCTTGACACAATTTACTCCCATGTAATTATTATAATTCATTGTCATATAAAATGAATACTGTTCTACAAAATAATTACAGGAAATCTATTCATTCTCAAGTATGTCTTTAACTCTCTATGGCCGTAACGGAATAACCTTAGTAATTAAGGAATCTTTCTTTTACTCTTTAAGCCTGGTAAAATTCTATTCTAATCAGACATATAGCATCAAGCAAAAAATTATCTTATGCTTCAATGTTTATTTTATTAACAGCTATGCAAATGATGTTGATATCAAAACTTCTTGTATTTCCGAATTCAAAATAAATAGTATCTTTTGGTATTCTTTTTTGTTTAATTTTAGTATAGTTGTTCTTTTCTTTAGTAAAGTCTTCATTAAAACTCTTATTTTGTATATAACCCGAATTTATGTATGGTTAAAAACATCCGAAAATTATACTTTGTAAAACCGTAACGTATAGTCGTATGTAATTATAGTTTAATTGTGATGCACGACCTTATTGTTTTGTTGTTAAGGTCAAAGTCCTTATTATCAGGAATTTGTTCTATGGAACTTGCGTTACCAAAACTATTATTCACGAATTCAATTAATTCTAATATAATATGCGTCATTCTTCGTGTTCTCAGTATTTATACACTAGGTTAGCCAAACAAAATTAATTACGTTGTCCAATGATTTTACTCTTATGACAATAATTTTACCCAAGATTGATTCGGAATATGGCTGCTTTTACTTATATGAATTTTAAAGATTACCAGGTCACCACTGAGCCACCACTGAGCTTAAGCTTTAGAGATTTTATTTCTCATAAAAACTAAAACTAAGTATAACTTAGACGAGAAAACTTCTGATATGTTCATAATATCGTTGTTAGTCGTTGAATCGACCTTTATATTTTAATTGCTTAAAACAATATTAAAGTCTAAATCACTTCAAATGAGTTCCAAGGTTATATTTCACGTTACAGTGCAAAGTTTACTAGACAAAAGCCTACCTGTTGTAATCAGAGACAAAGTCACCATGGCCAGGTATTGCTCCATCGTCGATACTCGTTCTCACTGTGCCGGCGCCGTGTTTGGTCCAGTTTGAATTTGTGCAACTTCGCAGCTCATATAAACACACTATCGTTGATAGTGTCCCGTGTTCGAGCCTGAAATGCATAATTTTAATCTTAGTTATTTAATTATTTTTATAGTTTTACACACAATCTGATGACTGATCATCACAAAAATAACTCAATCAAAGCTGAAACTATTATTATGCTATGATTATTTTAAGACCTTTTTTTCTAATTAAAAGCGTTTTTGTAAAATCATCCTAATTAGTATACCATAAAAATTAAACAAATTTCCTTAATTTATTTTAAAAATAAATGTGTTTAAGAGTATTTTGTTATTGTAATCTGTTTATCCCTAGATCGCTATCGATGTCAAAACGTGCGTTGATTGTATGATGATAAATTACAGCAATTTTACGAACAGCTGAATCTCAAGGCCATGACCGGCTCAAGACTCAATTTTTTACATAGCGAAAACAGGAAAGTAGTGGTTCTTAAAAAGAAAAAAAATCTCAAAACGTTTAACAATTTAAATTTCCAAATTATACAAAATCCCTTTCGCGTTGATTATTTAGTTTAAAACGATTTGCTTTTGTTTCGTTATATACACTTTTAATAAAATATTATCGCTGTTGCGGTAAATAGCTGCTAAACCAACCTTTAATTTACATTTTTATGGATGAAGCCGTGAATAAAATGCATATATTACTAATTAGAATATTAAGTAATATTATTTACATAATAGAGTGACGCTACATATATAGAATAATACTTTATTGTAAGCACAATACGGGGTATATTTTCTGTTTATTATAGTTATTAATGACCACCTATTTGGCTTCAGTGTTCAACGCATATAACCTGGAGGCATTGGTTTTCATTTCCTTTGTAACAATAATTGATGATTACTGTAAGTAGCGCAAAAATGTATGTCCCATGCTCTATTGAGAGGTATATACAACGTAGTTATAAATGCATTCAATACATGCTCCGGTAGTCCCAGTAAAGAAGGGAATAGAGATATTTTAATATGCTTTTAATATCCCACAAGCACTAAAATAAATTCCAAACAAACATCTTAGGGTTCAAGTTCGCAAGAACTGAACTAAAAAAGAACGATGAGGCCTTAATCCGGTTTTAAGAGACTTGCGTAATCTTTTTTTAATACTTCGTATACAGTTACGTCTTATCAAGGTATTTCGAAATTTTTGATTCAAAAGTGCTTAGTAAGATTGCTTATAACGAACAACACTAGACAATAAAATACCGAGAATACTTGAGTAATGTAAATATAATATTCGTACATATAAATGGTAATTTTGACGTTTAAATACCTAAGAAGCAAGTAAAATGACCGTTCAATTAAGATTTGCCGCGCACCACCACTATGTGGAACCAGCTGCCCACTGAAGTATTTCCGAACAAATTGGTCTCAGTGTTCTTCAAGAAAAGAAAATTAACCAATTTTTAAAAGGCCTGCAACGCACTTGTGAGCCTTCTGGCAATGTGAGTGTCCATGGGCGGCGGAATCATTTAACATCAAGTGCCTCCTGCCCGTTTGCCTCGTATTACATAAAAAAAATATGCTTAGTTTTTTTTATTGCCTTGACAGGCGAATTCAAGAGCTTCTAAATGCATGCAATTGATACAAAAATATTCGGTTTAAAAGTTGCTAAATTTCGTACAACGTATTAGATCATTAAGTGAGGAAATTTTTGGCTGCTGTAAACAAAAGAAAGTGCGTATTTTAACGCTGAATTTGTGATTTTTTAACAATTTTTGTAAGATATACATAGTTTTACTAACACCTGGCTAGTGTAAGATATGTCACTTTCTAACAATAGTTATGATATTACCTATAAGCGTGCCCGAATTTACTACACGATTACCAATTAAACATTTATGCAAGATACTACATTCAATGGGTCTGATTTTCTATACAAAAATGTATTGTTTCAAAATACCTTAGTAGGTATCGTGCTGTTCGTCGTGAGGAAGAGTCGCTGGATAGATATACATGACACACTATACTCTGTTATTTAATTGATTCGTGACTTCACTCAGCTGATTGCCTTGGATTACCTAACGAATTTTTATTCTTACGTTAACCTTCTTAACCGCTTTTTTAAATATATTTAAATATTTATTTCCTGTAATTTGCGATATTCTTGCGTATTTTTATGTTCTTCCTGATTATAAAATTCTATTACTGGTTGTCTATTCGGCTTTATAGATGTTAGATATACAATGGATGTCCATAGGCACAGATAATAGAATAAAATCCGTAAAAATCGCAGTAAAACAAATAGTAAATAAATTTTTTTCAAATCGATCATTTAGTAGCAAATGGAAATTGTTATAATGTTTAAGAGTTTTATGATTGTACAAAATATTTGTGGTCAGTTTACTGTGATGTGATATATGGGTTTTTTGGGATATCAGTCCGCTGTATAAATAATTAAACCAAATTTAAAAATAAACTTAACCCATCATGACATCATGTTATAATTAGATTACAAAACCCGTTAGAAGTTTGCAATCATTCTTGACATTATCGGTAAATAAAAAATGCATGAAAACCTAGACGCTGAAGCCTAGGGAAAAGTCAATATCAGTCCCCCATTAAAGGCGTAATATGAGGGTAAATTCTATTACATATACCTTTATTGCAAGCATGTGTGGGGTCAGATGTGTATGTGTGCGCGTGAGACGTATACCAAAAATTTTCACTTATAAATCCGATTAACGGTTTATGTAATATAAAACAAGACGGCAGGCGCTGCGAGCGCCTTTATTTAGGCAATTTATTGCGTATTTTAATTAATGCGTGAGGCTTAGATCATGTAATCGGTCAGCTCTCTGTTCAAAATTAGGTTTTTTTTAAATGTTTTAATCCCATTAAAAAGTAATCTGTACGATTATTTTCTAGTACTTTTAATTTACGATTTCGACGTGCGTCATTTGAAAATGAATTTGCTAAATACTAGTATTATTTGGAATAGTTTTAAATAGTAAATATTTGACCTTTATGGTGATATTAAAAACTCATTAATGGAATATGGAAAAACAAGCGACGTTTTATTTGGAAAATAAAATTGCGTAAATATAACGCAGAATGCTTATTAAGCAAATATTTGACTTTTCGGTAGGACAGGTGATAAACATTCCCATAAAGTTTTTTTTTGGTGTAACATAAATGGTATTACATGAAGTTATTGAATGACGAGTGTAATAAATTGCGCAACAACGCTTGTTAACTGTATTGAAAAATTCACGAAGTAGGATTAATTTCATATATCGATGTGTCAGTTAAATTAGATGATTACTGGTGAAACAATAATGATTCCACATTAAATATTAAATATGCTTTACTTACATATAAAATGATATATGTAGAGGCAAAAATGTCCTTGAAGCATGCATACTATTATTATTCGTAAGTTTATACGTAATAATAGGAGAACATATACTGTTTTTTTGTAATTTCCGACGGTACTTCTTAAAATTTTAATTATCATATGATACATTTGAGTTAACGAGCTATTAAAACGAAGTGTCATTACTACAAATTCATATAAATGTTAGTATCAAATGAAAATAGAACAATAGTCAAATGTTGTGATTGAAAACTGCTGAGTAGTAATTTTTCACAACCGGGTCACTCGGTTCATTAGATGTGCCAAGTTCCAGTTACAACATTTTTGTAATCAACAATTATGTCGCTGTATTTCTTCTACTTAACGGCCATTAAGATATTGAAATAATCAAAGAGTTTATAATAGTAGTACGTAAATACGATGTGTATACTTTTTAATTTCATGCCAATTTAACAGAACGAAAACCCATAAATACTGCTCTATTGTTATTTTTACTCTGTATATTTTATTCTAAATTAACAACGTAATAGTAGCAAAAATTAATTGTCTATTAAAATTAATTCTTTGGTCTCATTAAAATTTCGCGGGATTTGAATAGAATATAGAATTTCTAATGTTTTTGAAGTTCGAAGAAGTTTCATTTTCAAAGACAATTATGTATTACGCAAAACTATCGTTTTAACATAAATTCTATTAAATATGTACACGTGTGAGTAGTGCAAGTAGCTAGAGGTCGATGGATTTGTTAGCTGTAGGTGTGGTTTAGGCAAGCTAAAACCTATTGAGCAAGCAGTCATAATATGTTCAGGAATTTTAACTGAAACCTACTAAATAATATTACATTTATAATTCTATTAAATTATAATTTAATATAATCATATTCTAGAAATACGAACTGAGGTCCGGCTGTTCAAAAATTAGTGTTTCTCTTAAAATAATTTTTTTGTTTAATTAATTAAATTAAATAAATAAAATTATAACTTTGAATTTTATCTATTGTTTTTAGGTGTAGGAAACACTTTATCGACTAAAAGTAAAAACACTTTATTTCGACTCACTCAGACACTCACTTTACCTTACGATTTAAACACAAAACGTTTCACTACAACGTTGCGAGTATACGCGTGACTCAGTGCGTGGCTAAGACTTCACTGGTCCAACTGGCGTCTTTGCAAGACCTGTGTCATACTACGTAATATTGTGTACTTGACCGTATGATGGCTAAGCAATTTGAACCTTGCTCGAATTAACAACATTTTGTGTACTGGCGTCTCAGTTGCTTTAATGTGTAATCAACATTTTTGCTTGAATTCTGTTGATTTTTACCAATCTCGTAAATTTTTTATCCAAATAAACTTAAAAATAATAGTTGAGATACAGTTCTTGGTCTCAGATTTTTGTTTTTTTGTCTTGTTTATTTAGTAGTAGTAAAGTAAGTGGCTTTTGTAGTTGACCCTCGCCTTTTCCGTTTCCTGACGATATTTTTCCTTCACAATATATGCAAGTACGCACATAGAAGAAAAATCTTTCTGGTGTACAGCCGGGGTTCGTAAGGACCCAGAGTTGAGAGCTGCGCACTTAGCCACTGCAAACACGGCTCTGTATAAATTCTATAAAACTGCTCTAAGGTTTTTATTCTTAATTGCGAATAAAAGCCTTATATTAAAGATAAATAATAAGCGGTTTTATCACTTGTGTTATCGATATTATAATCAATTAACCTATAATCTAATAATAAATGTTTTTCTTCAGTAAATTCTTAATCCGAATAAGGTATAACGGATGGTAATTATTATATTTTATAGTTAATTGTTGTTTTCCACTGGGTTTTTTGCTTGTAACTAGCCGGGAGTGCAATTTATCAATTCAACCCCTGTGGGGTCCACGATGGATAGATACAACAAGAAATACATGCAGTCTCAATTAGTATCTTTAATAATCTCTAGTTAGTCTCTTTACATCGAAATATATTTAATATATCATTAATAATTGTAGTAGTAAAATATGATTTAGCGTTCCTTAAAATCATTGTTGCTTTTTGGACAATTATTGTTTTTATCTTAAGACTAGCTGACCGGGCAAACGTCGTTTTGCCATGTATATCATTTATAATAAAAAAATAGGGGTTGATCGTAGAGGGGTGAAAGTTAAGGGTTGTATGTATTTTTAATGCTGTATCAAAAAAAATAAAAACAAAAAAATATCGAAAAATAAAAAAAAAAATTAGGGGTGGACTACCCTTAACATTTAGGGGGATGAAAAATAGAAGTTGTCCGATTTTCAGACATACCCAATATGCACACAAAATTACATGAGAATCGGTCAAGCCGTTTCGGAGAAGCTTAACCACAAACACCGTGACACGAGAATTTTATATCTTAAATAATTCATATTCAATGTATAGTCGCTTTGGTATTACTTTCGTTATCGATATATAGAATATATTTAGTTAATATACGCATTATGCGTAAGTGTTTATTTCGCGGTTTTGAGAACAATAATATGGGATGCGATATATATTTATAAATCTGAAATATTTTTTGTACTTAAAATAATAGAGACGTTATATCGTAGTTCATACTGTACGACTCCAATGAACCAAATACTAAGTTTCATAACATGTAATTTATACAGTGTAATTAATCGATTCATTTGTGTATGTCTATTGTTGATAACGTTATGTAACCGTGAAAGTATACGATTACCATTCATCACAACAATGTGTCCGACTGCATTGTGTGAGCTGAATTAAATAAACATGGTCCAAAAAAAACATTCATTTATTTACCACCAAATATTCTGGCAAAACATGTAGAATGCGTAAGTGAAAAAAATTGCAGTAGCTTCTTGCATGTGACTAAAGTGTTGATTATTATCTATTTTTGTATTTACGATTCTAATCCACCGTATATTTTGATGGCTTTGCTGAAGCATAAAACCAAATATATAAAAATAATAATTTTCGATTTTTTTTTCGTTTAACTTTATGCCGCAAGAAATGTTAGAAGTTTTGTAAGAGTATCAAATATTGTTTTTTTAATGCATTTTTGATGCTAATCTATTGAAGTAACGTCTTCCATGACTTATATGCGAATTCGGAGTGTTCATTCAATAAGACAGCCTATGCAAAAGCAGATACAATGTCCACTTGAGGCAGGGAACCTAGCTCTATCAAGAAACACGGTACAACGAAGGGTTCCACTTATGGGGTTAGCAAGAGTATCTACCAAAGATTATTGATCAAAGACTCCAGGGACAGATAGCTTGGTTACATGTAATTAATTGCTAATGCCAATGCGTTGACAAAGTGTTAACCGCTTCCGTTACCTCACTCGCATCATTGTTTCCTATATTACGCAATAGTTGAGTAAGTGTGACGTGAGAGATTTTCATAATTTTATTACGAACAAATATAAAATACGGATAGTTTGACCTCCTTTACAATTAGCGCAGACTGCGCAAAATTGCAGTAGCTATTGTATTCTCTATGGCCTAATGGTCCAGCGTTGGATTTTTTACGCGTCAATTCTTAGTTTTCTCGAGATTTATATAAAAGTCAGTGTTGACATGCGTCCTCTTGACCTATGAAACCTTTTTCAGACGAAAATATATGGTAACAAATATCGTTGTTATAATTTTTTAGATAAAGTGTATTTAGGTTTGGGTCATGTTAAGACAAAGTGTAAAGTGTTTTTGAAGCGTATTTTTATCTAATGCTCTATTTAATTACTATTATCAAGTCAAGAACTTAATGTTATCTGAGTTCGCGCCAACGGTCCTGCATTCTTCATAAGATTTGACGAAAATGTTATTCACTTACGGGTTGTTTACTTTTCTGGTTGGATGGTTTGAATTTTTGTACTTTATACACATAACAAACATTTGATTGGTTTTAATATCGGACTACAGTAGCTCTATACGTAACAATACAAGCCTAAATTTTTTTTCATTGTTAAATTGAAATTAACGTACCTGGGGGCAGTGTTGGCCTTAGCGTGCGAGTCTCATGCCTAAGGTCGTAGGTTCGATCCCCGGCTGTGCACCAATGGACTTTCTTTTTATGTGCGCATTTAACATTCGCTCGAACGGTGAAGGAAAACAGCGTGAGGAAACCGGCTTGCCTTAGACCCAAAGGCACAGAAGGCTGATCACCTACTTCCCTATTAGATTGATAAATGATTATGAAACTGATACAGAAGTCTGAGGCCCAGACATAAAAAGGTTGTAGCGCCACTGTTTTTTTTTTTAAATTTTAAATTGAAACTAAAAATATAATTATTTACGTTTTCTTTGTAACTGCAGTTTATTCTAAAAAGCTTTGACGCTAAAAGCGTCTTGTATTATTTAGCTAGCGACTTTTCACTGCTCTAGTACTCTGTAGATAGGTCAAGCGAAACTCGAGTGTACATGAAAGAATAAAAAAGTTTTGTCTCGAGCTGTTTGGTATTCAAAACGTATAAGAAAAAGATGTAACTCAGTCAAAGGATATTGTGTAAGCTTTACTTAACAACGAAGTAATTTACGTAAAAAATAAGTTTAATCGTAATAGTGTCTTTTTTTTTTGATATCCGAGGTGGAAATGCATTTGCGCATCCCCTGAACAGGGGTATGTGGGACTCGACCCGCCAAAATCTCTGCTATTCAGAGACTGGGTGAGCAATACCCACTAAAACCACCTCGAGTAGTTCCGACAAAGCCGCGTTACAGAGGCTCCGGGGTCGCTGTCGCATTCTACCGGGACAATCGTAATAGTGTCTAAGCGAATCTAAGCACATTTTTATAAACATAATTTTACCATGTATGTAGGTACTGAACAAATATCGTATTTTCCTATTTCATCGCGCTACCATAAATATCATCTCCCTTCCGCATATTTAAAGATATGATACTCGCGAAAATTTATCTTTTTAATTTTTAAGTTCTTCAGTTAACAGATATTGTCAACGCCATGTCTTCCCGGGGTGAACTACCACTGGAGCTGGCGTTACGTGGACGTAGTGCCTCCATTGCCACAACGCTGCTACAGCATTGCGCCGACGCAGATGCAAGAGGGCCCAGAGGAAGGACTCTGCTGCACAGAGCCGTTGACGCAAGGGACGCGTTTTCAGCCAAATTTTTGGTAGAGAATGGTGCCGATCCAAATCTATCGACGAAGTAAGTTCAAATATTATCGACCTTCAAATTAAGAGATATTGCCTATATGCCTACAATTATTAGTCAATGTTAAAATATAGAGGATTTCGTGTTCTAAAAAATTAATTCTAAGCCTATTTAAAGTAGTTTTTTAGTCAAATTACTAATGACATGTAAATAGTTTTATATCGTTTCCGTAACCAATTCAATTAAATTATTATATTTTTACTTATTTTGTGAATTTGTTAGTAATATTAAAACTGAATAAGCCTATGTAATTTTCGAAGCCTTGACCTTATGCGGAACAAGTTGGCGTGTTCTTTCGCAACGTATCGAGAGTTATAAAATTATCGGTTGTATATAGCAAAGATATGTAACCAGTTCCAGTTCTTTCGTAATTATTGGAGGCATATGAACATGTGCCTGTTTCTAAACCTCGTAGAAAAAAATCGTGGCCTAAAACTCTGGGAGATTTTGTAAATAGTGGCACGAGATGGGGCTTAATTAAGAAATGCTAATAGCAGCCTATCATAGCTTTGTTGTTGAGTAAGCCCACAACGAAAGTGATAATAAATCATTGACCGAACATTTTCTCGCGTTAGGTTCATTTTCACGTGTAACAAGAGTTTTAGATTTGCCGCCAATTCACAAAAACAAATGACAAATGAATGCAATATACTACATTAGTGGTGCGTTCCACTAAGCGTTCACAACGCTCACGCTCACGACCGCTGATTTCCCCATTCCACTTGATTGTGAATGTTACTGTCGTTAACTCAAGTGGAATGGATTATGGAGCGTTTCGGGCGTTCATGAATTTTGATTAATAATTTTTCTTAATAAGTTCATTTGCCAAAAATACATCTACAAATAAAATAAATTTACCAAATATATATATATTATTAATGATAATAAATATCGTTTACTTATTGATTTAGGTTATGCTATCCATTATTCAGGAAAAATGTATAAATAGCTGTTGAATATAAACTAAAATCAATTGTATTAAACTTATATTGCATAATTATATTTACCTCTTCCTGCACGAGCAGCTTCAGCTTCAGAAACGATAGCTTCTACTACAATTTCTCTTTCAGAATCATATAATGTTATTTTTCTTGTCGCCATCTTTAAGCTTTGAATATCATATTTCAAAAACAATTTCAAAAATTGCGCCGAATTATTCTCAACGTTCACTTTGACCCACCTCTTTAGAAGGGTCGTTGTGAGCCTTGCGTGAGCATTAGTCGTGACTCGTGACGTCATGAGTGACGTTTTCGCCGTGACCATAACGACCGCGGTCGGTAGTGGAATGGCTAAAGGAGAATTTTGATCGTCGTGATCGCTTAGTGGAACGCACCATAGGTTACCAAAGAGTTCTTAAATTGAAATTCAACAATAGTTTTCATTAGCAATGTTTCTAACTGGCCAATTCTAAACATTTTCAGTGTTACCGACGTATTTTTGTGAGAATTAAACGAGTATGTCGCGCTTCGAATGACCGCGAAATTATTAAGAATCTGTTTAGTTTTGACGTCAGTGTTTTAAATGTTAATAACCTAATTTAAATACGTTACAATTCCGCGTTAGTTCGAGAACAACTTAATCGATCAATCGTTGATACTTATCAACGATGTTATTTTCTCGTTTGTATAAGACACATTAGAGGTTCAAATACTTGCTATAAAAAGGAGTGCCGGAGAGTTTGATGCCAGTTCTTTTAGTTTGTTCCACTGGCACTGGGAAACTGGCAACCACTGTAAATCTGAAGAAATTTGATTTAATTATTTACGGGACAACGCTGAAATTTAATAATGCAAACCACGGGAAACTATAACAGTTATAAAGTTTACTATGATAATTTAATTCGTTTTCGTTTGGAAATATGTATTTTCTAATGTAAATTCATTTTATTGTCTGCCGTAATTTTATAGAGCTTTTACCCTAAACCGAGATTGCATCGTGTATTTTTCAATATTAAAAGCATAATTATTAGAAGTTAACAAAGCCGGCGTCACAATAACGATATGAATGAACCAATCTTTGAAATTTCGCAATGGATTTCTTTTTGTGAAATCTGACACTCGATAAATCAAAATATCGCAGTGCGAACGATGTCCAATTCCCAATGTACCAAGTTTTATAAGCAATCACAGTAGTTTTTGTTCAGTAAAATTATATTTTATAATAAAAGACAATAAGATATTCATATAACGCAATGTTTAATGCTACGTTTAATTGATAGTAATGAATCATGTAAATACAATTTGAGTCAAAGGAATTTCACAATTGGTTTTTCCTATCTTCTCTTACAAACACATCTTGACGTGTCCTACTTAAACAGCTTAACAGATTTTGCTGAATTTCCATACACAGATATACTATACCAAAACTATGTATCAACTGCTTTTTTATAATAAGTAATTACTAATTATTAGTCTTAAAATATTTATTTTTTAAGTATGGTTCAGTTTTGTTTACCGCTTTGGCATTAGTAATAGTAATACGAATGGAATGTTTTCAAAGGTTAAGAGAGCACCCAGAACCGACTTAATTTATTTATTTACGTTCCAGACATTTAAACTAATAATAAAAGTATACAAATTAAAGTAAAAAAATTTAATTTAATTTCTTTTTTTTCGTTTATTTCGCTATACTTTCAAACCGCAGTGACTCAGTTATGAAAACCCAGTACCAGATTATATTATTAAAATGGTATCAGATGGATGACATACTCTTGCCGATAGACATTTCTTTGTATTTAGGAAGCAGACGCTGCTCTATATTTTGTAATTCTTTTATTATTTGATGTGTAATAAATTATAAATCTACTCCGGTTCGCGGCAAAAACTGCCTTAAAAAAGCGCTCAGATGTGGAATGACGGACGTCGAGTGAATACTGGTGATCCTATTTGATATTGGTTTTCTATTACAGAGAAGAAGGCGATACAGTACTGCATCTTATAGCTGGTCTAACTGCAAGTTCCTGCGATCCGGAGACGATGGAACAAATGGTGGAGATCGCTGCTATCGTTGTTCAGAAAGGCATAGATATAAATCGGCAAAATAGAAAAGGATTGTAAGTATTTTTTTAATAATGCAGATATAATATAATTAACTGACTTTTTACCGTCAGTAGTCTTTTGCTTTGACCACCAGAGTCCCATCCAAGTAAAAATAAATCGAATTCGGCCCGGCAGTTTGAATGTACGAATTTACGAATGACTTATACTTTATTGCCTAATATATTTCCATTCTAAAGCGTTGTAATTATGAGTAAAATACGTTAGGATTCTTTAACCAAATAATAAAAATCATTTATGTACACCTCTGAACGAACGCAAGAAATTAATTGTTAAAGTAGCTTAGTTTTTGTATCAATACTTTTTTACCAATGCATGTAAGTAAAAGTAAAAATAAAAAGTTTAAACTCATTGATAAAAATTGATTCCAGTACACCTCTCCATCAAGCGGTAATAGCAAGAAGTCAGCAAATATTCGACCTCCTTCTAAAACAATCTAATCTAGATACAAACTTAAGAACGATCTCTGATGAACACCCACCTCTATACTATGCGTTGGTAGACGATCGGCGTGCGTCTATATCTTCTAGTGAAACACTGGTCATGAACGGCTCAAATCCTTTCGATACGCCTGTCACCAACAAAAATGCGTTTACGGAGGACCCGGTGGAGGGTAAGACTGATATTATTGAGAGAGGTTTTGCTGCGAAGTTGTTAGAGAAAGGGTGTCAGCCGAATCCTTTGTACTCGAATACCGGAGATAGTCTGCTGCATATTTTGGCCCAGGGATGGTTTGAGGTTAGTATTATATAATTGCTTTTATTCCGAAAGTTCCTTGGTAGATTCGTATGTAGTTTATTAAATATTATTGTATATATTCTGGGCACGAATAACGAAATTCGGCAATTTCTTACTTCAATAATTCTAAATTCTACTTGCGATTATTTCCAAAAATAACGCCCCAGTCCAAGAAAACTTTTTCAAAAGGTTCCGTAACGTTTGGCTAAGAGGTAATATTACAAATTTCCAACCCAAAGTAAAGTACTCGCATGAAATAAACTAGGTATTGAATGAACTGAGATTAACGACAGTTTCTATTTTTCTATATCTTCTAAATTTCAGGAATCGGCAGTATTTCTAGCATCTAACTTAAATGGTGACCTGAACCATACAAACGAGGCTGGTCTGACAGCCTTGCATGCAGCGTGTGCAAATGGATTAACTAGATTAACCGCTACATTATTAGAAAATGGTGCCAGACCCAATTTACAGACTGCCTATGGAGAGCACGAGGATACAGTGTACAGGTAACTGGAATACTTAGGGTGATATTCAGATTTTTAGCGCTAGTAACACCCGTCATGTCAATAACGTATTACGGGGCACTGTTAAGCGTGCAATTCAATTTTAATTACCCAGCTGTGGAATACAGACTATCATTGAAAAAAAAAATAACGTGTGTGTACACGCGTTAGAAGTGATACTTCTTTGGCGTAACAAGATTTATCTTTCGCCTTATTCTACGTTTGTAGAAAAAACTACACTAACAATAGAAAAAAGGTATTAAATACATTGAAAGTTTTATTATAACGCATTATCTAGTTAAATAAAGTTTATTTAAATATCAAAAAATAATTATTTATACATAATTATTAGAGAAATGGATATTTTCTATTTTGAAATGTTGACTATGCTAACTTTAGGGTGTCGGTTTTCTGTGACGGTGTGCGCGCGCATCGTAAAAATTTACTCTCATCGTTTTTCCCTAATGCGCCAAAAGAAGTATAACTTCAACAATTTTTAGCATACATTTGATTTTTTTAATAGTTTAGAAATTTAGTCCAAAGAAACTAGCGGCCCTGACACGGGATGATTGTTGGGTCTAAGGCATGCTACGTTTTTCTTCAGGAGCGAGTGTTAAATGCATATAGTCTATCATAGGTGTGATTCTAACGTATGAACACAGGGATGAGAGTAGAACGCTTCAACCACTAAAGCGGGCCATAGACGGACCGCATATTGCAGTCAAGACCGACTGCAATATGCGATTTGCTCAGTAACTGCTCGAGCGGTCCGTGTATTGCGAATATGAATTTAGTATGGAAACTGCAGATCGCCGTGGGGCGACCGCTTAGAGCAGTCGGTATCTCCTGCAACATGCGGTCCGTCTATGGCCCGCTTAAGGTACCACGGAAATTAGGATTATAGAATACTAAGTTGAGAATTGATGTACTATTTTGATTCCTCTTTTAAGTCAGATTTAGGTAAATTACTTATTACTTTTAAAGCTGGTAACTAACTACACATCAAAATTCTTTATAAAACTAATTTGGCTTCGATAACGTAATATATGAATACTCTAAAATCCTTCTGTTTATTTACACTTAGAAACGCGTGTGAAACGTAATTCATACAAGTGTAATTTTCCGCATTGTTTATTGTTATAAAACACCACTAATTTGCACTTTTGTACGTAATATTTTAGTGTATATCGTATTGCGTCATAGATTATGCTTTTAATTTTAATAATTGGCTATTTGTACCTAATATGGAAATAATATTTTAAAACTTTTAAAATATGTACAATGTTAACTCTTTATAACATCATTCGCTATAACGAATAACTAACTCTCTATAACGTAAAAATAGTTATATTTGTTTGGTTTATAAAGATTTTACACTGTAATTATATTAATTTTATAAATCCTAAACAGATACTTACTGAATACTTGAAATAGCTCTGCAAACGTGTATCTCAAAAGTAATAATAAAAACTAGTACATACATGAATAATAACGAAGTAATATTTGAAAATTTATAAAATTAAAATAGAGTTGTTTTTCAATGATAATATTTAATTGTTAGTAGTATTGGCATTTTGCCTAATAATATTTGGGTCATACGATAAATGAAGGAACAATAAAACTAATTAATACAGATTTGGCGATCGTACAACATTTAAAGGTGACTAATTTTATCATCACTTTAGTAACGATAAAATTGCGTTCAAAGATCAAAAACAAAAATACTTTTGCAGTCTCTGATAGTTGATAACAGGATTCTAAGCAACACAATTTATTTATCAAAACTTAAACGTATATAAACGAGAATTGATCATATACCTCTCTCACTCTATTCGAGCGCTTAAAAGCAGTACACGCCAGCAAATGTATTGCACTCGAGTATACCATAGACAATTTACAACATAGAATATAAATTTTCTACGTGCAAAGATTAATTTTATAGATGTAGATAATATTCATATTTTTTCAGACAGACTCCCTTACATCTGGCGGTACTTAATAACCATGAAGGTTGTGTTCTAGCTATCATAGATCACAAAAAGTCACTAGATAAGGAAGATTCCTCATCAGACCGCTCTAGTGCTATACCAAATCTAAATTTGAAGAATTCTGAAGGGTACACGCCGATTAGTCTTGCGCTCACAGAAGGTAGAATCATTTTTTTTTAAATTAAATCTTGGGAATGCTAAATGTCTTTTTAAAAACAGCGAGAAGAGAAGACAACGACTTAGGTGGAAGAATGAGGTATATAGCATGAAATACTTGGAATTAAATAAAAGGAACTTCTTAGGTTTAATTCAAGTGTATCAGTTCAAGTTAGTAAAATTTCGGGTTTATATTCGTTAAAGAGGTTTTATTTAAATATCTTAATAGGCAAGGTATAGTGGAGTCATATGCGACAGCAAAACAGTTGAAATTATATTTCTAAAATCTAGAGCTATCATTGTAATAGCTTCACAATAAAACATGATAATAATATACTCGGGTCCTGATCATACGGCTACCCTGAGTATACCAGCCTTATTTGTACTACCAAAAATTAACAAATGTATTTTAAAGAGCGTAATTTTATATATTAGAATATAAAATTCTCGTGTCGCGGTGTTTGTAGTTTAAACTCCTCCGAAACGGCTTGACCGATTCTCATGAAATTTTGTGTGCATATTGGGTATGTCTGAGAATCGGACAACATCTATTTTTCATCTCCCTAAATGTTACGGGTAGTCCACCCCTAAATTATTATTTTTTAATAAAATAAAAATATAAAATTCCAGGTCACAAACACTTAGTAGGACCGTTGATAGAAGGCGGCGCGGACCCCAACATACGAAATGGAAAAGGATTCACATTACTTCACCAAGCTATTGTTGAAGAGGACTCTAGGACAGCAATTTACTTACTCGACCACGGTGCTGATATGAATATGCTGTGAGTTGCATTGTTTCACCTCTAACGGCAAATTTAAGCTTTTTAAGTATACGTTTTCTTATCACATAGGGGCCGTTCAAGTAGTACGTAAGCACTATAGCGGCAGGGGGGGTCTTATTTGGTGATTACGTCAACAGTAATTATTTACTTTTTTATTGCTATATGTGTGGGTAACACATTGTCTATGCTTGAAAACAAAATGCATTTTCGAGGATTCCTACAAAAAATTAATTCGTTTATGTACTATTATTTTTGAAAGTTTTGCTTACTTTTTCTGACAAGAGGAGGGTGGGGGGATAAATCTGCTTACGTAATTCTTGAACGGTTTCATAGTGCAGATGAACATATTACGGAATTCAGTTCCTGGCGAAAGAAATATACATAAATATAATTATTTCATGAAGAGACAACTGCACTGCATGTATTTAAAAAAAATTATGAAACTGACACAGAAATGTGTGTGTTTGTAAGGGGACTTCACGTACGTGAATGAGGTCGCAACGACCGGTAGTTCAAAATAAGTGATCATAGGAAAAATCTGCGAGACCTTTATCTTTTAAGAAAATGTATAAAAAATAATAATATTTTTATATTGGTTATATGATTTACGTGTAAAAATAAAATGTCAGCACTTCTTAACTTTTTTTAGAACTGACGCAGGAGAAACCCCACTTCAACTGGCTATCCACTGTCGCCTAGGCTTAGTGGTAGAAGCATTATGCGTACGCGGAGTTGACATGAGCAAACTCGACGCTAACGGAGTACCTCCTCTTTGGGCCGCACTCGATTCGGGACAGGAGGAAGTTGCTAGTGTATGTATAAATTATATTAAAATATTTGATCATTATAGTTTCAATACTAAATAAATTGTGGTTTATAATTGTAAAATAAAAGCTATTAATATTAACTTGAATCTCTGAAAGCATCAATCAATCAATAGAGTTTAAATAATATCCTCTAATATTTAAATCATCATGTTGACCCAGGAACCACACAATTATCAAAAAACAAAACATAGCAGTTTTATTCTCTTTTAAGCCCAAAATAGAATACTAATATTAGTCAGAAATACATACCTATACATGTAACACATATAAATAACGCCAACATATTCGGGGATAAAATCTAATATTTTATATTAACAAAAAATTATAAACTGAGACCACCTTGATCTCGATCTTTATCTTTTTACCCGCCGTCCCGCTCCATCCATAACAAACAGTTTTTCACTGAATTCATCCCCGTATTCATTAAAACAGTCTAATTGCACTTTTTTACCCAAAGTTGTGGTTCGTCTCTTTCTATCAAATTGTACTTAAGCTGTGATAAAAAGAGCGGGAATTAAACCGAATAAAAAGAAAATTGCGCAGTTTACCCTATACTACGCATTTTCTGGCGTTATTGAGTTGTTATATACTTAATGTAACTTACAAGGCAAACCAGTCGAGTAATTCCCACTTTGATAGGGTTAAATGAAGTCAAGTTACGTGGAGATTACACTGTAGAAAATATCTGTTATGGTTCCTTGATTTCGTTCAATATAGTAAGATGTTTTTACTTATACAGATTCTCGTGAGAAACGGCGCAGATGCCGACTGTTGGGGCCCTGGTCCTGATGGCTGCATACAAACATTATTGCATAAGTAAGATTATAATCCAATTCATTCAAAGGTGGCTAAAAATTGTAATTTTTTTTCATTGCCTCTTTTCAATATATCCTGGTTAGGTTAGTACCACCAAACTTGGTTTTTTTTAAGAGTTTTACATACTCTAAGGACAATGCAAAAAGGAAGGAATAGAAAAGTATAGTTTTTTTTATTTGTTATGGTTCGTTGAATCCACATTTAGAATGTATTAATACAAACCAAGTATTATAATTTTAATAAAAATATATGTGTACCTACTATGTGTAATCTTTGATTGAGTGATCTTTATATTTTTGTACGGTATTAAAAAATACAAGAAGGAATTCATAAAAGTGCGGTTTAAGACAACTCCAATAGACCTATCTAACTTATCACCATTATCTTTCATTACAGGGCCATAGACGAAAACAAAGAGAATTTAGCAACTTTCCTCATCCGTTCCGGATGTGACGTGGAATCGCCGCGAAGAGCTGGTCCATCCGGCGAGGGCTCAGACGTTGCAGCGGACAAACATACACCTCTTCATCTATGTTGTACTTGGGGACTCACTGATGTCATACAGGTATGTTTGGTTTATTTAGTTGTATTGGTAAATCGGACTAAGTATTTTCTTTTATTAACATAACTTTTACACATTTAAAGAAAACACTTTTTTACCGGATTGAAGTTATCCAAATTAAAATCTCAAGATAAACAATCCACGAAAATAGAGGACACCGTGAGTCATCAAAACCCTCCATCTTTTAGTCGATACCAAATCCGGGGAAACAAATACAGATAATACAACTTTTTCTACAGCTGTGATACTTTTTGACATTCAACACCTTTTGTCTTCAGTCACCGTGACCACGCACGCTGTAAAGCACGCGAAACGTCGGATTTTTTTTAAATTAAGTAAAATAATTATAAGTTTATAATAATACATAACTTCAATCCGGTAAAAAAGTGTTTTCTTTAAATCGGACTAATTTAATTTTTACATAAATCTGTGTATCATTTACAATAAACATATTAGGTTTTTTTCTACTTGTACAACTCCAAACTTCTTAGTACTCGTTATGTGAGCAGAATTGAAATTGTCGAACTGAGGAATTTTAATTTATATCAACGACTACTAATAAAACTCGTTATTATGAAAAAACTTTGGTGAAAAATTAATTGGTAGATATCCCAAATAAAGATTTTAGTTATAAGGGCTCGAATATTTACCAGTTACCTAAATCCTCCAGACGCTCCTAGAGCATGGCGCGAACATTAACTCCAAAGACGCTGAAGGCAAGACCCCACTACACATTGCTATTGAGAACCAGCACGCCGGGATAATATCTCTTCTCCTATCGCAACCTGGAGTAGATTTATCAGCGAGGGACAATCGGGGAGTCACTCCCTTCGCAGCGGCTCTCACTGCGAGGAATAATAAGGCGGCTCAAGCCATTTTGGAGAAAAATCCCTCAGCGGCCGAACAGGTGAACAGATCAGCCAACCTTAGTTTTTATAGGTAGTAAACATGAAAACTATAGCGTAACTAACTTTACATTTTAAAAGTAGAATCATAAATATTTAAGGCATCCTTATCGCGTACTCAAGGTTTCAATTTCTGGAAGAAACTAATGATCCAAATAAATTAATACAATGCCAAAACTTACTAGTTGATTGTCTTTTCTGCAAATAATACTAGCAGACCGGCCAAGCGTTGCTGTGGCTAAGGTTTTTGTTATAATATTCAAGGGAAAAGGTAGGAGAACACCAGTCATGGGGACCACCATGCTTTTTTGGTGGTTATGCCATTCAATTGTAGCTTATGTGAAACATTGGTACTTTCAACACAGCGCCATCTGTTAGAATTGTGACTATCAAATAATAAACAAATAATTTGCAATAAAGTAATATTGCGGGTATAAAGTGAGATGTAAGCTATCCTATCTTTAAAGTTGGATCAAACTACACACGGTGTGCAAATTTGATTGATATCGGTTCGGTAGTTTAGGAGTCCATAGCGGACAAACAACGTGACACGTAATTTATATATATTAAGATATAGAAAAATCAATGATATTTCTTGTATTTAATATGTTAATTCTAAGCTAAAGAAGGAAGTGGTTAGTTAATAAATTATTTTTTACCAGGTTGATAAAAAAGGCCGGAACTTCCTACACGTCGCAATCCAGAAATGCGATATGGAGAGTTTGATGTTTTTACTTTCGGTGAAGGTAGATGTCAATTCGCGGATTCAAGATGCGACACTAGCGCCGCCATTACATCTTGCGGCTGCATCGGGAAATGAAGCCCTTTTGAGAACTCTACTTTTGGCTGGAGCAAGGCCTAACGATAGAGATGCCCATAAGTAAGTGTACTTTTTAAGTAGACCTTTTTAGGATGTGATTTGATGGTTCATGAGTTTAATGGGAATTTTTCGAAAGGTAAACTGTGAGGTCTAGGTCATTTGTGCATTTCTATATTCAGTAAAACCTTTTAGTTTATTAGATAGTACGTTTTTATACAAAACGCACGTCTGGTTTGGGACGGAACGTACGGTTTGGGAAAGAACTGACACCAATAATGCCTTTTGTATACATTATAGATAATCAGTAGGGTATTTGTGTATTTTGTTTCCATCATCAACTTTCTACAGAGAGTGTTATGAAGTGTCATTTAGAAAATGGCCTTGAACCTTGACCTGAAATTAGCCTAATCTGCGTCATCGACTGATCGCTGCCCTCGGGTGAATTAAAACTTAATTTAGAAATAGTCGAACCGAAATTAATTATAGTATTTTTTTTTAATCAATTTGTATACTCTATGGCACTATAAGATTCTTCATACAAATATTTAAAACAAATGTATATTACGTTAGCGTTAAATGTCGGACACTTGATAGAGCCTGTACCAATTAGGCCGCCAACCTTAAAATAACATTATATTACGAACATAATTTACGTATGATCAGGCGTACGGCATTGCACGTAGCAGCGGGCACGGGTGGGACCTCCCAAGCGGCGATAGTATCCGCTCTGATAAGCGACGGAGCTGAAGTAGGCGCTGTTGACGCGGCGGGAGATAACGCATTGCACGTGTGTGCTCGCGAGGGTCACGCCCCCGTTGCACGAGCTTTACTAGCGGATAGTGATATTGATGCTGCTGCCACTAACCTTAAAGGTAATCGTAAAACCCCTTAAAACATGACAACCTGAAATATAAATTGCATTCTTGACGTTATGATTGGGTCCGGCAGTGTAATGTGTGATACGAATTTTAAAAAGCCATAATATTTGCACTTGATAGTAATAACTGCTATAATTTATTGATATGACGTGTACGATTTAATGCGTTTCTCTATATCACATTATTTCTATATATTTTCTCTATATAATCGTATCATTGATATACTACTTAAATAATTGATATACATCTTATCATAAATAAGAATTTTGATTTAAAAAACGTAAAGAACGTTTAAATAGGCACGTAATAGAAGAGTATATTAAATAATAAAGAATGAGACAAATGCATCTATGCATCTGCAAAACAAGGTTAATATTACAGGTCGCAACCCTCTTCATGAGCTGTGTTGGTGTAAAAAAGATAATGCTGCAACTATATGTGAAACATTCCTAGAGTTTATGCCGGACTTTCCAATCAATAGGACAGACTTACAGGTATGCAATAACTCCAAACAATCTATTTCATAATGATGAATACGACTAAAGAGTTCCAATATTCTTAAATAAAATAAATAAACTTACTATATTTAAATTAACATTTTAAGTTGTATTTTTTCGATTTCAAATAAATATGAAATGTGTGCAAAAGTACTCTCGGATGTAATTATTCCAAAGTAGTTTTTGTTAAAAATTTATTATGTTTCATTCCTTAGTAGCTTACCTCACGGTTTACTTAATATAAATGCCAAAAGGACTGTGGGTAACAAATTTAAAAAACGTTTAAAATTTACCTCTTCTATATGGTAAGGTTTCTCTCCACATACTTAACAACAATTTTTTTGTATACAATTTTATTTGAGGCAAATGCCATATAAATGATTAGTCATTTAATATCGATTGTTCTGAATTCGGTTAACCTCTTTGGATATGTTTAATAATAATAAAACCTTTTTAGGGCAATACTCCATTACTATTGGCGTATATGAACGGACAGGCAGCCATGTGTAGGGTTTTAGTGAAAGCTGGAGCCTGCTTGGCGCACGAAAATAAAGAGGGCGTCTCTATATTTAATTATCAGGTAATTTTATATCAAACTAGCTGTAGTTTAGAAATATGAAAATAATTGTTGTACCATTATTAAAATTTCCCCTAGGTAGCGACAAGACAGCTTCTCCACAGATTGTTGGACGCATTGCCCGCTGAAGCGCCATGGGCGGAAAGCGATCTATGTCAAGAGTGCGGTACTAAATTCACGCTGACTATGAGAAAACATCATTGGTATGTAATCTACCAGAATACTATTATATTTTTTACAGTAATAAAACCAGGTAGAAGGAAGGTTCGAAATAATACGAAAAAAGATACTATAGCTTTACATTCTACTTTAGATATAGTGTATTTGTTTTAAAACAATTGAAAATGCACATAACATTTTAACAATTTAATTTTTTTTTCTTCTTTACAGTCGTCACTGCGGCCGAATGTTGTGTAATAAATGTTCCAGTCAAGATATTCCCATATTAAAGTTCGGAATGAATAAACCACAACGGGTTTGCGAAATATGTTTTAATGTCCTACAAGTTGGTGCCAGTTAGAGTAAGCTAGTTTGAAGGAGTTACGGCCCTACGTAGATACAATGCCTTTAGGATTCGGATTCTTTCAATTGCAGGATTTCTTTTCCCAAAAATGTAAGATACATAATATATTTTAATGGTTAAATCTTCAAGTTTCTGAGTTACTTTCATAACTACAATATTGTAGTAAATACTGATTTCTAAACGCGTTACTTTTATTGTATACCATAGATTAAGAAAGCCTGCAGACAAGTGCCGTAAATATGTTTAATCTGTGAAGCAATATTATAGTCGACGCTAAAAGCATAGATTATGCAAAGTGATAAATTTGATACGAAAATAGACAAGTGCTGCTTTTTTAATTACTGTCAAAACTGGATATAACATTTCAGGAAATCCCTATACACCCATTAATATATAATAAATTCTGATTACTCTCCCCTATAACTACTGTGAAGTGTAAGCTAAAGCCTACCCTATTGTAGCAACTGTAATGTTATATCCAAAATAAACCGTTTTTTAAAAGTTGACTTGCTGCTCTACTTGTTATTCATATGGATAATGCATTGTGTTGTAAGATATACATACATTTTCCTTATAGAATATATAATATATAACTAGTTGTATGTCTGCAGTTTGCAGCTCCTAAAGGCATGAACTGATTTTGATGAAATTAATTAATAGTAGCTATGATTAGGAGATAAACTTTATAGCTGTTTGATGTTTTTTTGTTATTTCGGAAGTCTCTATTCATACATTGTTTAAGAATATCATTTAGAAGTTAATCTTAAGTTATTTCTATTTAACATTATAAAACAAATTTTCACAGATTTCTTAAAGAAACCTAAGGGCAGTAGCATGTTAATTATTTATTTACATTTATATCCCATTGTTTTTTTTATTTGTCTTATTTTTTATTAGTTAGTGTAAAATACATTTCGGAAATGACTTATGCAAAAGTTTTATTATGTATCAAATTAAATCTTAGGTATGTATATTTACTTATGAAAATTGTTAAAATTTCATTTGAATGGTTATTTTTTATTTATTTCAATATATTTTATACAAAATTGTATTTTATGTGGTTAATATTTACTTAAACATTTTGCATTTTATGACATTCCATAATATTGAGAAGTTATGTGAATCAAAGCATCATTTTGTTATAGTGCTTAAATAAAATGAATTTATAGTATTTAATGTGTTTGATTTTTTCAATTGCTTTTTTTAATACATTTTTCTAATTTTATTAAAAATCAGAGGAAATTAAAATTTATTTATTTACATAAAACAAAGTCTCTTCAACACTGAACATTAATTATTGAATAAATTACTAATAAATCTACAACCCAAAGTTGGAACATAATTTGGGTAACAGAGGCATTTGAACTAGACTTACTTTAACCTTTTAAAAAGATCTTTGTTGACACATTTGTCAAGAACATGAACATAGTCAACAAGTTCCTCTTCACATGTTTCAGCAGTGTTTGAACGAGAGTTCACTCTGTTGTTACATTCTTGGTATTTTGCCCACATTGCTTGCATCTCGGGCTTTTCATGGCATTGTTCCTAGAAAAAGTATTGGTAAATTAACTGTTTCCTAATATAATCTACATTCCGTGCTAACTACATTACCTACAGTTCTATTGAAAATACATGTTTTTATTATTACCATAATTTAACCCTAAAAACATTACTTGTAACATATATAGTATGTTATTAGTGTGGATACCACTAGTAATTGTCTATGATTGATATATTTTCACCCAGCACTGCTATATTGGGACTCGCCTGAGACACAACCTGCAGTCTAGTATTATTATAATGTATGTATAAATGGTATGATTCATTACTCCAACAAACATAAGAACATTAAAATTATACCACTAACTACTTTTACATTTCACATGGTAAAAACTGGAAAAAGTAGGTATTTAAACTAAAACCTTGTCCACATATAATATCCCTTGCCTTTTTTCATGCTTCATTCTTCATTCTATAAATATATCACAAAAATTAATTTTTCCAAACAATATATCTTCATTAAACTCGGCTTCAAGTAGTCTTAAAGCCCAGGAAGGTGGAGCTAATATTTTAGCGAAAATATTGTCTATTAATTTTATAAAACTCAAGGAAAATCATTATCATAGTTTGTATTAAATACTTAGGTTAGGAGATAGATAATTATGCGGTAGAGGATATGAATCTTAAACTTATATGTGATCGTGGTTTGTAAGAGTACATAATCTTATTTACCCGTAACTGTGTCTGTGGGTCAACTAATTCTTCTTCCTCTGCCTCTTCATCTTCAGCGCGAACTACAGGAATAATTTTCTCGGCCATTTTGTCTGAAAGACAAGATAAAAATAATATGACACTATTATTATAAAGCACTTTTGTGTACGTAATTAAGCTTAAGTAAAAATTGGGGGACTACACGCTTTAAATTCATCAAAAATTACCAAAATCGGTGACGCAACAACCCTCTTTTATGTCTATACACGAAATTAGTGACGTGACGTCAGACGATCCGATCCTAAGGCTAAGTGATCGAATGACGAGTCTTAGGGTGAGATCTATAGTGCGCACTTAGACTTTGCTCTGACTTAACTATCGAGCTAAGACACAGTCGGTATTTATAGAGCAAACTGCGAATCTCTCCCTAGTGTTGGCTTAGCTTAATCTCAAGTCCACGAAATCGACGACTTACCAAAAACTTTGACTATAAGCCTAACAAAAATAATGGCCCAAAATTTGCTTTACCATCATATCTTTTACTGGACTTTTTATTTTTGTCGGTTTTTAATGAACGGTGTTGCCATTTTGTATCGGAGTTCCATAGACTTTGGGAAAAATAGAATTTGAATTGAAAGAAATTATAAATGATCTTGATAAATACCTATGAAATGCATGAAATAAAATAATTACACATTATTATGGTATTTATTGTTGTTTAGTTATATTATTTATGTAATTGTTCAAACCCCATTTTTGAGAAATCTTAAAAATAACTGGTGTGATTTTGTATGTCACCTGGCAGCCCTGGCATATTATAGTGACAACGAAATTCAAACTACATATAACCTAACCGATGTCTCTCGCTTCACATCTGTTATTTTCTTTTCCCTGAATCTTCTACCATTTATTACCTGACTACCCTAAAAAATTTGAGATAGGAGTGGAACATATGAAATTAAAAAATCTGTTAGAAATAGAATTTCTTCAACAAAAATATAAATTAGTATTAGAAATATGTATTACACTTAAAAAAAGAATCAGAAAATAAATGATTAAAATGAAACAAGTTTTGTTTTGATATTCTTTATTACCAAACAAATTACCTAGTTAAATTGTGCAATCACAGATTGCCGGAATGCTAGACCTGTAGGAGATCTTTCATTGTTTCTGTGTTACTCAACTTCTGCTGTCAGCAAGATCACCATCATCATAAGCATCGCCTCTCTGTATACCTATATTATGCAATACAGCACAAGCTATAATTATATATAACTAGTATTTGTCAATTTAGACTGTAGTCCTAGCTGTAAACATGGAAATTTCCTTTTTCACACTCTGAAAAACCTTTAAAAAATATGCCTAGTTCTTATTTGAGAATAATTATAAATATTGTCAGCTCTTGTCATTGGATTTAAAAGTGTTGTTAACATGAAGTTAAGTGCTGGATAACCGCTGTCACCTACTAAAACAGGCATTTTCTAAATATCCTGCTGTCGTGTGAACTGCCAGGCCACCTAGTCACTATAGCAAATATTTCCATATCAGGCCCTATTATTGCTTGCACATTTACAGAAAAATACCCTTTTTTATTTCTGTATGCTTCAGAGTGAGCGATACCTTTGGGTCTATTAATTTTTATATGGGTGCAGTCAATAGCTCCGATTATACTGTTTAGGCCATGGGGAGTATTAGATCTTCCTAATTCTTCAAACTTCGTTTTGGCTGTGTTCATATTTCTTGGAAAATTTACAAATCTAGGAAGTAATTTACTCAACTCTGCAGAGACTTTATTTATAATTAAACAGACTGTAGATTGGCTTATGCTGTTCAGATCACCACACACCATCTGTAATGTCAATAAAGTATTATTAGTCACATATATGTTATGTTTGAAAGTCAGAAGACAAAAGTCTTCAACATATGTACTATTTAAAATCATTTGAGAAGAGGTATAATATATCAAATTGAAAAACCATACATATTTATGAACACAATATTACCTGAAAACATCCAGTTGCATTTTTATGCCTTAATGCAATAAGTATTTGCAATTGCGGTAGGTTTGGCGATCCTCTGTTGTTATAAGGTTGCAAGTTTGTAATGATCAGCGTCAGGATCACATTTAATACCGTGTGTTTCAAAATACGGTTCCTTCTTTTGAATTCATTCTCACCGTACAGGATGGAAGGATTTTGGTTTTATTAGTTCCGAACATATACAACACTTTAGGCATTCGTGGATTCATATCGGCTGCAGTTCCTACCCTTTCAATGTTTTCTATTGAAGATAGAACTCTCTCTCTCCATCATGTCACTTTCGATATTGATATTTCCAAGCGGTCCATGTAACAAAGCCAAATCACAAAACGAAAGAAAGATCAATTTAATAAATTAAAGTGGTTTAAAATTTTCAATTGTTGATAGTTGATACAAGTGCTCTGTTGCTGTTGTCAAAACATTGCAATCCGTTCTACGTAATAAAATTATTGTCATCTTTAAATAATTAATACATTTTCTAAAGGTTACTCGTGAATTTCTAGTTATTGCAATAATAAAATAAATGAATACATAAATAACAATAAATTGAAGATATATGTGTACCGTTTTAGATTTTTAAATATTTGTTATTGTTAACTTTTTTAAAGGATAATAAACAAAGTATTGCATGAAATGAAACATCAATTTGTATTTTGACATTTTCTGTCTTAGCTTGGGCTTAGCTTAATCTCACCGTTAAAATGTCTATAAATACGAAATCATAGTTTAACCTTAGTGTACACTAAGCAAAGTTTTTCGTAAGGCTAGGGCTTGAGCAAAGTCCAGTGGGTGCCTATAGATCTCACCCTTAGGGTGAGATCTATAGTGCGACCTAGACTCTGATCTTACTTAACTATCGAGCTAAGACACAGTCGGTATTTATAGAGCAAACTACGAATCTCTCCCTAGTGTTGGCTTAGCTTAATCTCAAGTCCACGAAATCGACGACTTACCAAAAACTTTGACTATAAGCCTAACAAAAATAATGGCCCAAAATTTGCTTTACCATCATATCTTTTACTGGACTTTTTATTTTTGTCGGTTTTTAATGAACGGTGTTGCCATTTTGTATCGGAGTTCCATAGACTTTGGGAAAAATAGAATTTGAATTCAAAGAAATTATAAATGATCTTGATAAATACCTATGAAATGCATGAAATAAAATAATTACACATTATTATGGTATTTATTGTTGTTTATTTATATTATTTATGTAATTGTTCAAACCCCATTTTTGTGAAATCTTAAAAATAACTGGTGTGATTTTGTATGTCACCTGGCAGCCCTGGCAATTGGCATATTATAGTGACAACGAAATTCAAACTATAACCTAACCAAAACATTGCGATCCGTTCTACGTAATAAAATTATTGTCATCTTTAAATAATTAATACATTTTCTAAAGGTTACTCGTGAATTTCTAGTTATTGCAATAATAAAATAAATGAATACATAAATAACAATAAATTGAAGATATATGTGTACCGATCTCACCCTTAAAGCATTATATGATACAATCGATTTTCGGATAATATCGAAATAATATCAATTTATTTTTATGTTGCGTTTTTAATGTTCATTTAACCAATCAACTTTTAAAAAAAACAAATATTAATATTTACTTGATTGACTGCGATTCGATTATGTGTATCGAAAAATAAAACTTTAAACATACTAGTGATACACTGATACTACCCTATACCATACATTAAATTTATATAATTACCGATTATAATCTAACAGTACAGTGACACTGTAGTCTGTAGAACATAGATATATTTTAAAACATTAATGTTGTAACTGAGTAATCTTTGTTTTATGTTAGATAATTTTTGAAGTGTTCTTAAGGGTAAAATGTTTACGGATGAAACGCAATAATTATAGTATTAGCGTCGTGTTTAGCAGGCGAGTGTTCGTAAACGAATGACCATCGTTTCTTCTGTGGCGTGGGCCCGACGCCCAGGGTTACACGATGATGTGCAGCGTTTTTGTGGAAGAAAAGGGAGAGAGCGATTAAGAGAGAGTGAGAAGGGTGAATAACCTTAAAGAAATTCTATTTTTAAAATTAAAATTTCGTTAAGAGAATTTATGAAATATTAGAATTTTATATTTAATGCAAAATAATTTATTGAAATCTCAAATGATGAATTGTATATGAAAAATGCCACGTGTTTTTATTACTGAAGAAATTAATTAAAAAAATTAAATATATAATTTGTATTAATTTTCGATACTTAATATTTTAATGACAATTAAATACATTAAATTCCTAACATATCTTCCTTTTTCCCTCCCTCTAAGTCTTGGAAATCTAAAGTTTTAGATTTGTATAAATATGAACAAGACTTAAAAATTAGTTTGCTAAAGAAGTTTCACTTCTGACATGTATACTTTGTACGCACGTACTTATTTTTTATAAATATTGTATGTGGCTAAAATAAAATGTAATCGCAATAAAGATATACACATATATATTTTGAGCATAAAAACAGAACTGATGAAAAAAGTAAAGTAAAGTTTTGCACCTTACACCATGTGTCCACAGGTACGGAGGACTGTGTATAGTCTGTAAAATTATGCTTTCAAAATAATTGTATATTGACAGTGTAACATCATCTTTATTCAAGAAGTTGTCACCATTGAGATTTGAGACAGTACCTATGCTGTGAAATTTTATTTTAATTATTTGTCTTTTTTAATAATATTAGAAAATAATCTCACTTGAAAATGTTACCTATGTGTAAGAAATAAGTACTTGCTTACAGAAATAATAATGTTGCGTCATTGCAGATATTATGTATTAAATTTTTTACATTTGTATTGAATTCATAACATTTTGTATATATAATTCAGGTTTGTTTTAATTTTTAACTTATTATGTGGCATTTTTATTAATGATGTTGTTACTCATTTGTATATTATTTTCGTTTTCTAAAATAAAATGATTGAGGTTATGTTTTCTCAGAAACATTTACATTTTGTATTTCAGAATGAATGGTGGAATGGAGCATAAGGCACCAGGACATAATGCAGTGCTGCACAAGGCGCCTAAAAACTACAAACTGTTAA